CTCTTCTTTTAAGGCTTAATTTTTATAGGGGATAAGCTTTTTTATTATTAGCGGGATCTTAAGCTTATAAAGGATATTATTATTAAGGATATAATATTTCTTCGCGGTCTTAAAGATATAAAAAGCTTATAAGAGCTATATCTTCTTAAGATCCTTATCCTTAATAATCTTAATACTAAGGAACTAGTATAGCTCTTCTATATATATAATAGTATATTTCTTTATAATAGTCTTATATAGCTATTATTAATCTTATTTTTGCCCTTTAAGATATATTATAATAATATTATCTATAAAGATAAAGATAATAACGCCCTTATAGACTAGTATATAGGCGTCTTTTACGAGCTACTAAGCTCTTAGTTTAGTAAAGAAGCTAAATATCTCTTTAAACTATAGCTTTAAGGAGATATAAAGCCTATATAGTACTTTTAATAGCTTTAAGGATAGCATAGGTATTAAGAATCTTAGTAGAGGCTAGTAATAGACTTCTTAGTATAGGATTATATATAGAAATACTATTTTTATATCGCATTAATCTATCTTAAAGTCCTTAAGGTAATAAAAAGCTATTAATAGTCGAAATATTTATACTTATAGTATAGCTATATATATATCCTTATTACCTTTAGGTTATAAGTCTTTATAAACTATAATATATACTTTAAAGCGTATAATATACCTTTATTTATCGGTCTTATATATAAAGACCTAATATAAGGGGATTAGAAGGTAACCTTTTTATTTAATAATAGCTTTTAAGATAGTCTTTTATATACCCCTTACTAAGTTTTCCTTTATTTTATAGTCTATAGCTTTCTTCTATTTATATACGAATTCTAAAGCTATTACCGCGTTAAAGGAGGTAGGGGGAGGCGGTATATCTTTAATATAAAGCTTATACTTACTTACCTTTATAATAATATTATTAATAAGGGATCTCTTAGGCCTATAAGCCCGTTTTCCTTTAATAACGTTACTTAGGTCGATCCCTTATAATATATCCTTTCGTTTACGTTATTCTTATATTTATAATATCCTTAAGCCGGCCTAACTAACTACTAAGTTAAAGGTATAAGGTTCGGACTAAGGGTTATCTTCTTAAACCTATACTATAATTATTCCTTTACCCCTTAGGTTAAGAGGTATATTATCGCGTTTATCTTAAAGAGATAAGTTAATTAATATAAGTATTATATCTTTAAGCTATATCCTTAACGAGATATAGGAAGGGTTACTAGCTATAGTATCTATTATAGGTATAGGAGGTATAGAGCTTAGTAACTCCGTATTAAATATAGTATTAAGTAAAAGGGGTAATATTAAAATCTCTATCTCTAAGCTTACTATTTCTAGAAGGGAAAGATATATATATCTATATAATCCCTATAAGAGCGTCTTTAATCCTTAATCTTCTAAAGTATATAAGGGTAATAGGTCTTATAAGAGGGTAATTACTTCTTTTAGTATCTAACTATTATCTATATTATCGTTAGATAAACTTAGTACCTTAAAGGTTTTAGGTTCCCCGCTATTTATAACGTTAGTTATAGCTATATCTCTAAGGATATTATAGCTATATATTTAGACTAGCTAAGCTTATTCTTCTCTTTTTATATCGTAGCTTATAGACTCGTTAAACTATATATTAGCTAATACTATTAGTTTATTCTATTTAGTTAACGGTATCTATATAATATATTATTAAGTAGACCTATAGCTTACTAGGTATTTAATATCAGCTCTTTACTTAAGGGGTAACTACGTCTTATATAACTTAATATATTTTAATACTATAATTATTATTAAGAACGCTATATAGCTAATAACCCTTAAATATATAATATTTAGTTTAATATCTTTAATATAGTAATATAGTAGATTATTTTCTTTTATCTAGGTTTACTAACGCTTATATAGGCTCTACTAGCTATAATTATATAACTTAAAGGGTATTATACTAAGTAAGAATACCGCTATATAGTATATCTCTAGCTATAACTTTTCTAAAAGCTTTAAGTTAAGCCTTATAACCCTTACTTTTTCCTTTACTATTACTTTTAATCTCTTTATATAACTATTTTATATAAGTATTAAAAGGGCTAACTATATAACTTATATCCCTTTATTAGTTATATAATCTATTTATTTTATTATTAAAGAGCTTTTTCCTTATTAGTAACTAATATAGTTATTTTAACTTTATACTAAGTCTTAAGTAATACTATAAAGTTATTAAAGATATCCTTAATACCTATTTTTCTTTTTATTAAGTAATAGAACCTTATAAATATATTTATATAAGTAAATAAAGCAAAGTTCTTTTCCCCGTTATATACTATTATAGGGCTAAGGTAAAGGTCGAAGCTAACTTATACCCCTAGACCTTTAGGCCTTAAGGATAGTATTTTTCTTAAGACTTCCCTCTTAGCTTTCCCTATTATATATATTTAATAGCTATATATTATAGGGCCTTAAAACTTAGTGCTTAAGTAGGCTTTTAATAGCTTCTTTAATAATCTTAGACTAAGATGCCTAAGGCGGCGATACTATAGGTTACCTACCCCCTTAGTTAGCGGCTTAAGCGCTTATATAACTATAAATACCCTCTTACGCTATAAGAGTATTTCTATTATAAATTAACCTTTAAAGTCGGTTAGTTTAATATAAACCTCCTTTATAGGTTTTAAATAAAGGTATCCTAAGAGCTAGTTCTAAAATATCCCTACTATTATCCCTAGCCTAGCTAAGAAGACACTTATTAGTATTTCTAGGATAAAGTAAGTATCTAGTAAAGTTATCTTTCTACTATTAATTATAGGGATAACTACTATTCTTATTCCTTATACCTTAAAAGCTTAGTCTTTAACCTAGACTTTATTATTAGAACCCTACTTAAAGGTTCCTTCCTAGAACTAACCTAGGTTATTAAAGAGGTTAATATTAGCCCCTAAGTTATATATTAATTTATCGGTAAGTAACGGCGCCCTTAATAGCTATATTTACCTTAGATAAAGTAACCGTGTTAATAGTCTCTCCTAGCCCGTTATAACTAATAATAGTATCTATTAGTTCTCTTCCTTTAAGGTAGGAATTAAGGGTCTAAGCTATATATTTTACTTTCTTATCTAGATAGTCCTTTAGCCGTTTTTTTAATATTCTATTTAGCTAGATTACTATATTTCTAGCTTAATAAGGGCTTCTTATTATATATTACCTATAATAAGCAGTAATTTTCCTACTAGCTTATTAAGCTATTAATATACTACTTATAGCTACCGTATTTAGCTTAAGTGTTTAATTTCCTAGAGATTTAATTAGCGCTTCCCCTTTTTATAGGTAGTTATAACTTTTTCTTATAGGTATATTCTTAATTAAAGTTAGCGATTAGGTTCCTTAAGGGAAGTTAATCTTTACTATATCTTTCGTTATAGAGGTTAAGAGCCCTTATTATTATAAACTAATATAGGTCCTACTTATCTACCGCTATAAGAAAATCTTATCTAATTCTTATATCGTTAAGTATATTAACCTTAAGGTCTCGTAAATCTATAATAATTTAGTTAAGCTATTCTACCTATACTTTCTAGTCTTATATACCTCTTTTATTAATAGAGGTCGTATATCTCTTATAAATTAGCTTTTTCTCCTCTACCCCTAAGGGTAGGGCTTACTTCTTTAATTCCCTAATTTTCTCTCTTAGGCTATTATATATTAGGGTTGCCCCCTAAAGCCCTTTATTAATCGTTTTCTTAATTAATTCTTCGAGTATAATTAGGGCTTTCTACTAGACCTTATAGCGATCGAATTATAGCTAGAAACCTTTCTTAAAGTTATAAAAGGAGTCCTTTATATCCTAGTATCGTTCGTTATAGCCTATTTACCTCGTAAGGAATATAGCCTTAGTTTTATCTTCTCGTTAAGAAGGTCTCCCTCTAAGGTTAATAATAAATTACTCCTAGTCTGGCTATTAGGGCTATTTAAGCTCCTTTATACCGTCTAGGTTAGTATATTCTTAAATCTTATAAGTCTAAGCCTATAATTTAATCCCCTTAATTTATAGGGTCTAATCGAGGCTTTCCTTTGGTCTTATAAGATAACTATCCCCTCTTACTTCCTTTAACGTTATCTTAGGAAAATTAAGGGTTCTAGCTTAATAAGTAATATCCTTCTTTAAGGGATACCTAATTCGTATAATTTATATATTTCTAGTAGTGCCCCTTAGTATAGCTAGGTACCTTCCTTGCCTTAATACTATAATTTAAGCGTTATAACGGCGTTAATAGCTCGTAAATAGCTTTAAAGGTAATATCGGCGGGTAAAAGATAATCTAACTATATAGACCGGGCTTATAACTCTTAAGTAGGGGCTTAAGAGTATAGTAAAAGAAATAAGGGTATAGAAAGGTAAATTTAGTAATATATATCTTAGTCTATCTATTAGGATAAGGGAGGGGCTTATATAGGTATAGTAACTATATATAGCTAGCTAAAAGAGGGCATTAAGATATTCCTATACCTAAGTTAGGCCTATATAATATCCTTAGGCTAGGGGAGTTATATTAGTTAGGCAGGCTTCCTTATATATAACTATTAGGTCTACTAGGCATAACTATAGCCTTTTATGCCTACTCTCCTTAATAACTATCTAAATAGTAAGTGTTAAAGGCCTATCCTTTTTAACTATCTAGCTATTAGGTTTATCTTATATATATATAGGATAAGTATAGCTCTATCTATCCCTGCCTCGTACCTAGTAGATCTATCCTTTATCCTATAATATATACCCTCTTTTCTTAATATAAAGACCTAATAATAACTAGTGATAAATACCTCGGGGCTGCTCCTGCCCCTCACTGTCGAGCTCACTAAAGGCGGCGGCACGTCCCGCCCGATTCGGTGGGCCCGATTTAGCGCTTTCTATTATTAACTTGTAGCCAAGATGTGCTTTCATCATCTGAGCCAGCGAGTGGAAGAAAAAACTCGCAATACCATTCGCGACTACACCTTTGGCTCGCTGTTTGTATTCTCAGCCTCGGCGCTGAGAGTATTCACTCGTGGCCCTTTAAAGTTTTTTCGCCCATCCACGATCCACTGGAGGGCGGAGACGGTGACTATCATGGCAAATGCAACAATGCAGTAGTCTACTCACTGCTGCTCAGCGCACATTCGACTATGGGAAACGGTTCACTGGGCTTGCCACTCACTCATATTCGTTCCGGTGACGGGTCGTGATGGAGGGAAGAGGAAAAGGACGGTGGTCAGAGAAATGTATGCAAGAGCAATGAGATCTGCGGTCCACCCGAACCAGCCTGGCAGCCGCCATTTTCTCTCTGGAAGAGTATTTCGCCCTTGCAAACAGTTCACAGCAATTGGCATCGCATACGACAGGTCCAGTGCCACGACGGAGGCCGAGATGATGGCGTTGAATGCGCTGTTGCTTGGCTTTCAGCACACAGCTCAGGCTTCTACGGCTTCATGAGTTGACGCACCTCGTTGATCCCAAGAAAATAAACCCAAAAAGAACCACGATTGCTGATGTAAGGATCAATGCGTTCAGTGGCAAACCAAGTCGGGGATGGACCTTTGCGAAGAACGGGGAGGCTGGCAAACCGCCGTCACTTTTTGTCCATACTTGTAAGCATTGCCTAAAGAAGCTTCATCTGACTTCGAGACAACACGTACCGGGCGAATGCAAAAATCATGCGACTGCTGGTTGTCATGACGCTCAAAGTGGCAAAGATGAGACATACAAGCGGCAACCTTGACAGTCAGTGTCCACTCATACACGGCTGATTCCGAAGTGAGATCACACCACTTACATGAGCAGGCAGATGGCACCGACATGGCTTTTCGTCGCATGATAGAATATCTGCAGAAGCGGACCTGCGCTTGATTCAATCACGTCGCTGATGTTGCCGGCGACAAACAGCAGCACGATCAAGAAGATTGCACCAGTGCACGTCCCAATCCCCACACAGAAAACCATAATCTTTGGGCCTTCTATCGAGGCGGATGGGATCTCTGAAGCAGTTCCCATCAGCGCTGAGACTGGCTATCTTGGAGAATCCTGGCGCGAGGGCCTGCCTTTTCTCACGTCTTACCTTCAATCATGTGTGCCACAGCATCCTGGCACGAGTCCAAGGTGTGAGCTCAGAGATCTCTTTCTTTCCTGGTCCTGAGCCGAGAAACTTACAAAGGCAGTGACACCAAGCCCTCCTTGAAGAAGCTGAAATACCATTAACCGACTAACGTCAAGTCGCTTTTCTTTGGATATGAGCTCAACTCACCCCAAGGAGCCAAGCGATACCATCCGGCCCTGGAGATGAATTCAGTAAGCCTCTTAACCCTTTATAATGTGAAGTACTTACATCCTGTCTTGTTGATAAAGTCACGAAAGACAAAGTATGACGAGTTGTAGCTCGGAGACGCACAAGCGAGCACCGTGATACAAACGAGGACAAACCCTCCAATCGACCACACGAAGGCTCCTTTATATACCAATGGCAGTAGGGAGTTCAGAGAGGCGTTGATAGCAAACGAGAGCAACGTCAATCCAATGTAAATCAGAAATTGGTGCCATCGTTGCGCCTCATAACCCTTAAGCATTGATGAGCGAAGAGTTGAAGCAAAGCAGCTTGACGCCTGTGACCTACCGTGTGTAGCAATGATATGATGCCTAAAATGAGCTGGCTAGACAGCAGCGCATTCGTAGCAACAAGAGCAATCTAAAGGGGCGATGTCAGAGGTACAACCCCAGAAAGAACAGGAACATCGGGGGCGCCGAACCCAACCGGCAACGTTTATCCAGCCGGTGACCCAAGACAGAATGGGAACACATCTCGGCCACGAAACTTTATTGGAGATGATTAGAGACTGTGTGCGGTTGGGTGGAAACAAGAGGCATACTAGCTATTGGTGCGTTCTGTAAGCAACTCGAACCGAAGGAACAGGGACGACAGATGCTTACCAGCTACCCAATGATACTGACCCCCCGCACTGTACGGCACAAGGATTCAGCTAAGCCGAGGCCCGGCTGAGAAGGGGTGGCGGCCTGGACTCACGTCGGGTAAGCCGAGAGAAATTCCGCAAGGGATGCTGCAATGCACAAGTTGCAGATACCAGCCGTGACGAGACCTGCGAATGATGACAATCAGAAGCGGCTCTGCATTTCCGAGCGTGCGTGCGTGCGTATGTGTGCGGCTGCTATCACATTCATGGGGAGTGCACACGAACCCCAAACAATGCTCGCGCTACCGCCAGACGTCAAGCTGACCGGCAGGCTTGCCGAGAGTGCAGTCCAAGACTTGCCACGATGAAGAAACGGTTAACAAGGAGTTTTCTTCAAGAGGGGTGATGCATCGCTGACTGGTCAAGGGCGTGAAGCAGGCTGGGGGTCTCACGTTCAAAACAGCAAAGGCCAAACCGAGCATCGACCTAAGAAACCACTCGTCAGCTATGCCATGCGGCAAGACTAGAGCACTCTCACAAGGCCGAGAAATTGCGCTTCAGCTCAGGCTTGTGGCCCATGGCCGCGAGCTGCGCATCGTCGTCGTGTCTGCCATTCCGCTTCATCGTTGGTTGATTCTGTTTGACACGGGCGAGAGCAAATGGTAAAGGGCCGGCACCGGCCAAAGGCACGGGAAGACGTCAGGAGATCAATTAAAAGGATCTGCAGCGTGCAATGTCAATGTATTGTTCCCAAAGAGAGCAACGCACCGTCGCCGAAAGAGGCACAGTATGCAGTCACGACTGTTGCTACGCTATCTGTTTCAGGTAAATTCGACCGACCCAACTGACAGTCTGGGTGGACCTCAAGGCGCCAACAGTCGAGGCGCAGTAGTTGAGGCCTCAGCTTCCAACCGATTCGGATCCTCGGGGCCCACGGGGCGGGTGAAATGTTGACTAGGCGTGCGGGGAAAGCCATAGGCGCATGTAGATCTTGTTCAAGGAGCGGCTCAAGCCGAAAGAGTAGTATCGCCTGGGGGTATCAGATATGGAGCGATGCCGCCTGGGTCCCCCAGGACAATGCCCTGATCTGGCTTGCGATTATCGGTGGACAACTGGGGTCGGAGACCCGAAGCCGTCCGGTCGGAATTGTCACATGAGTCTTTTCGTCGGCGAGGACTCCAAGTTTGGCCCGATCTTTAACGACCGAGCGGCCTCAGCTCGACCGGCTTACTGTGGACTTGCGCGTAATCCCAGAAGTATGTGCTGCTTGCAAGTCATGCGCACGTACGAGTGCTTCGTACGGCTGACCGTGTCATCGGCCCCAACAAATACAGACGAGCCCCGAGCGCATGAGCTTTGATCGGCCACCTCCGCTTGGTGTTACCCAGCTCTTCGTGTTGATGTAGCGATATCACATTATAAAAAGGGCTGCACTTCGTGGCTGATCTCACGTGGCCCTCTTAAACATGAAGTACACGGGTCGGGGATTGCCACGAGCATACGCATGTCTCGCCTTGGCAAACACGTCCATGAGACCCTGTCCGACCACTTCTAGCCGAAGATAAGTGCAGAGCTATATGCCTTATGCCCCACGGTGCCAGGACCGCGCCAAAGGTGCCCGCATGAGACAGCCACAGCCCTTCTCGTCGCCGGGACTGTACCGACTTGGCATCTTATCAGCACCATGCCGGGGCAGTACCACCTCAGTTCTAACTTTCAAGCACCTTTCCCAAGGTGCCCGGCAGAGTGCCAACCAGCTGCCAAGGAACTGACTTCATCGCTCGTTACTTTACTCCGCATGGCTTGACCAACACTTGTCGGTAGCTTTGCCATGGGAAGCCGGAAGATGATATTTTTGTGCCTATCAAGGTTAAGACAAGATCTGTAGCGACATTTGATTACAGTGCCGTTTCAACACCTGTTGTAATTATCCCAAGCAACCTTGTTGGTTCAGCGGGGATGGATTAAATATTCGGTATGGCCTATCTGCCTATGTTTGCCTGTGAGGTCGGCGGTGAGATTTTAGTGCGTGACAAAGCAAATCATACGGCCTTGCTACTCTTCTTCTACACTCACTAGCGCTCAAGCATGATATATAAACGCTGAAGACTTGACAAACGGATGCTAGAGCGGTGTAGTTAAGCGAGATACTTGTCTCGGGCATTGAGCTGAGTGCGGAGAGAGTAGAGCTACTTTCGGCGTGCCGGCCAGCTACGACAGCAAAGGAGTCCCTGTACCCTGTCAACAGGTACGGGGCTTGTACGATGCACCTGTCGCAGGTCTGGAATCTTTGTTTGGCGGTTGTGTGTGCCGACAACAGTCTCAATGCATGCAAGGCGTTTTGGTACATATAAGAAGGGGACCGAGTCTCGGCCGCACTCCAGAGCCGTGTCCGGCGGTGACGCTTGAGCTCTTTTTGCAGCCAAATCCAACCCAGCTCGCCAATGCTTTCCAAATCATCGCTTGTCGCCCTTGCCATTGTGGCGTTGGCCGTCCATTCCTCACAGGCCGCTGTCGCGCAGCCCCTTCAGCAACATGATTCCTGCAGGAAAACCACGGTCGCCGTCTTGTATGTCACTCGCCGGTCCCCGCTCGCGGCATCATGGCGGGGACGTGAAGAAACCTAGCTGAAGCTCGTTTGAAGGGGTGGAGGCATGGCTGGTATAGCTGCCGCTGTAAGTTGATTCTGCTGATATAACGAGAAAACAAGCTGCCGCGAAACTTCTGCCATGTACTTGGTATCCTGTGGCCTGACTCTAGAATAGCAAGCATTGTCAAATGCCTCCATATCGGATTTCCTCATCCTCGAGTATCAGGACAGAATCGGCGGGCGTGCCCATCACACAACCTTTGGCGCAAAGGAAGACGGTTCGCCGTACACGGTGGAATTAGGTGCCAACTGGGTGCGTCGACCCTCGCTCAAAAGCTCTTCGGTCATCTCACAAGCAATCGACACAGATCTCGGGGCTGGCCAGGCCAGGGGGGCCAGGTAAGTCCTTTTCACCCTTTTGCCGGTGAATTTACCTGCTCTTAAACTAATACTGTGATTAGAAAACCCTGTATGGACCTTGGTAAGTATTGACGGGCAAGCCTCGACGAAACGCTGCTGGCGGGCATGAGGGACTGACTGGTATCCAAGGCAAAGAAGTACCGTCTGGAAAACACCTATTCAAATTACAAATCCATCCTTACTTATAACGAGACGGGCTACACAGATTACAGCCATCTCCTCGGAACTTTCGAAGAGGCCCACGGCCGCATGAACGTAGAGGCTGCCAAGCTCCTCGTCGAAAATCTGCAAGATCAGAGCGTTCGCAGTGGGCTGGGCTTGGCTGGATGGAGTCCCAAGCACGGAGATATGGCTGCACAAGCGATCGAGTACTGGAGCTGGGGTGAGTGCTTCTCTGAGAAACTGCCGTGATCGCAAAATGAGTATCGAGTCTCTCTAATGGTACCAAAAACAAAGATTTTGAAGCTGCCTACCCTCCCGAAGAATCATCCATGATCTTTGGGGCGGCGAGTGATAGCCTAACCCTAGCCAAGTTCAGTGACGAAAATAACTTCGTCATTGATCCGCGTGGCTTCAGTTCCATAATCACGGGCGAGGCATCGTCATTCTTGCAGCCCGACGACCAACGACTGTTGCTGAGGAACAAGGTTGCGAACATCTCCCACTCCGACAGCGGCGTGACCGTATACGCCGACGATGGGAGCTGTGTATCTGCCGCCTACGCCATTTGCACCTTTTCGCTGGGCGTTCTGCAGAGCGATGTAGTCCAGTTTAGCCCTGAGCTGCCCAAGTGGAAGGAGACGGCAATTCGAAAGTTTTCCATGGGCACCTATAGCAAAATATTTTTCCAATTCAACGAGACGTTTTGGCCTCAAGACACGCAATACCTTCTCTACGCATCCCCAACCACTCGCGGATACTATACTCTCTGGCAGTCGCTGTCCACCGAAGGATTCTTGCCGGGGTCCAACATCATCTTCGTCACTGTCACGCATGACGAGTCCTATCGAATCGAGCAACAATCAGACGAAGAGACCAAGCAGGAGGCCCTGGAAGTGCTGCGCGACATGTTTCCAGACAAGACGATACCGGAACCGACCGCTTTCATGTATCCACGATGGACAAAGACGCCGTGGGCGTTTGGCAGCTATTCGAACTGGCCCATCGGGACAACCCTGGAAATGCACCAGAACCTGCGGGCCAACGTAGGCCGACTCTGGTTTGCCGGCGAGGCAGCTAGTGCCCAGTATTTTGGATTCCTCCACGGTGCCTGGTTCGAGGGCCGCGAAGCTGGGGCACAAGTTGCCGGGCTTGTCCAAGATCGCTGCGTCAAGCTTGACGACGGGCCAGAACAATGCGGGCCGCGGACACACTACGAGGAGCTGCACGGGACTTCACCATTAGAGCATTACACCTGGCGCAACGGTTGGGCGAACAGGGGCGTCCTCGTCAGCAAATCCGAGGGGTGATGCGATTCGCTTTCATGAGATTGTACGGTTTGCCTACTCAGGTGAAATGAGAAATGATATATGATACTTTCATGTAGCTAAACAATTGTTGTCATTCAACGCGCATATTCACGCAATGGTTGAAGCCAGAGCTTTGGCAGCAAATGGCGTCTTCCCGCTCCCTATTGTGTATCCGAGTTAATTTGCTGCCCCCCCAGAATCGAGTATTCGGGCTCCTGATAAATTAGCTGCATTCACGGGGCTTTGCATCTCCTTGCGTGTTAAATTGGGATGATATATCTGGAACAACGCCGGCTACAAAATTCCAATTCGAAAGCTTTGCCAAGACGTATAGCATAGATGCTGCAGGCCCCGCGCGGAAATTCGTCACTTGACTTCCTGATCCCTTGGCAGCTTAGAAGGTCAAATCGTTGGTAAGCAATGGATTCATAGTCATCCGTCACTCACTGCCCAGGGGCGAATCGAGAAGCCCTTACTGCTTATCCTGGGACATCAGTCACATCCAGCCACACCTACTGCTGAAAACCTGTACACACAGATCCCTGACAGCCTCAGCAAGTATCCGGTGTCCGGTGACGACGAGGGGAGACGTGGAAGCCTTCATTATGCGCGCAGAGTGTATAATATACCACATGCTGCGATGGCGCAGGATCAATCAAGATGTTGAGGCTGCGTGTTTGCGATGAACGCCCCTGCGAGCAAAACCCGAGCTCCCGCATTCGTGTTTAACATCAACACCAACAAGCAGTATCGAACTACTTGGTCTGATCAAGGAAGTGGATCATGTCGTTGCTCTCCATCCGGGTTGTCTCATGCGCGGCAACCCAAGTTCCCGTCGGCAATTGAATAGCTTTGTCCCTTTGCCGGCTGGCCAGCGTCTTCGTCCCAAATTTCGGGCGGCCTCCACAGTGGAGTTGCATGGATGAGAGATCCAAAGAATCTGTAGCGAGTCTTTACGCGATTTGAGTTTTAAGCCCTATGGACCCAAAGTGGAGGCCCGCGCCTTCTGGAGGGACTCGGCAACTGGTGCTGACCCCCTGATTCCTCGCATTCGCACACATTATCAATTGCCGCGGGCAAGTGCACCGGGTGTGCATTGATTGCTTCATGCCGTTTTAGCATGAGCCGCGAATGTGGGATGAGACAGCCAGTGAGTGAGTGGGCTGCGCAGTGGGCAGACTGTGCTCTCATAGCTGCCGACTGCCAAGAGGCCAGTAACTACGTTGCGTTACAGGGCGGGTAAGCTATTACGTTCATGTAATACTTTGTAGGCGCAACGTGCTTGGTAGGGGCCATCCGGTGGTGTCCGTGTAATGGGCAAGTGCATGGATGCATTCTAAATAGTGTCTACAAATACATTTACAGGGCTGTTGTGGCCTCTTGGATTCGACACTACGGGAAAACCCTTTTGAGAAGCATGACTAGAAATCTTCAGCCCCATTTTGGAGCCCCTTTTATTTATACCGTAGACATGTTCCTACGTAGAGTGCTTATGCAAGACGCACCACTGAGCAAGATCCCAGTCGCATTAATACCCTGTTATCAAAGTTGCACCAGTGACCCATCCTGGTCTGTGGTCGGGCTGCGGAGCACCAGGTGTGATTGCTGCAGGACAGCTGTCACAGACCAATGTCGTAATAGGAATTAGACCAACTTGTAGGAATTAGGCCATGGTGTAGGAATTAAACCAACGAGTAACACCACGGGGTGCGCCAACCAAGAGAATAATGGTGACGGAAACAGCCGAGGGCAACAGGGACGCCGCGGGAGGCAGTCAACTTGTGAGACACACGGGGAATTCACAGTTTTCGGTTTGTTCATTATTAGTAAGGAATCCTGTTGTTTTGGGCATGTCATGTACATATAAAGTCGCACCTGTAGACCCCCTTCTTTCATCAAGGTCGGCGCAATCAAACAAGTCTCTTATTAATGCAAGGTCCACATAACTAGCAACAACAGCCACCACCATGGCGATCCAGAAATTAGAGTCGCTTGTGGTGGGCCGGGAGCGGGTCTTGGAACGGGAGCAAATGAATCCAGTCATGCGCGTGTAAGCGGCGAACTTAATTCATCGGCTCTCCCCTTCAATTCCCACCGTACCTGCATTTCCGACAGTCCCGAGGCAACAAGTTCTTCTCTCGTGTCTGCAACCCGCGTAGAGACAGAAATGAGATTTCTTCCTACGGCCGCCATCGGAAACTTGTCCGTCATGGCAGCCGATCTATCCTCGTTCCAAAGGCATGACTCCGCTGTCCACAACATCTTTGGAGATGCCCCTACCCTTGAAGTGCTTCTCGAGAATAAAGACTATCAGTTTGCCCACGAGGCAGGTGTCTTTATCCCATCAGACAATGAAGACACTCTATATGTGACGAGCAACTTCATCACGGACCAGGAAACCAGGCAAAAAAGGACCCAAATCTCCCGGGTCGTGTTGCCCAAGGATGGGTCCAAGGCGCGCGCCGAGGAGATCAATCCGCCTACCGTGCTACCACTGCCAAACGGAGGCGTCAACTATCTGCACGGCATCGTGTTTTGCGTACAGGGGGACAATAACACGGCGGGGGGTCTTGCTTTGATGGAACTGAAACCGCCGTACAACTCCAGCATGCTTGTGGATAAATTCATCAGCCGTCCATTCAACTCTCCTAACGACGTTGTTGCACACAAAGATGGATCGCTCTGGTTCACGGATCCCAAATATGGATCCGAACAGGGTATTCGGCCTCCTCCGAGGCTTCCCCAGCAGGTCTACAGGTTTGACCCCAAGACAAATTCAATCCGTGTCATGGCGGATGGCTTCGGACGACCAAACGGAATAGCATTCAGCCCGGACCAGAAGATTATCTACATCACGGATACAGATTCGACCCATGGCGATGGATCCAAGGACGAGAGCCGAGTATCGCAAATGTAAGAATCCCCGCTTCATCTTGCCTGAATCCCCCACTGCGTTTGGATCACAAGACTTACCGGCCATCCAGTTATGCCTTTGACGTGACAGACCAGCCATTCCTCACCAACAGAAGGGTCTTTGCCATGGCCGATGTGGGAATTCCCGACGGGATCAAGACGGACCAGGAAGGTAATGTCTATAGTGGCTGCGGTGACGGCATTAATATCTGGTCCCCGGGAGGCGTCTTGTTGGGCAAGATCTTGATCGAGGGCGGCGCAGCGAATTTCTGTTTTGGCCGCGACGGGCAGATGTTTATCTTGAATGAGAACAAGATCTGGGTGGCTCAACTAGGGGGTCGCACCAAAGGGGCTCTCTTGAACATTTGACTGAGAGGTCTTCCTCTGTGTTTGAGCGGGTTATGGTGTTCTGATTTCGCTTCAGCTCATACATCATTTTCAACCATAGCGCCTCATAGCTCAAGATACGTCACCTCTAGACTGTGATGAATAAATACTTAAACGGCCTCTTTGCTTCGTGGGTATTCGCGTTTATGATCTTGGGAGATAGCCAACTTGAGGTTGTGTGTTCAAGCATGACTCGAGGAACTCGGAGCGTATGCAAGTGTGATAGAAAGGATCCGTGACGATCCCTCGAGATGATTTTGTTGACCATATATTATGACAAATGGCATGGAACGAGCGACTCAGATTTCCAAGAGTCTTTCACCCCTAATTTACCATGATCTACAAAGTTTCAAGCTTGGTTGGCTGCGAATCGACACGCTTGACATTTGCAAACTAGCCTAGGCATGGAAGCTCGGGGCAGCAGGAGAATGAGCAGGGGACTTCCAGCAGTGAATACGCATATAGTGAAGAGGGGCTGGAGAAATCATGTTTCAAAGAATACAGGTTGACCAAACCTCAGCTAATGCCAACGTGAGAAAGTCCTCATGACGGACGATCGTTGAGCCCCCGCAGCCCGACGCTGCACTCCTGTTAGTCTTAAACGGATTTTTCATGAAAGTCAACCTGGACCGCTGCCACAGAAGTAGGCTGTACTCTGGTAGAGTCATCGAGAAAGTTTTGCTTTGCAAAGAGACGATCCACATCCTCCAACTCAAGCCCCTTAGTCTCGGGGAAGAACAGAAATATAATTGGTACCCAAATGGAGTTTAGAACAGCAAAAATAACATATGTTCTCCAGCCAATTCTATCGATGGCAATAGGGGTCACTTGTACGACCATCTATTCGTAGTGTTTAGGGAATATTTCCATCCAGCGCTGAAAGGGGAGTATTCATGTACTCACGTAGTTGAAAATCCAGTTTGCTGCCGTGGATAGAGATGAGCCTCGCTGGCGCAGTCGCAGCGGAAGGATCTCTGAGCTACGAACGTGTTGGTGCCTGTTGAATTCAGACGCTGCAATGAGGCAAGAAACTTACGGATACACCCAGACTGTCGCTTGGAATCCAACTGTAAAGGCGCCTTGGAAAACAAAAAGCATAACTGCAGCCCCAATGGCGGCCCCATGGGCACGGGGCGTATCATTGTCTACTTGGTAAATGAGTCCTGCCTGTATCGCCATGACGCCGGCCATTAAGCTAATCATGGAGAGAAACTATATGGGAGAGCTTCAAGTTAGGAACAGGTGAAACAAGCATTGGGGATCTCAGGCCACCATTACCAAGGGTTTCCGTCCTATTCTATCAATCAGGAACCACGGAATAAACGACGCGATGAAGAACCACGTCTGCAGTATTCCCGACATGAGCGCGGACATGTGTGGGCTAAATCCCACACTTTTCTCGAAGAGCGTACTCGTGTAATCTGCATAGGCGGAGGGTTATTAACATTCCGTGATGACAAGAAGGGATTCTCACATATCACAGCGTTGATACCGCCGAGCTGCTGGAAACTCTGAATGGCGCAGGCGATGAGCAGTCTCTTTTGAGACTGGACCTGGTCATTTTTTAGAAAATCTCCCCAGGATCCTAAATTCATGGACGACTCTAGAGCAACTGTTTGGAGTATGTTGCCGTGAATCTTCAGAACTTCGGCATCATCAGTCGCAGCCGATCGCATCCTGGCGAGGACCTTGAGACACTCGTCTGGCCGATCATGAGCAGCGAGCCATCGAGGTGTCTCTGGGATGAACGGGAGGATTACTAGGATGGGGACAATGCAGAAGCATTGCAGAATGACCGGCACTCTCCATGCATAGCTGCGAATTCCAGATGAAAAGGCATAGTCAATCCAATAAACAAGAAAAATGCCAAAGTTGAGCGTCGAAAGTTGGGCACAGACATCTGAACCGCGGTTAGCAAGTATGGTTTCCAGGGAAGTTTGCTCTTGCGAGGTGTTCTAACATATGCCCCGACTTGCTCTGGGACTAAACTCTGCCTGTAGGACTGGAACAGTTGAGTTGACAATGCCTAGCCCGATGCCGGACACGATTCGGCCGATGATAAGCTGTTCTCGGCTGAAAGAAGTTGCTTGCAAGACGGCGCCTACTATCATGATCCAGCAGCCATGGCCAATGGTTCGGCGACGTCCGAAGCGGTCCCCAAATACTGCGGCGCTGATGGAGCCAAGGAAGCACCCAACTATGCGTAATCAGAGACGTTCCCGTCTTCAGCAGAGGTCCCAAGAAATTAATTATATCAAGGTTGAACCCACTTTCGAAAATGGCCACGATAAGCCCTATCATTCTCGGCTTGGGGCTGCGAAACGTCGCGTTAAACGCAGGCGAGTTGACTGGCCTCGCACCGTGAGCCAACGCCTCACGCCTTGATTCCAGCAGGGGCTACCGGCCAGAGAAGAGTTATCTTACCAAGTCCACCCATGAGCCCGTTGTCGTACCCGATCAGCATGAAGCCGAGAGATGTCACCGTGCTGATCGTTAGCAGGAGCCCACGTCCGTGAAGTTCTCGCACCATCACTACTGAGTGATGTAGATGCGGCTGAAGGGCTGTCAATGGAGCATGATGTGGACGCCTGAAGGCCAATTTTAGTGGGAACCTGGAGAGTGATGTTGCACGGGCGAGGAAGCAGACTTATCCAGGACTGCCAAGCAAGAGATTCCGAAGGCGTTGCTTCAGCACGACCACTGTTCCATCTTGAAAAACAAGAAACTCTAAATTGCTGACGGGATGGCAGTCTGGAACTCGAAGCTGTGGGGAAGAGGCCCGGGTAGACTCGACCTCGCGGAACACATTTTCAGAGTCAGCAGAAGTCTCCAAGACATGCCAAACCTTCAAGGGTGTACCGCGCATGCTGTATATGCAGGGTCTGTTTTGACTTGCACGGAAGCGTCCGAGGACGATACAGTACATCTATAGGGTGGATCGGGGTTCAACGAGCGTTCGAGAAGCCAAGGCGACATGGCCGGAGGTATCGGGTTAAAGCAGGAAGACAGCAATATGATTGATATTTTCTTTAGATGCGTTTCGTGGATTTGGCCTATATATTAAATGAATTTCTGTGCGTAGCTCGTGTTGTTCTGTCAGCTTTGGTAACACATAAGTATCTTGCTCAGCTGGATTTGTAACAAGGTTCGCGTACATACCTATTTGCCTTCAATGTTGCCATAACTGGACATATATAGAACAAGGGGTCATTGATATGTTTTATGCCTGCGTGTGAGGGCCTAACCCCACAGCGGCTTGGAAACTATCAAGATCCCAGCACCCGCATCTATGTCCGGCCCAGAACGTTTTCGGTGGCCTTGGGTGATATTCAACATCGTTGCTTGCTCTTCGCTGGATTGGACCTTAGCTCTCGTACTTTAATAACGTGATGAATGCCTTGGCGATGACTAGAATCGCTCGCCGACGCATAGCAACGCAATCTAGCCGCTTCTCTTCACAGTTCGCCTGCATGGGGAGAGACCCCCGGAAGCGATTCCGACACACCAAAAAAAATATTGATTGAATAGTTGGAAGACCGTTTTCCTCAAAAGTTCAATATTGTTATCGAGACTCGGGCCATCTGTATCCGACAGCCCCAGGCACAGAGTAGCGTTTCCCGCGTGAAGACCTTTGGCTGGTTCAACCCGTGAACTTCAATGTTGCGTATCTAATACTAGATTGTTTTTAATTTGGTAGAATAGAGTAGCGCTTTCGTTCCCAAGAGCCTACTTACGAGGCACACGCTTTCTCTCTCGAGCATTGCTAAAATTGCAACGTCTCTAGCCACATGTATGACCTGGAAAGGAGAAATGGCGTGTTCATCTGTTGGTATCGCAGGCCGAGATAGCACTGATTGGTCTCATGACAACACGATGGAGTGGTGAGAGGGACTTGTATAATGGTGTCACCGAACTCAAAGTGAATGGAACGTCTAGCTCTCCGGATAGAGCAGTCAATATGACAGAATTCACTAGCATACTAGGCCTCGGAATGTGCAATGCGATTTCTGATGAGATGCATCTCGGAAAGTTGCGAATGGGGGCTCCAATGTCAACGGCGAGGATATGGCCATCACGCGTAAGGAACACGTCCTGAACGGTAGTTGACAGGTGCTTGCGCCAAACATCAAAGTTGTAGATCCATCTCCATTTCGAATAGAAAGGCAATCGAGCGTGATATAGTACCTGGATTGATCTGTCAGACACGCCTCTTCATATCTCCCATGTAGCAAGTGAGAAAACTCTTGGCTTGTTCCATTACGCAACTCACCGATCAGTCTTATCAGATTTCGGCAAAGACACCATGAGTCGCATTTGCTACTGTCAATCTCACCGAAGGTGATTGATCTGGACTTGTATCTGGCGCTGCCGATTAAACAGGAGAAACTCTACCGTTAGTGACGCCTTGCACGACCATGTTGTCTTGTATCAAGAATTCCGCAGCTATGCTGATAAATGTACTGGTCGATCAACGTACATAATTCGTCTCCCTGCATTGGAGCCTAGTGGACAACGCGACCGCCCGACTCTATACGACCTCAAAGAAGTAGTTGGCTCTACAGTAAACTTTGACGGGGCCTTTATATCAGACCCCCTGTGTAGGTGTATTTCGCCAGTCATGTCAGTTCTCAATCTTAATAGAAACAATGTACAGACGCTGCTCAGACATTGGTTGTCGTCATCTAGCTCTACGCCCGACCGCCTTGGATATATGTGAGGGGGAAGACTGTTGTGGGCGTGAGAAAAGAAACAGAATGGGCCAGGCCCTACTACTCTGACGCATCTAAGTTTATCGTCAGTCTTTGGCAGAAAAAAGGATTATAGATAACTTTCATTGCAAGTCAGGGCAAATCGTGTCGCTGCACGCTTCGCGAGCCCGATCTGCGTCTAGTCTGCAGCTTTCCACAGAGGCAAGCCCAACCCTCATTCATTAGCGTAGAAGCTATATGGCCCGCATCGAGCCCTTGCCTGCCATGCTCGAGAATTCGGGCGGCGTCCTTTGTGCGTGCATACGTATACAGAGTATAGAGCCCAAACCAGACAATTCATCGAGCTCGCCTCTCATCCCTTGTTGTTGATGGGGTGTCATCGATACATGCTTGGATACGAGCTCTTGTGATACCGAAGATTGCGTTATAAGAAGGACAGATTTTTGACTGTGGCTAGATCTGATCCCGACGGTGTAGGACCCTGATCTCAAATTTTTGACAAGCACGAACACCTACAACGTAGAAGCACCAGACAATAAGGAGCCGATGGTTCACAACGTCCAAACGACAGGCCCAGACTGACATTTGTTGGTTTACTCTGCGTTCGAAGTTGGCCACATGGCTAGTAAATTGGAAGGACTTGGAAAGCCGCCTCGTATCATGTGGCCGTGGTTTTATGTACTCAGTCAATGACTTGTCTCACCGTCCAGCTGCAGCAGTCGTGGAGTGTTCTTGATAATATTTTGCCCCTAAAGGATTGTCATACTTCTTCTACGTGTAAGTAGATTCCTTCCTTGTGTCAAGCGTGAACCGGAAAAAAAACGAGCGGCTATGAATGGCACGCTTTCGATCTCCATGCCAAGCGCGGCCTTGGTTATTGTTGACGTCGTGCGGATTGGTGGTGGCAGGTTTCCCATCTGAGATAAATGCACGCAAGTTCCACGCCTGACGAAAGTATAGATGGCGCTTTCACTTGGCCGGTTGTCCATCATCAAGCTGTGGTAAACCGGCAGTCCACGCGGTGCTGAAGCAATAACTTAAGGTTTACCCAGACAGGGTCCGCAAGAAGATCAGCAGATTGTGCCTGTGCCCGCTGTGGAGAACGTGGAGTGTCGAAGACTGACGGCAAGACGGGCTTTCTGCCGTGAGGGAGGGGCTTTTGCAACCAGGACAAGTTCACGCGTAACATGACAAGGCAGATGGTGAGAGGCGCGCGTCGCCGCGCAGGTTGATCTGGGGCGTCATGCTGCCAGAAGTCATCGCCAGATGCTCAGAAGTCAGTCTATTGATACATGACAAATACATGCTGTGGTTTCCTGGACCATGACATCTATAAGCTTCCCTCCACCTTCTAGACCTTGGCCACGGGAGGTCTCTGTTCGGGGACCTGGGTAAGTAGCTTTCCTCGGGTGACTGCACTTTTGACATTGTCGATTACGAGAACCTCCATCCTTCTCTGCAACGTCGGGAGCCTGTCAGCAGGGGTCCTTGCGCACCTGGACCTTGGCTTGTGGAGACAGGGGCTACGAACCTGGGTATCGACGGTCGCGGTGCCTATATGTGGCAGAAGCATGGTTCCGGGATGCTTGAGCAGGCCGGGGTGAATCTCCGGCTCCTTTTCGTAAACATCGAGGCCGACGCTTCGCACCTTGCCGGATTCGAGGGCACTGACCAGGGCGGCCTCGTCTATGATGGGGCCTCGAGCCGTGTTGACAATGACAACGCCGTCCTTCATGGCGTCGAGTTCCTTTGCGCCAATCAGACCCCTGGTGGCCGGCCCCAGCGGCAGATGCACCGATATAACATGGCTCGTTCGCAGCAGCTCCTCGAAGCTGACATATCTCGGAGCACCCTGCTCTGCAAACAGCTCGTCCAGCCCGGCCACTCGACTTCTATTGTGGTACTGGAGCCGGAATCCAAACGCAGCTGCTCGTTTAGCCGTCGCGGTGCCAATGCCGCCCATGCCCAGGATGCCCAGCGTCAGGCCGTCGGGGTCGCGGCCAAGAGCGCTGTCGCCTCGCCACTTGCCCTCACGGACGGCGAGCTGAGGAACCCACGCGCGACGCAGGGCGCCCAGCATGAGGAAGATGGCCGTGTTGGCAGTGGCGGCGTCTACTGCGCCCGGCGTGTTGGACACGGAAATGCCTCGTCCCCAATCAGTGGCCGGCCCCCCTGACGGTACGTGGCGGACTTACCCCTTTCTGTGCACGCGTTGACATCAATCTGGTCATAGCCGGCGCCATTGTGCGACAGAAACTTGACGGAGGCCGGGAGGTGCGAGATGAGCTCTGCATCGAATCGTCCGGTAATCTACATGGACGAGAGCTGTTAGCCACGGGTCCAGCGCTGGCGACGCAAACGGGGTCCTTACAGCGACGGAGTCGTAGGTGCGTGATATGGCGACGACATGGCTGTACGTGCCGGCATCACATTCGCGAATGAAGCCCTGACGAGTTCCTGACGTGACTTGCTATAAAGAGCAACGACGCAGACGTTAGCATCTCATGCTTCGCGGGATGCATGGCAGTCTTGTTGTTCTAGCCATGAATGGTGTCTCCCCCGCCAGACGTACCTCTATGCTGGCGACCTCGGAGAGTTTCTCAAGCTCTGGCTTTGCGTGATGGACCGTGCCAAGCATCAAGACGCCGGGTCGGGGCGAGGCGGAGTTTGGGACCGTCATGGTGCGGATTGGGGGGGCTATTTCGGAGAGCTCCAGTTACACGGCAGGGGGAGCAGGCAGGACCAGAGCGTTTTCCGGCCACGTCCTGGAAGAAACCTTGGAAGAAAGTTTGGAGCTGGCGAGACGAGGCAAAGGGCAAAAGGGCGGCTGGTCGCGGCGCCAGGGCCGGTGATGCCGGGGACAATAGCCGGCTCTACTAGACTCGGCAATTGGCGGGTCCGTCCCGCTCGGCGGCCCCTCCTCTGGCGAGCGCTAAATATCAGACATTACCCAGGCGCAGCCGTCGACGGCATTTGATGCCCATTCCCGCACACGCATCCTTGCTTGCTGGGCGACAATGGAAACCGCGCCGACACAGACGCCGAGCGGTGGCTTCGCGCGCGCCAAGGGCAGGCGTGTGTCGCGCGCATGCCTGTCCTGCCGGGTGCGCAAGACCAGATGCGACCTGTGAGTGCAGAAATCTCCTCGTCCAGCGACCAGCAACGCCGCTGATGCCTGCATCCCACAGCGACTCGGACGGCGTGTCTGGCAATCCCCCCTGCCGCCGCTGCGTCGAGCACCAGATCGAGTGCGTCCTGGCCAAGTCGAGGCGTGGCGGCCGCCGCGTCAAGGGCGTCAAGGGCGCGCTGCCGCCTTCGAGCACCAGCAGCCAGCGCGCCATCTCCTCCCACGGCCCGGGCGACGACGCCATCGCCGACTACCGCGCTCAGCAGGCGGACCCCGACGTGCGGCAGGGCTGGCCCTCGCCTCAGTCGGCGCAGAACTGGCGCGGCGAGAGCTCGGTCGAATCGTCGCAGGATACCGCAGAGGAGTCGAGACGCGACTCGGACGGTCTCGAGGGCCACATTGCCTCTACAGACCTCCTCAACCCCTCGGACGCGCTGGATCTGCTCGCACAGGTGGCCGATCTCGATCCTGGCGGGCGCCGCAGCTCGTCAGGGCGAGACGCCGCCAAGAGCCGCAATGCCCCGGGCTCCGGCGACGGCGCCGCCCCCTCCACCGCGTGCTTTCCGCCCGTCGCCAACGGGATACTGACCTGGCCCGAGGCATCCTATCTCGTCAGACGGTGCGTCTTCCCCCAGACCCCACCCCTTGTGCAGCCGTCAGGTATTGACCCGTCCCCTGGCAGCTACCACGACAAGTACCATCCCTTCTTCCCCATAGCCTACAGCAGCATCTTCGACGGCCGGCCCGTCTCGGAGTGGGCGGACAAGGAGCCGCATCTGTTGACGGCCATCCTGACGGTCGCTTCCAAGGACGACCCGTCTTGGTCGCGCGTCTACGAGGCCTGCTCGCAGTACATGGAGAGCCTCGTGTCTAAGCTGATTTACGCGGGATCAACCAACATCGGCTCTGTCGAGGCCCTGCTCATTCTCGCCGAATGGGCTCCTCAGCGCCCGCAGGACAATTCGACCATTGGGTGCGGCCAAGAAGACCACGGGGCGTGGATGCTCGTGGGCATTGCCATCCGGCTGGGATACCTCCAGCGACTCGAGCAGACGGGACTGGTGTCGGAGAATGGAGCTCAGTCGGCCGATGCGAGCAGGAAGCGGATTGCGTGGGCGGGTAGGTCCTCTCTCTTGACGCCGTCGGTCTTGTCAGCCGTTGACCGCCAGCGCAGCCTGTTACATGAGCGACCGCCAGGTCTCGATCCGTCTCGGCAAGGGATTCTGGTCGCGCGGGCCGATCCCTTCCATCAGCTGGCGAGCCGCTGACTTTCCGTCCCTGCAGAACCAGGCGCTCGGGCCCGACAGCCTGGCACTGCTGTTCCAGGCCCAGCTGGAGCTGATTCAACTCTTTAGCAATGCCCACGACATTCTCTACTCGTCTTCGACGCACAGAAAGCAGCTGTACACCGGGGGAGAGTACATTCGATATATAGTAAGCGAGCCGCAACCTTTACCGGTCCCAGCACTGACGCGAGTTAGGATGACTTTGCCTCTGTCTTGCGAAAGTGGAAGCTATCGTGGGCTAATTGCACATGTTGGTCCCCCGTCCGTGCTGCCGCGTACTAGAGCTGACGACTTGAGCAAGTTACACCTCCGGTCAAGGCGTCGCTGGTGCTGTCGTTTGAGTTTCTGCGGCTCTACATCAATGCGTTTGCCTTCCAGGCCACTCTCAACCGCGCCGTCGCCAGAGCAGGCCAGCGAACGTCGGTCAAGGCCCAGGCCATCGGCTCCCTGTTTTCGGATGTCGCCGGCAACCCCGACGCGCGATTCATCTACGAGTCTATCGACGCGGCCAACTCGCTCCTCAGCATCCTCAACACCTTCATCGACCCCGTCGCCGGGCTCAAGTGCATGCCGCTAAAGTACTGCCTCTACGTCATTTACGCCGCCGTGTTCCTGTTCAAGGTGAGTCTGCCGCCAAATCACTGTGTGAACACGAGATGGGTTGCTGACCATTCCAGGCGAGACTGGCCGGGGCCATCAGCGGCGAGGGGGACGGAGGCGTGCGGCGGGCCATCCAAGGGACCATTACACAGCTGCAAAAGACATCCAACAACCCGCACAGCCTGGGCCGGCGCTACGCCACGTCGCTCCGCCTGTTGTGGCGAAAGTCTCCGAGCAAGCACTCGGCCAAGGCCAGCTCCCGAACCGAGTCGGCGCGAGAGCCACCCACGCCGGCGCAAGGGGCCCCGAGCCGGCCGGAGGCGATGCCTGCTGGCGAGAAGGCGATGGAGATGGATCCGCTGAATGGTTTCTCGTGGAGAGACCTGGATTCTCTGGGCCAGTACATTGTCAACAGCTCGGCGCTGAGCACGACCGACGGCATGTTGACGAGCCACGAGTTTGACTGGGAGCACAGCTCGGCCGGGTTGGACGACTTGGCCATGAGACCGCAGCTGGACGCAATGTGGTCGGGGCACGACATCATCTTTTAGCGTAAGATTGTCGATAGTACGGAGCCATGGCATCGGGGTCAATAACCTTTGGACAAACAACACATTGAGTGTGTCTTTGTTCGGGTATGGTTGGCCCGGTCCTGTTGAAAACGATGACCAGAGCCGGTAAGCGCTTGACTGGCTGCTGCTGGTCTTTTGCCGTAAGAGTCTGGGAGTGCCTGTTCAAGTGGTCGGAGACTTGGGGTTAATTTTGGGGTTGCCCCTCCACTCTTTGCGGTGACGACGGTGAGAGCCGTAGTTATGCCCCTCTCAGCGTTATAGTCAAGTATTTAGTCATTGGGAAATTTCACATTCCTTCCGTCTATATAGCAACAAGGGCCTAACGGGGTCATGTAAAGGAAGGCTTTGTGATTCGGAGCTGACTGGACTGACGTTCGCGGCCAGATCACGAAGCGGGCGCGTCTAAACACGACTCGTAGCCTCTCCTGACCGCAACGTTTATGTTGTGAAATCCCACTACGCCATGCAGCTAGCAAAAGTGGAATGCTCCCGCCATTATATCACCAGTGCAGTTTGTGGATGATTATACCGGCAACGGCCCTTATAGTAACAGGCCTTGGCTATCAAGCGCAAGGCTCTGTCTAACAGGTGTACGAACAGTGGGGAGGTGCGGCGCAAAGGGAAGCTGACTGGCTACCAATCAAGCTCCTTGAAGTCCAGCACGATAGAATAATACCCTATGCCGGATTGACAACTGAAATTTAAGCGCCGCAGGCCAAGGCTGAGCGTATGTTATTCCCAAGCAGTGGCTTGAGAGCACAGCGGAAGGTATAGGGGTCTCGGAGAGGTGAATTTAGTTATGCATATCTTGGCCTATCTATCGGGACGAGTGAGGGGCTTATATAGATAGAGATACCGCAAACAACTACTAGCCAAAAGAGGGTAATAACACGTTCCTGTACACGAGTCACGACCTCCGCATGTCATTCTGCTGGGGGTGTCATCTTGGCCCGGCAGACCCCTTTGCGGGCTCTTGGGCCCTCTGGGCTCTGCTCGCCTCCACAGTAAGTTATACTATCTTACTGGGAAGCGAGGGTTTGCCCTTGCGAACGTGGATTTTTTGACTATAAGTATCCGTACTCTCTACCTAGCCAACGTCGCTGACCTTCCCCCTTTTAGGCCGGGGCGCCACACCTTAGCCTGCGCCTATTAGCCAGCTTGATAGCCAAGGTCTACTAATACCCAAGCAACGCTCAGAATCAATGCATTAACGAGGAATACGAGGAATGAAGGGAAATACGCAAGGTTGAAGGATTATACCACTTATGATGTTGAGTGGAGGCGACGAGATTTCAAGGCCCCAGATTAACAAGATGTAATTATAAAGGCAGCAAGATCGGCGACAGATTTTTGGGTCGTTGGGGAAATATCTTTAATGAGCAATTGCTTCCAGAATTGACAGAGGTAGAAAGCATTTGATTGTTTCAATCGAACTATTAGTGTGGACAATGTTTGCTCAAGAGTCCTACCTCTCCGATGCCCGATACGGGTACGACTTTGTCGTCTCGACGGCGCAGGAGAGCATCAACGCGAGCCTCAAGCAGTTTCTCAACCAAGGGAATCATAAGCCCCTCAGCCTGTGCTTTCTGGCGGACGAGGCGGGCCGACCCAGCGTGCAAAAGTCTCTTGACGAGGTTCTCAGGCTCACGCAGGGCGTAAACCCTTTCGACATTCCGGCTGGGACCCCGTCCGACGACTCACGGGTCAAGGCCCTCAGCGAGGCGCGCTTCCAAGTCGGACTCCAGATCCAGCTCGGTCTACCGTCGCAGGTTGATATCAAGAGTCTGCCCCCGGTCGTTGGGCTGCAAACGGGGGCTCGCCGGGTCCAGTTTAACTTGTTGTGCTCGCAGCTCACAGTCATCCAGAACACCTCGCCGGCTGGTTCTGCGTCGACGGGCTGCTGGGACGTTTGGAGCCAGCCGAAAACCGAGGCATGGTACTTTACAACAATGGTGGACCTGGTGATGGCCGACCTGGACAAGGAACTCGACACGCCCTACTTCAACAACCACCCGGCCATCAAGGCCCAGTTGAAGCGGCAGCTGCAGAACATGGGCCAATCAGCCTTTAGCCTGCGGCAGCTGTTCTTCGATCTGGACAATGCGGCGCTGCAAGCCACGCCCGACATCAAGGGGCTGCCCCGAGGTTCTAAGGCGGCCAGCGTACTGCGGGACACCTTTGTCTCTGTCTACAGCGCGGCGGCCAGAGAAAAAGGACTGCCGCTGCTGGGCGTCACAGTCGTCCCCGATGGCGCGGATCCTTCGCCGTTGCAGCTGACGGCTTCCGAGCACCAAGTGTCTCTCTTCAAGGGCATCGACGGCCTCGAAGTCAGGAATCCGACCCGGCAACAGCAAGACGCCGCCACTCTGGACTACCTGTGCGCCACCAGCCATAACAAACTGCCGCCTGCTACTGCCTTTACCTGGAACTGGGTACCTCTCGAGGACCTCGCGTCGCAGAGCGGTACCATTGCCATCAACCGCAACGCCATTGCCCGCTTCTTGATACCGTCTCTCGTGACCGCGGCCAAGATGTCCTGCTTCAAATTCAAGTGTTATGTCACAGCCCATGTTGAAATCATTGAGTATGACCTGACATACAAGGGCCTCCAGAATCCAGATAATGTCACTGTGACGTCCAAGGGCCCGGACGTGATCCACATCGACTATAAGAGTGAAGACGAAACCCACGATTGGTGCTTCCTCAACTACGGCAGCCTACGAGTCAAGTCAACTTACGCGTGCGATGTCACCTTTTCGGGCACGACAATCACGCTTAAGCAGCATGTTGCTTTCCACGCCTATGCCCAAGTTGAATTCTTAAGCATAGACGGCAGCAACCTCGTCGACAAAACCGTCACCACCGAGTACGCCATCTCAGTTGACCAGGCAGGAGGCCTGCGGATGAAACACTTGGACACGAAAGTCAAGGATAACTCCAAGAGTATCGACGACAACTTTTGGCTGCGACAAGTGCGCTTGACGGCACTCCTTGAGCACTTGAAGTTCAAGGGTATCCACGTGGTCGATAATGCTGTAAATGAGGCAACCCTCAACAGCATCCCCAAATTCATATTTCCTGGCTCCAGGGTTTTTGCGTATAAGTCGGCCGAGTTTTCCAAGAACCAGGATCTTGTATGTGCCATCACCTATGTGGATCCCCGGGGAATGACGGCCGGGAACCAGGCCCCGTTGCCGGAGCAGTCGGCAGGGACCACGGAGACGGCGTCGACGGATCTTGCCCTCCCTACCACTGGCTCGTGCCTTGGCCTGATGCACCAGTCGGAGCTGATGCAAAACTACCTGGCCGGCGAAGTCGTGTCCCCCACAGGCAAGTTTGCGGCGCTGCAGACGGCCGATGGGCTCGGCATGCTCTTTGCCCTATCCACATCGGGAGCCCTTGAAGTCATGACAGAAGTGAGCGGGAGGCAGCGCACCGGCTGGCAGGTCAGTGATTTGTCGAAGGCCCTAGTCGCGGAGCAACTGCCGGGTCGCAAGGCTACCGTGTCTACCTTTGATGTCAGGCAGAGCGCCATCAACGGCACCATCAGCCTCGCAATGGCCGTCTCGGTCGAGGGCAGCGACAGGCTCTTCATCTCGCTCAACAACGATGGTCGAGACACGTCGTGGATGTCGTGCCCGGAATGGGTCCATGTCCCCTTTGACGCTGCTGGCCCCCCGCCGGCGGCCGTTGGCGTTGCTGGCGCCCTGTTCGCTGAGACGTCGGACCGCAAGGAGCTGCTTATAGTCGACATTGACCGCGCAGGGAGCGAAGCGACTACCAAGCACATCGTCCGCTACCGCATCGACCTGGCCAAGGCGAGCGGACATTTCTGGGTCAAGCAGGACGTGCCCGTCGACATCGAGCACGGCACCTACCAGAGCTGCATCGGCCGTAGCGCCCAGACCCGCGTCGACGGCGTCTACACGGCGGGCAGTACGGCCGGGGCGGCTCAGCTCGTCTACGTGCCCATAGTCAACGTGTTTGGCGATGGACCGCCGCCGCCGGTCCGACTGGCCCTGCCCGAGGACGCTCCGGCGTCTGCCATCGCAGCGGCCCGCCAAGGCGACAAGTCCAGCCCCCACCTGGCCTCGACGGACTTGTACGCTGTCAGCGGGTCGACGCTGTTCCGCTTCGCCGCCGCCGAGCAGCACGATGGAGCTCGCGGGGCGCCTCTCGTGAGCGACGGCTGCCTGTCTCTGACGGACACGCTGCATGCCATGACGCACGGCGGCGTCACGACCGTCTGGGGCAAGAATGGCAGCGGCCAGGTCTACTATCTCTCGTGTACCGCCGGGCAGGAAGCCGTGCCCGGCGCCTGGAGCCATCCCGTGCCCATCCTGACGGACATGGAGCGCATCTCGGCCTACGTCAACTGCGTCGACGGCGGAAACACAATCTTTGCCTCGGGCGGTGGCAAACTCGTCCGGCTGACACAGGCAACCGACACCGAGGCCCAGCTCTGGCGACCGCACGCGATTGTCGTTGACTCCGGGCGGGGGCTGCCCGCATTGCCCCTGAAGTCATACACAACCACTCTTCACGTCATCAACTCAGCAGCCCAAGACATGCCCGTGGCCGACACCCCCGTGTCCATTGCCGCAGAGTCTCGCACACCGGTGTACATCAACGGCATCTACTATGTGCTAGGCCAGAAGCCAATCAGCATCAGAACGGACCACGCCGGCTCGCTCACGGTTATCGAGGCCACCGACGGCTTGCATGCTGCAACTCTGACCGTCTCAATTCCCAACGGCCTCGAGACCCATGTCATCGACCCCAAGGCCGTCCCCTTTGAGAAGATTGCCGCCCTCGACTCGGCCGACCGTCTCCGCAACGCCGACTTCCCTGCCACGACGATAGCCGGGGGCGTCTCAGGTCACGTCGAACGCCGGCCCCTCGTCCAGCCCTCCACGCCCGAGGAGAGCCTCGATGCCGTCGCCGCCGGCATGGTGAACTTGCACCAGATCTACTCCAAGGTTCGGCTGCCGGCCGCGACGACCACCCTGTTACCGCTCCGGGATCGGGGCTGCGGCCCGCACGTCGTCCCGCGCAGTTTGTATGGCATTGGCCACGGCGACCCTGTCTCGGACATAGCTATTTCGATCGGAAACCTTTTCCGTTGGCTCAGATCGGGGGTCGAGGCATTGGTCGAGATCATCAAGGACGCACTTACTGACGCGTGGCACTTTATCGCCAAGATCGCCGGCAAGGTCTATCGGGCGGTCCTCAACACCGTCGACGCTGTTGTTGGGGCTGTTGAATGGGTCTTCCATGCCATCAAGACGAACATTGCCGATCTCGTCCGCTTCGCCGAGTTCTTGTTCGAGTGGGATGATATCCGTCGAACAAAGGACGTGCTCCACAACATTGTCAAGCTATTTCTCGGCCATCAAATCCAGACTGGACTCGAAACGGCAAAGACCTGTTTCGACCACACCATCTCAGAAGCTGAGAAGGCAATAAACAACTGGGCCAACATTGCCGACTGGCCGTCCCTTGGTCCCGCCGCCTCCTTACCCGCAAAATCTAGTGCCTCGAGCCCGGCAAAGGGGCAAACACCGGCTTCGCTGCTGCTTTCCAACCACTTTGGCACTCATGTCCGGGAGCTGACCATTGTTACGGAGCCTCCTGCGGTCGACCACATGCAGGTTGGGCACCTCATTGACGTCCTTCTGGCTGCTCTCTCAAGGGAAGGCCAGGTTCTCTCCAATGTCTACCTCCGACTGAAGGAACTAGCCGAGGTATTTCATACCATGACAGTTGCCGAGGCTGTTAAGGCATTCGCCGCCACCTTGGCCGACGGCCTCTTGTCGAGCGTGCAGGTCGTTTTTGATGCCCTCGTCGATGCCCTTCGCTCGCTCGTAGGCTCTGCCGTCGAGCTGCTGGATACCAAAATTCATATCCCCGTCATATCGGACCTTCTCAATCTCCTAGGTGTTCCCGATGTCTCGATCCTTGATCTCTTCGCGTGGATTTCTGCCGTTAGTTATACGGTTGTATACAAGGCAGTTTGTAAACAGGCTCCCTTCGCCAACACAGCCAAGGTGAGGAAGCTGATATCGGCTGTAACATGGGATGAGCTTACTGCCGTCATTGACGGCAACTCTGGGCGCCAACTGGCCCTCAGCGAGCAAGTCGACGAGGAAACCGAGGACCATCAAGAACTTGTCGAGAACATAAAGAAGGCGATCTTCACCACGTGCCATTGCGTTGCAGGGACTATTTTAATCACAGGCAACTTTCTCAGCGTGCTCGAGGCCGAAGCGATAACGGGCGACAACCCATTCGGAATCCCAGCTGCTGTCGCCAACATCACTGCGGCCACTCTACAGGGCGCCGCCAACTTTCTCGTGCCCGTATGTCCCATTAAAAACCAAGTATTTGTGGATTTGTCGAGAGCGACCCTTGTGGCCTCACTGGCCGTCACAATCATCTTCTGCGGACCTGTGCAAAAGAGACTGGCCGTTACGGAGAGCAGCTTTAAAGGGCTCGCCGTTGGGGATGGGCGGGCTACAGGGTCCATCTTCGACGCAATTCTCGTCATCCCCGCCCTTGTCACCACGAGCTGGCACTTTCACGAGCTGAGCCACGAAAAGGGTAGTGGTGAAAGGTCGGCAGCGATTGTTGGCGAGGTCTACAATCTGGCGACATATGTATCCAGGCTCTCGTACACTGCGGCCGTGAACCTGGACCCAGCTGACAAGCAGATACCTCTTGGGGTTCTTGCGGTCAGCAACTTGACCAGGAGTGGATTGCAGATTGCCGAGGGTTTGATCGAGATTTGAGACTGCCATGCCTCGAGCTGCTTTTTGTCTCCAGCTGTTGTTGCTTGGAGGAATAGATAGAGGGAGAACCTCGGATTCCCGAATTGACGGCGGGGTGGTTCCCTTTCAAGGAGAGGTTGTTCATGCGGCCGTAAATATAATCAGTTCATCTCATAATTACCTCCTACTCTAGTTCTCTCGTTTCCTATTATATGACGAGAGTGTTTGGCAGCCTTCCTGGCCCAGCTCAACAGTCGCAGGGGCCACGTTGAGCTTAAGCCAAGCCCAATGCGTGAAAAAACACAAGCACGGCCGAGATGAAATAAAGTCAGTGCAAACAGGAGTGAGAGGTGACCAGGCGCCCGGTGGTATAGTTATAGAGCCCCAAAAGGCGCCCAGAAGGACACTTCTCACGAGGAATAGAGCAGGCTCATCTGATTACAAGCCACCTTCATGTATCCAAAATGACCTTTGTGATTTCATAGGTCTGGGGTTAGAACAGTCGGCGTGAAACATGCTACGGCGGCCTATAGGTGAGTTAGAGTTAAAACACGATTTGACATTTTATACTGCTACGCGTATACTAGGTGGGTGGCGATTTTAATAAATAAGACGACAAATAGATAAGGGAGACAAGAGAATAGTGTTATTTGCAATATATTTAGACTTATAGACCTAGCTTTACTTTTAAGGTTACAATTAAGCTATATATTAATTCAGTTTTAAAATAATATATATATATATATATATATATATATTAATTTATTTTAAAAGTGATATATATATAAGTAAATTTAAACTATATAATAGAAATAGTTTAAAGTATATATACGTATAACTATATATATAAATTAAATTTAAACTTGGAAAAAAAACATATATATATATATATATATATATATATTGTAACGGGCAAGCCGCTTTAACGGCGGCTGCGCCGCCTAGCTTCTAGAACCTTCCATTGGCTCGAAGCTATAAAATGCCGTTATGCTCTTATGTAGTAGATTCTCTTTCTTTCTTTCTTTCTTTTCTATCTTGATAGTAAACAGCATAGGGACTAGTTAGTTGTATCAACTCACTAGAGGCCTTTCACATACTATCAAGATCACCGAAGACACTGAAGACACTGAAGACACCAAAGTAACCGAGTCCCATCGGAGCCATTAGCATTCAGCGAAGTCGCGATGGCCGAAGATAACAACAACATGCAGCCGGACGTCCTCAGCGCCCTGGTTGCCGAGATACGAAGTCTGAGAGAAGAGAATTCCCGAAGAAATACCCTGTTTGAAGAACGTTTTATTGCCCTGAACTCCAACAACACCAGCAAGCCCGTTCGTCTGAACTCCTAGAGCCAATGCCATCTGTCACCCCGGCTGTCCCCATCGAGGACACCCATGTGGGCGCCAATCACAACCCTCACCCAACCAAGCGCCCCAAATTACGAGACATCCCTAAATTCGGCGGCGACAAGGCCCAGTGGCGAAGCTGGAAACTAGAAACCGAAGGAAAGCTACGAGTCGATAAAGAAGCCCTTGAGATGCAGAAGGCCACTTTATGTACATCTTCATGAGCCTAGAAGGCAAGGCTAAAGACAACGTGACCACATTTGTGGAGATGCAAACCGAGAAGAGAACGTTCAATGTTGCTGAACTACTCAACCGTCTCGAATTGCTGTACGGGGAGAGGGATCGCAAGCAGAGAGCTACACGCAATCTGCATTCGATTAAGCAAGGAGAGAATGAACCATTCACGTCCTTTACCCCGCTTTGAGAGGAGATCGCCAATGCCAACGCCGAGTATTGGCCAGACGACAGCAAGATTTCCTACCTCAGGAGGCACTAAACGACAAAATGAAAGCAGCCCTCATAGGCTCTGACCCCTCTGCCATCAGCAGCTATGTTGGGCTGGCGAGGAGGTGCGATTCGCTGAGCAGCCAGATGGAACTGTTGGGTCAGTGGAAAAGGCCCCGAGGCAACACAAAGAGTTCGGACAACTATGACAACTACCAGAACCATGGAGGCCAGTCTGCCCAGAAACAGTCTGCCCAGAAAACCGAAGTTAGACGAGAGGATATGATGGAATGGGAGCCAACTCTACAAGCATCCGCGAAAGTGAACGCTGCGCGCACCCGCAGTGATAAGAACACATATGGCTACCAATCCAAGCGACCAGAAGACCAAGCGCTGTTGGGCAAGCGTGCCCAGTGGGTCGACCAGGCCGAGATGGACGCCCGTTACCGTGAAGGGCGTTGCCTCCGTTGTGGAAGAGACAACTGCAGAATCGAGCGCTGTCCATTGGCTGCGCCTATCCGACCCGCAAACACGACCCGACGCACTCAGGTCAATGCCGTGACCCTTCACGACCAGCGGTCACTAAAGCCGAGATCGCCGAAGACGATGCTTCTTCTCATAGCGATGAAGATTCAGACTAGGGACACGCGGCGGCTGTGAGAGAATGGGATGTGAGCGGAAAAGCAAAATGGACGGAGAACCGTTCATAGCAGACGTCAGGGTGAACGGCACAGACTTTGTGCCATCTCTTGTCGACTATGGCTGCCTCTGCTACGGCGCGGTCAGCAAGCGCACATTTCACTCTCTCCAGTTGCCACATATACGCGTCCAGCCGCGCATCTTGGAGAATGCAGCGGAGACGGCAAGGAGGTCAAAATCGACAAGATCACGTATGTGTCGATCGACCTCGATGGACATCAGCAGCATCGTGTTTTCATGTACGTCATCGACGATCTGAACTGGGATATGATCCTGGGTAAACGATGGATGGAAGACCAGGATGTTCACATCCATGCGAAGGAAGGATATCTCGAGATCGGGTCCAATGGAGTCCAAGTACGAGACCGACGACGTTACCAGCCTCCTCAGCTAGACGTCTCTAATGTCATGGCCGCAACCTTTTTAGCAGAAGCACGCCGTGACAAACGCAAAGGCGGCATTGGAGTTCACTCGGTCACAATGGCGGATATTGACAAGGCCCTAAGACCGAAACCGAAGACTGACGTAATGGAGAAGCTGCCACCACAGTACCACAAGTGGTCTCGAGCTTTCTCTCAGCAACTGGCCGACCAGCTGCCCCCTCATCGGCCAGGTGTGGACCTGAAGATCGAAGTGCTGAAAGACGAGCATGGCCGAGAGGAGCCCTACCCTGGGGACCGCTTTACAGCATGTCCCGCGAGGAGCTATTGGTGCTACGAAAGACCCTCACAGAACTACTCGACAAGGGATTTATTAGAGTCAGCAGCTCGCCAGCCGCAGCACCAGTCCTTATGGTGAAGAAGCCCGGCGGAGGCATCCGCTTCTGCGTGGATTACAGAGGTTTGAATCACATAACGAAGAGGGACCGCTATCCCTTGCCTTTACTGAGCGAGACCTTGCGAACGATAGCCAAGGCAAGGTGGTTCACCAAGGTAGATGTTATAGCAGCGTTCCATAAGATCAGGGTCGCCCTGGCGACGAAGAAAAGACAGCCTTCAGAACGCGCTATGGATCCTTCGAATGGCTGGTAGTTCCATTCGGCCTGACAGGCGCACCAGCAGCCTTTCAGCGGTATATTAACAGCGTGCTCCAGGATTACCTCGATGATTTTGTGTCAGCGTATATCGACGATGTCCTGATCTTCTCCTCTGGAAGCCTGCAAGACCACCGCGACAAAGTCGGCAAGGTCCTCCAACGACTGATGGACGCTGGGCTGCAACTGGACATCAACAAGAGCGAATTCGAAGTCAAGGCTGTGAAATACCTTGGGTTCATCATCGAGGCGGAGTGTGGGATCCGAGTCGACCCAGAGAAGGTTGAGGCTGTGAAGGGATGGGCAACCCCGACGAATATTAAATCCGTGAGGAGTTTTATCGGATTCGCGAACTTCTACAGGGTGTTTATGCCAGACTTCTCGGTGATAGCGGAGCGCTAACGCGGCTAACGAAGAAGGACGTGCCATTCCGTTGGGATGGATTGTGCGAAGAAGCCTTCGAGAAGCTCAAGGACCTGTTGATCACGGCCCCGATCCTTGCACACTTCCATCCAGAAAGGGAGACTATCGTGGAAGCGGACGCTTCAGGATTCGCGTCGGGAGGCGTGCTCCTGCAGAGAGATGATAAGGATGGACTGGTACGACCTGTCGCATACTTCTCGAAGAAACATTCGGCAGCCGAAGCGAACTACGCTATCCATGACAAGGAGCTACTCGCCATTCTCAGATGTTTGGAGCAGTGGGAACCAGAGCTACGGGCAGTAGAGCACTTCAAGATCCTAACGGACCACAAGAACCTGAGATACTTCTACTCGGAAAGGAGGTTGACAGAGAGACAAGTGCGGTGGTCGGAGTTCCTGTCCAAGTTCCAATTCAAGCTCGAATGGAGGCCGGGCCGCAAGGGCGGATTGCCTGACGCGATCTCGACGGGACCAGGATATGCCGGCAAACTACTCCGATGAACGACTAAAGGGACGCATTATGAGGCTATTCCAAGACGACCACCTTAGAAGGGTCCCAATATCGACATTGTCTACCAACACCGATGGTGCCCAGGAAATCAACTTCGGAAAAGAGATCAGGATATTTGAAGATGAGGAGTTACAGCAGCTGTGGCACGCCGCACGCCAAGAAGACAAGCTCTATCAAGAACTCACGAAGCTGGTAGCAGATGGAGCGAAGAGTTTGCCAACAGGATTACAGAAGGAGAAGGTTGTCAGCATTTCAGAATGCTCGTTAGACAATAGGGGCCTGCTGTGCTTTAGAGAACGCGTCTGGATACCCGGTTCGGAGCCGCTACGTACGAAGATCATCCAGGAAACTCACGACTCTCATATCACCGGACATCCTGGAAGGGACCTCACGTACTCGACTCTGTCGAGACGCTTCTTCTGGCCGGGTGCCGCTAGCGATGTACGTCGGTTTGTGCGCAACTGCGAGGTTTGCGGACGAAACACCATCTGGAGGGATACAAAGAAAGGACTCCTAAAGCCGCTCCCTATTCCGCAACGCATATGGAGCGAAATTACCATTGACTTTATTACTGACCTCCCACCGTCGGGGAAAGATGGCGCGACGAACTGCATGGTGGTCACGGACCGACTCACCAAAGGCGTCGAACTCGAAGGATTACACGATATTTCTTCAGAAGCGGTTGCAAGAAGACTCTTCGAACGACACTACCCTGTCCATGGCATCCCAACGGCTATTACCAGTGATCGGGGTCCCCAGTTTGTCAGTGGTATGTGGAAACACTTCTGTCAGCTGCTAGGATCGAGCAGCGGTTGTCAACGGCGTACCATCCACAAACCGACGGTGCAACAGAACGAATGAACCAAGAGGTAGAGAGGATTCTTCGGATATGGACAAACTATCTGCAGGAGAACTGGTTGGACTTGCTTCCAGTCGCGATGGCGACAATTAACGAGCGGGAAGCAACCTCCACCGGACTGAGTCCGTTCTTCTTCATGCACGGCTACCACAATGAGCCAATCCAGTTAGTTGAGCATCGAAGCACGGAAGACACAACACAGGAAGAAGCTGCAGCGGAGGATTTTATTCAGAGACTACAGGATGCCACGGAGTTTGCGCAAGCAGCGATAGCTATGGCCCAGGAAATACAGCAAGCGCAAGCCAACAAGCACAGGACAGCCGCACCGAGATACAAGCCTGGGGATTGGGTATACCTCAACTTGAGAAATGTCAAAACATCGCGACCCTGCAAGAAGCTCGATTGGTTACATGCCAAATATCAAGTGCTCACCGAAGTCAGCCCACATGCCTATAGGTTGGATGTGCCTGGACGTATCCATCCAGTCTTTCACGTCGATCTACTCCGGCCAGTACCGGAGACCCATTGCCTTCGCAGAAAATCGATCAAGAGAGTGCCCCACCGGTGCTGGTGGACGGCCAAGAAATGTACCTCGTCGAAAGGATTCTGGATGAAAGAATGGAAGGTACGCATAAGAAGGTGCTCGTAAAATGGCATGATTACTCGCAGCCTACGTGGAGCCCCTTCCCACTATTCGACACACTGATGCATGGAAGCAATGGAAGAAACATAAAAGAGTGTCACCTTCTCAAGTCATCTTGACACAGATTGCCACGATCCCAAGGAAGAGGAAACGTTGGACGGGAGGGAGGTAATGTAACGGGCAAGTTGCTTTAACGGCGGCTGCGCCGCCTAGCTTCTAGAACCTTCCATTGGCTCGAAGCTATAAAATGCCGTTATGCTCTTATGTAGTAGATTCTCTTTCTTTCTTTCTTTCTTTTCTATCTTGATAGTAAACAGCATAGGGACTAGTTAGTTGTATCAACTCACTAGAGGCCTTTCACATATATATAACATTATTTGAAATTTAAGGTAAAGAAGAAAGATGTCTATTAGTTATATGCTTAGTAATATGCCTAGCCGTATAATAGTCTGCTTATATATCCCTTTCTCCCTTTTTGCTAGCTGTAAAAGGGGCATCTTCCCCCCTTCTTTAGCTAGCAATAATCAACTTTCAACTGCTTTTTTTCGCACCAAGGAGTATAGGGCGCTAGGTGGCATAAAGCAATATACTATAACCGAAGATCACTTAGCGCAGCGGCCCTATAGGGGATTCCTACGGGCGTAATATAAAATAATAATAGACATACAGCCGCCCGCCAACGCTGGCCCCTGCGCCCATGCGGACGGCATCTAAGAAGCAGGAGTATGGCACGTACGCCAGTTCTGCGCCAAATTTTCACTTAACAATTAGAAATAGAATACTATACTTCCATAGGCCGACCCTTCTAAAGGACACCAACCTTAGCTGCCAGTGGCTGTGTCACAGTGATGCGAGGAACATCCGCTATCGTACTGCAGGTATTAATGTTGATGTATCCCGCTGGACTGAACCTTGAAGTACTATTGCTTTGTCATTATGTGGGTAGCCTCAAGCTAGTAGGATCTGTTTTTGGCGCCCGGACGCCAGTGTATCGATCACCGTACCTTGTCTCGTCCCTACATCCCGCAGGGTAGTTATTTGGAAAGGTAAGGGTCAACATGTAAATTTAGATTCGTCTGTTCTATCCAAGAAGGGGCAAGCAAGAGCCCTACTTATGACAAAGGAGAGTAGAAGAGTCTAGGAAAGACGCATTAACTAATTAAGACAGATTGCAGATATGCATAAGAAAAGGGGTGGTGGCTTAAGCAGCAATGGGGAATAATCCTATTACAGGATCCGTGATGTGTGAAGTGCGAAGGGCACGTACAGTACCCTGGATGCAATACTACACCTTCAGCTACCATAGCTATCAGGCTTCTGGCCCGAGTCTTAGGCCCTTCTTCTTGACACCACGACCGGAAATACAGCGCATGCCGCGTTCGACCTCGATATACTCCGTACCGGCATGACAGTCTCCATAAGACGCCAGTCAGCTCCAGTTCGTCGGCGGCAAGGGCGGGACTGGCAAGCCGCGCGTGATCGAAGTACTCGTGGGCCATTTTGCCGCGCAGGTCATTTCGAGTCGTCAGCTGATTACGGCGACGTCGGGGGACCGCCGCGCCGCGGGTGACAATCTACTCCGCCTGAGTAGGCTTGGTCCTTTCGTCCCTTCGTTCCTTGAGGCATTTACGAGGTGAAACTCGTAAGTGGCGGTGGGTTTTCCTGGCTCTGTGTCCAGAAGCCGTCTTGTCTCTTCGTTCGTCAAGGCGTTCTCCTCTTTTGGCTAGAGCCGCAGGGCTGTTTTAGCATAAGAGAGCCCTTAATAAGTGAGACTTACGCGTAATTACTGCGTACTTCGTAATAGCATAATGTACTATATGTATAACCACTGGGTAGCCTTAAGTAGACAAATACAGAGTAGGCAGACATAAAGACCATCAAGGTATTCTTCCTCAGCATTTCCAAGGCGACTTACTCACGAGCAGATAAAAGAGGAGACCCTAGACAATGCTATAGAATGCCCTACCTTAGCTGCATGTTAAAAGCAGGTTTGTCACACTTGTCATGTACCTTGTATTGTACGAATTGGCAGGGATCTAGTCGTTGATGCTTGGGGACTTCACAGCACGTTCAATATTGCGCTTTATTGTACTCGATGGGAACCCCTCATCCGCCTTTCCAGCTATTCAAGGTATACCAGACGTGCTTGACCTCGTCAACATCACACTCCCGTAGCGTGTGACAACCGCAAGGCCTTGGATATATGCAACAGGCTTGCTTAGGCAATGGGAGACTCCTTTGTAGACCCCTTACGTATCTGCGCGTTTCCGAGTCAGCCATGTTTTGGCGGATGCTCGTCCTCGGCAATATAAGAACCTCCAACATCGCCTTTGCACAACATCTTTCCAACACCATCACACATGATTCATCATTCGTTCGCATTGATACTTCCATCTCTAGGCACTCCGCACTCCAAAATGAAAACCTCGACCACTCTCTTTGCTATCTTCGCCGGACTGGCTGCAGCTAGACCGGCCCTTCATAACCAAAAGATCGACGCCGATCTTGAGGCTGCCGGCAATAATTTCGGAATCACTGAAAGCAGTGGAGGCTCAGCCACGACCTCGGGCAGTGAAGATCATACCACCGACCCTAACGTATGTAACTCCTACCGATGTCAACAAGCAACCGATGTTAACAATATGTGACCAAAGACCAAAAAGTGGGCTCTCGAGGAGGATAGGAGGCCTGTCGATCCTAAGCAGCCCATAGACGACTATATCCCAAAGACCACCTTTAGCTGGGTAAGCAACTCGTTCGTCGTGGAAAAAACGCGCGGGCTATCAGGAGCTCACCGATACGACCGCAGAACTCGAAGACCAACCCGCAGCCAGACCGTCCGCGCACTCAGCAGGAAATCGATGATTATGAGGATGTGAACGATCTTGTTGATGGAAGGCCTCTTCATGAGCACAACGTAAGCGTTTTTACTGGACCACCAAAGAAGTCTGAGGTGCGCTAATATAAGAAATGACAGCGGGTAAGCAAGCCTCGCCCCCAGGAGGACTAGGAAATGGTCCTGTAGGAACGGCAATTGCTGCACTGGCATGGCTCTTACACTGGCATTGGTCATATCTTTGTCGAAGGAGACCAGATGTATATAGAAGGTTCCATGGCCACGACGACTCCATCGGCTATGTCTATATGAAACAGAGCTTTCCTCTCCTTCCTGTTGCTAGACAGACATGATCAGTAGATCATTCATTCACTCTTTCACAGTCTGCGTATGCAGACAACAATCTTTTTGTTAGTGCATTGAGATTCTGCCAACAGCTCCCGTTGCATGTAGCTTAGGCTTGACCCTGCAAATGCGATGCGACGCATCCTCACTAGCTGGCTATTACACCAACTATCTCTCTGTTGCATGTGAAGTCTACTTGGAATGACTGTTCGCGAAAGATCTCATATTTGTCAAGGTCACAGGACTCCACGAGTTCTCGCGAAGTGAGCAGGCAGAAGGGCATAAAATGCGGAAGATTACGCTGAAGTATTAAATTCCACGACGTACCTTCCGGACCAGGCTGCGTCGTACCGACGAGCTGCTCCCGAAGTGCGCCAGGCCAAACCTGATTCCGCGCAAGTTCGAAGACAATCCGGGTTAGCCTCTATTACAAACCGCGTCGAAAGGGGAATTGTTACAGGATAAAGGCTAGATCCACCAGGTACGAGGTAGAAACAGGCAGAGCCACTCTTATCCTATATACTAGATAGCAACGTTAGACCCGTCCGTATATAAGACGGACCTAACGACTAGATAGTCAGAAAGGACAAGCCTTTTACTCCCACTTCTCGGACGGCATATCTTGCGACTGTCTAGAGTCACGGGAAGACTATCGCTAGACATGGCGAGCACCACTTCGTATTCATCGCTAGTCACGGTAGGTCTGACTGACACCCAGCATCCCTAACAGTAGCCCTGAAATAGCCCGTAGGTAGGTGTGGCAGCCTATAAGCAAAAAGCCATAAGTATTTTTAAGTCCACAGTCGTATAGGAGATGCATGCAACGTTGATTCAGCCCCCGGCGCCGGCCCTGACATGGTTGGCTGGATGAGCTGGGCCGCCTTGCCTCGCCCCCACTCGCCTCGGCCGGCGTAGGCGTCTATGCTCTAGTGTAGGCTGCCGCCTCGGCTCGCGACCATTCTAGAGATTTTGGCAGATGTTGCTCCGAGTGGCTTTGTCCAGAGGGGAGAGCGGCTGCTGCCGCCTACGACACGGCTGGGGGCTTACGGCGCCCAGCATCGAGGACGTAGGGAGTCGGGACCGTCACACAAGGTCTCTGCTGTCACGATGAATGCCTGCCATTTCCCTCCCGTCAGGTTTGAAAGTTATGGGTAGATAAGCTGGGACTGCTCGAGACCTCATCACCAAGCCAAGTGTTCACACTCGGCACCCAGGTGATGCCGTCCGTCATGGCACGCACCGCACCGGGGACACTGGGCGACTACGCGGCCGTGGCCTCGCAGGACATGACCGAAAACACGGAGGCCTCGAGCACGGGCATTGGCGCCGGCGGCCGCGCGCCCGGGACCTCGAGCGACCCTCCGGCGCCTCCTTCCGCGGATGGCACCACTATCATGGAGGCTGGCGGCGCGGGCACGGAGACCGGCGACGGTGAGCTCCAAAACCAGCAGCCCGCCCCCCACGCCGGCGGCCGCGCGCCCGGAGCCTCGAGCGACTCTTTGGCGCCCTCTCCTCCGGACGGCACGACAGACACTGAGGCTGGTGGCGCGGTTACGGAGGCCGGCGGCGCGGGCACGGAGGCTAGCGGTGCGGGCACGGAAACGGGCGACGATGAACCCCGACACCGGCAGCCCGGCACCGAAGCTCGGAGCCTACGCCGGCGCCTCGGCATCGACGGCATCCTCACCTTGATTCCGGGCTCGGTCGTGCTGCTCTTGGTGGTGCTGGCCGAGGCTGCGCTCTGGCAGGAGGCGGCGTGGGCAAGGCAGGGGGGAGAGCCGAGACGGCCTTGGATCAATATCTTCACCCGGAACTGGACTACCACGTCCATCACGATAAGCACGGCCATCGTCCGGACCATCGTGGCCCTCCAGGCCGGGCTTGTCGCCGCGCTACTCGCCGCCATCATCCTCGAGTCCATCGGCGCCCCCCTGCGCGACGGACCCTTCTACTCCATCGTCCGGGCCCTGACCGTCTCACCGCTTACCTTGTTGCTTCGGTCGTCGTCGTGGCCAAAGGGTATCCTGGCATTTTCCGTCTACGCGCTACTAGTCACCGAGGTCCTGGTCACCTTGGCGTGCCAGTTTCTCTCTACCCTGCTCGTGTCCGACTTGGCTAACGCGCCCGTCGTCGGCCTTAGCGTCCCCTTGACCGATACGATCTTCTTGGACCAGTCGCCGACCTTCAATATGGTTCAACTGTGGCAAGCGCCTCCTACCTCGAGCTGGACATTTGCAGAGGTCTCGGGATCGCACTTGCAAAAGGGCAACTTCGACAACACGGGAAACACCTATCGAGCCCTGCTCCCCTTGAATGAGGGGCGCCGAAAGCGTCTCCGACGGTTCCACGGGCCGGCGCCTATCTTGGACTCCCAGGTGGCCTGCTTCAGACCGCAGATGAGAAATATCACTATGCGGAGGCCAGGGCCGCTGCTGACAGGCTTCGTCGGCATCTCATCGGGGCAGATCGGAAACCAGATGCTGATGGAGCCCACCTCTATGAACATCAACTGCGAAATTCCGGATGGAAACCTCTATGCGGCCGGCACGAGCCTGTGCTACCCCAATTCGGGCATGAGACCTAGCCATATGCCGAGTTTGAAACCTGGTCAAGACATCAGTACTATTCCTGTCAACATCCCCCTAGACCCGTTCTACTTGGTCAATCCGAGTCGGCAAGCGTCCGAAATGTTCGTCATGGTGAACATCGGTTCTATCCCGGCCATGGACGGGCTTGTGCCTAACTCGACGGCGGACTCCCACTGGCCCGACAACGTATGGCATGACGACGGCCCCTGGGCGGTGGCTTCTAGCAACCTTAGCAACGACGCCGTCCGTGTCACGGCCTGCATCGCCTCCCTCGGCTACAAGACATTGACTGTCGACATTAACAGCTCCGTCGATGCCCGGGAGCCAAGGGTCACCTGGGACTCGTTGGCCGCCAAGTACGACACCGGGGCAAGCAGGATCCAGCTTGGCGCATCGTCTAAGATGGAGAGCTTCCAAGAACGCGGCGTGCTAAGTCTAGCCCCAGTGTCACAATGGGAGCACGAGGATAAGACGACGCAGAACAACGACTCTGACTACTTCCGGAGAGCCATCGAAGTTTCCTTCCCCGCGAGACTTGGGAATCTACCTCAGCAGGCAGACAGCGGCGTCCTGCTCTCCAAGATAACGCCCGGCGCGCACGAAGTCGAGGGCACAGACCAAGCGCACCCGGCACACGTCGACCTGTTCCACGACGTCCTGGGCGATACGGGGAGCCCGGCCCTGGCGCTGCAGGCGCTGCTGACGAGGCTCTGCCAGATGGCCTACTACGAGCGCCTCGACCGGACTAATACGACGGCGCCCGCGTCCGTCTCCTTCTCCTCCTCCGTCTTGATCCCCGTGCGCTGGACCGGCTTCTCCGCGGCCACGGCTCTCGTCGCGGCGCACTTTGTCCTCGTCGTGGCCGTCACGGTGCTGTTCCTGCGCCTCGCCAGGGACTCGCTAATCGGCAACTCGTGGCAGGCCGTTTCGCAGGCCGTCTCGGAGGACACGCGGCCCCTCCTGGAGCAGGCCGGTGCCATGACGGACAAGGACATTGAGGCCTGGGCCAAGCGCCGGTCGCTCGGCATCGCGCGCCCGGCTGGCCTCGCGTATCGACGCAATGGGCGGAGGGCCCTCGGCCTGCTGGATGGAAAGGCGGGTTAACGTGGACTGCTTCGCGGAACCTTTGGGCGTCTGTGTTCGGGCAGGGTCGTCTTTGCGGCTCAAGCTTGTCGGCATGAATATGCATGGGGGGCATGTCTGTCGAGAATGTCGTTCTTGTACCGTGTTCACGGCACATGTATTTTGTAAGTTCGTTCATCCGTAGGCGGGCCGGTCCCGTGAAGAAGTTGTACATTTCCATTTGGGTGACTTTGGTTCGCATCCACGCCTCCCTTCAACCCAAGATATGTTAATGACCGTTCTTTGATAGACGGTCCGTTTGCGAATGCTCTAAGCTGTGGACGAAAGAACAAGAGGGTAGCTTTTCTACTCTATTTTTTTTAGGTAGACACTTTCTCATTCTTTGAATCACACCAACTCCGAGAGAAGCCACATCAACCCTCGCTCCTGTCCTGTTTTCTACAAATCTTCGAATTTCCACGAGCTTGTTTCGTAATATTCAAGCCTCAGTGTACCGACGGTGCGTAGACACCGAAGGCACTCTTTCTCGATGAAATGAGAAAGTCTTGTGTAAATCGCGAGGTTCTGAGAGAAAATGCAACAGTCTGCGCCACTTGTCGAGGGAGCCTTTAAAGACCAGATTCACCATTTATCCTGAGAGGAGGTGGCATTTTTCTTTTTTGGAGATTGGTATCATAAGACCGATGTCTTTTTGGCAGCCCAAGGATCCCCGACTCGGCGAACGAAGAACAAATCGCCGTAGGCTATTGAAGACTTCATGTCGCCTCCCGTCAGATGTCCGCCTTTGAGAAGAGCCTACCACTGCTGTAGGCTCTTTTGAACAGCATTGCGACTTCAACTACATGCCTCAACGAAGGAACACCTTCAGGAGGGGGGCAAAAGGACGCTACCCAAAAGCGCCGACACTTCCAGAAGAACATGGTTGCAAAAGTGCTACGTGGGGACATGTTGGTAACCGAGCATATCTTCGGCTACGAGCCAGAGGAGTCATGAAACGTCACTCCAAATCTCCCAGCCCGAGGCTCCCCAAGGCGGATTCAACTCCCATATCTTCCCAGCCATGTCATGCCACCCATGTTTGCGCAGGCTGTACACCTCTTCTGCCTCCGACAGTTCTTCATGTGAACTCGTCCGTAAGAGATCTCGTCCTTAAATGATGGGCGATTCTATCGTCGCGTCCGCCCTACTCGTTTCTTCAAGTCCGGCGCAATTCCGCGCGACCGAGCAAGCAGAGCAGCAAAAAGAATTGAGACACAGCTGCGCTGACTTAGGAGCCCGAGAACTGGTTTGGCACCGGCTAGAATGTATTCGTGCTTGCCATCATGCCGGAGCTGCCTGGGCGAAGCGGCTTCATCTGGTTGTGTCGGGTGATGACTGTTGCTCCTCGGCGCCTAGATCCGGTCGCGTTGCTGAATTGGTGGGCCCATGCCTGTCTTGTAGACTTATGCGTCTCGATGCTTCTTCAAGACCATGTGGGTTGAAGCCTCACGAATGATGCTCGTGTAAGGCACCGGCCACGCTGCAAAGTGCGATGGCTGACGAGGCTCCGTAACTAAGATAACGGCCTCGCGGGTCCAGCTGGTCTCGTCGGATCCCGCAAACAACTCGATATGTAAAGTCCCGGTGCAGTTTTCGGGCCTGCTTGTTGGCCATCTCGCAGCCAGATCGACGCTTGGAGCTTGGTATGCCTTGGTCGGCTCGACTCGAGTCGAAGCCTTTTCCTGCATCTACGCGCTATTCCCAAAGAACTTTGTAATTTTTGAGAAGCGGGCTCCTTGGACTTGGCGGGGCTTCTATGCTTGTTCCTGGTCGAGCTGATCTTCCTGTTACCCGTGGGCTACTTCAAAGGAGGGCTGCCTCCGGGCAATGGCGCCGCTTTGCGCTTCCCCGTGGAAAAATCCTTGGCGTCCCCGTTACTCGGACCGTCTGCCCCAGCAGCCGTCGATGGCTTCTCAGCCTGCTCCAGCCTGGCCGCGGCCTGCTTCTTCTGCGGGGCGCCAGCGAAGAATTTGGCAATGTTCGTCTTGTTTTCCTTGTTGTCGAGCGGGATGATGAACGATGGCGAGTTGTTGCCGACCTTACCGACGTCCTTGCTCACGGGGTAGACGTCGAGGGCGCTGTCAAAGGGCCGCAGCAGGCACTGCAGGTCGCGTGTCCACTCGCGGCGCGCCGAGTCCAGCCAGGTCCTGGCCGCGTCGGAGCCCGGGTCCCGGATAACAGGCATGCGGTTGTAGAGAAACTTGAGCTGCTTATTGGAGTCGGTGGTGATGATGGTATACCTATATGTCTTTTCCTAGGACCCTGACGGGGCGTGAGCAAAAGACCGAGTTCCAGGCGCCCCGGGGGGGAGGGGGAGGGGGAACCATTGGTAAGCTTGGGGCGTAGACGGGAGCAGCCGGGGCGACTAACCAGAGTCAGAGCGTATCTGCCACACATGTTGTCTGTGGGCTGACTATGGCGATGGGCGGCGATGGGCGGCGATGGGCGGCGTCGGGCTGCCGGCTACGACTCGGTGACGTCGCGTAGGAACAGCTCGCTCCGGAGTACGCGAGGTCACGTGCTGCCACCTTAAGTCGCGTCACCGACTTCTGGCCTTGTCTTGCGCACTCGGTTCCGCAGCTCGACACCAAGCGGCCGCCATCTTTTCTCGCGACTCCGAGATCAGCCCTCTCTGCCGCAAGAGTAACACCACGCTCCCCAGACCCAGTCGATTGTCGCCTCACTTTCAAAGGACTACGCGGCCGTGCCTCTCCAAGTAGTCCTCATCCGCCACGCCCACGCCCAGCACAACGCTGACGATAGGTCCGTTGTAGCCCTCAAACTGAGACACCTTTCGTATATACGTCAATGCATACACACCCATCCACTCTCCGATCTCGCAGCGACGACTGACTCTTGCCCCTCGGCCCCGCCATCCACTATCCCCCTCTCACCAAGCTTGGTGTCGAACAATGCGCCGCCCTGCGCGCCAGCCTTAAGGAGCGCCTCGAGTCGGCGACTGGCTCCGTCGCCGTCGTCAGCAGCCCCATGCTATGCACCCTGCAGACGGGCACCCTCGCCCTGGACTGGCTTGAGCAACGGGGCGTCGTCTTTGAGGCCAACGCCGACTGGCAAGGTACGCAAATGCCTAGACCTTTCCCCTGCGCTGAGCCAGCTGAATTTGCTTCAACAGAAAACTCGGCTAAGCCGTGCGACACGGGCTCACCCGCCGCCTCTCTTGTGCCTTTGTTCCCCCATGTCGACTTTGGCTGCCTTGACCCTGTCTGGCCCGACCAAACGTGCCCCCGCGCCGGTCGCTATGCCTACACGCGCGGCGCCATCCTCGCCCGCGGCGCCGACGCCCTCGACGCCCTCCGCCGCGGGCCCGAGGATCTTATCTTTGTCGTCTCTCACTCGGGCTTCCTGCGCTCCGGCGTCGCCGGCTGGTGGTTCTTTAACGCCGACTATCGCATCTTTCGCTTCGGCGCCATCCATTAGGGAAGTAATAGCACTGCCATCGCCCAGCAGACAGCCATGACGACAGGACACGTCTTGCGTCAGGACGAAACCACGCTCGCGGGCGGTCTAGGACTGTCTCGCACGTTCCAAGTCCCGCTTGGTGCCGACCTACCCGAGGGAGATAGTGTTCCCGAGGAAGATTTGGTCGTCTAGTGAACGACTCGTGCGCCCCCGGACCGCCTCGGCATGCTGGACAACTTGAGCTTGCACAGCAAAGTATGTCATGTCCAGCCCTCTTGGGACTGGAAGAACCAAGCTGATTGATAAATAGGCGTCCAGGGGCTTAGAAGCACTACAGTAAGCATCGAATTCTCTATAAGGACGTTTCCTCATGCAGCGCCATCGTTAAGACTTGGACTTTTTTGCTCTGGCCCAGACCGTTGAGCCCATCAACACAATTGCTCCCCAGCTTTTGCCTGTGCAGTTTTGTGACGGAGCATATGGTCAATGATATCGAGCAAGCCTCGCCCGGCGGGATAACAGCGACGATGCCCTCGACAAAATGGACAGACGTCCCTGGTGTTAATGACACCACGGCTGCACCTGAGTGATCTCCCCCTTGGACCACGGGAGGATCGTTCCCCAATCCCCAGGCTTGAACAAGTAATATATCGGCAGGATCGGATATCAAGAGAGGCGTCTTTATAAAGCCACGAAGTCGCGTTGCGCCTACTTCTTCACAACTCGTCGTCAGAAGCTGCCTCTTTGGGGACAAGACCAGTTAGTAGTCACCCAAAAAAACTATTTGAACGTAGACCTTTGGCTTGAATGAGCTCAGATTGAGACAGGGCGAATGGTGGACTGCGGGGGCGAGGTGGGCTGTTGCAAGGCGGGCGGGATGATACTAACCACAGCAGAGGACTGCAGTACCCTATAAGGTATAACATAGGGTCTAGAGGTCCGCCTTGAGCATGGCGCAGGGCTGAGGGACAACGATTTGGCGACAAATGGCTGTGGTGAAAAAGCCCGTTGAGAGGAGACGGCCATGGTGCAGCAGGAGCCGCCATTCACGTTGGCAGATGGCCGGTTTGGCGCCGTTGCAGGGTGGATCGCTGCCACTCGTTTCTGGACAGCCTCCGCTGCAACTGGATGGCCTCAGACAGCGGTCTTTACTGTCCAAACAGCAGCTTGCCAGGCGACCTGACTACGGTTTGGCTGGCCCAGTTGCGGCGACTTCTTCGCATTTGCACAGGAGTTCCCTATTGACAAGTGCCGAGTCGATACACTCTAGTGATACATAGTCGTTGAGGCCCTTCAGCCATTCGTCGTCCGCAGCAAGTCTTATTCCATCGCGATATCTGCTGGCAGATTAGTGCAGTACATTAGCAAATGGTGTAGAAGCAATCTCTAACCCTCTTTTCCAAGCGTTTTTGCTCGCGCTCTAGAGCCGCCGCATCCAGACGACCCAGGCGTTTAGTTGGTATCACCCAACCCGCATACCTTGATTCTGTCGGGCTGGGATTCCCACACCATAACGAAATGAGTAATACTATTTTCCAGATTACATTCATATAACTTCTGCTTAGATGCTATGTGGACATAAGCAACTCTCTGAAGCTCTTGGTTATATCGTGGCAATGACTATTCGCCGAACTACTTCGCTAAGTTCGCTTCGGGTGCCACACTCAAGGGGGCCCGCGGCTTCTGATCTAGTACCCAAGGCCGAGGCCATGCCGGACTACAGAACGATGCTCATAAACGACCCCGGCGTCGAGAACTTGACCATGGCTCGTCTGGGTCAGATCTGGGCCGCTTTCGAAGAGTCATCTGCCATTTCCGACAGCCACGGCGGCCCACTGCCGCCGTGGCCCGTCTTGTTCAGATCATTTGGCTCCTCCTTGAAGAAGATCGACTGAGTGCTGAACGGCCAAGGCAGCGGCGGTTGACAGACAGTGAGCTGTGGGAAAAGTTGTATACCTACAATAATGCCTGGAACGGGCTGTAGAGCCTCAGCCAAGGGTCTGTCCAGCACCGAATGCTGCCCGATCTGGACAACTTCAACAACACCGAGGGGCTACGGGTGATGGAAGTGGCGCACTGGCGAGCAGATGTACCCGAATATCGGCTGGCTGCTGCTGCTTTTGTGCGAGGAGTCGCTCTCGAAGTCAGAGAAGCCGAGAGAGGCCCATGGTCCTCTCCGTCGCCGGCGGTACTATTCGACGACAACATGCAGCTTGCCGCTGGAGATTTCGACCTGCCTATTAAGTGTGAAACATGGCCGTTTCCTCGTGATGCGGAGATCAAGGTACAACGGGTCCTGCTAGAGTGGAAGGTCTACGGGATCAAGGACCCAGAAATTTCACCAAGGAGCAGTGCGAGAGCCTTCCGAAGCTGCTCTCGCAAGAATCCAAACCAGCCAGGCTGAAAGCCCTCGACTGCCTCGGTTTCTACGAGACCCAGGCTTAGGTCTAAATTCCCACGTGTGCTTTGCCTTCTGGCCTGCTCCTAACTCGGTTTCAAGCCCATGTTCCTCGCAACCCTCATCAACCGGGGCAAGGTCAAGTTCGACCACGTTTGTATCTCGGTCGATCCCTTCCTCCTCCGGGGACAACGCTTCGCCAAGACCCTCACGCTCGCGAGTGCCGTCCGCCAGCTTCAGTATCTGGGCTGGCTGCAGACCACTAGACGATGCAGGGAAACGTTTAATGCACAGTCTGACAGATGCAGCTGCAAGTGGCCGTTACGTGGTGCGTGGGGAAGTGTAATGGCAGCATGACATCGCTTTCAGTTAGCTTGGCTGTCAGCCCGGCTGCTTGTGAAACAACCGTTCGTATTCTTTTGACGTCCAGTCCCTCTCACGTGGAATTGCTTCAGGCTTGCCCGGGTTGGGGAGCCTTGAAAGCTTGCGGTGGCAGCAGCTCCGTCCGCAACCCGAGCCAGACGATCCAATGAGAGTATTAGTAGAATGTACCGTAAGAGGGGAATTGAAAGTGACATAGCGGCCGTTACCTCTTCAATGGCAGCCACCGACTCGCAACATTGGTCCATGGTACGGAGTACGGCTCTAGAAGACCAAGCGGCCGTTAGCTAGACCGCTTCGCGCTTTTTGGTTTCAGTATGTCTTTCTTGAAAATGCATGTCTGGGAAAACGACGCGTGATCACAATTGCTGTCTTAGGGCCCTGGAGTTTTGAGGATTCCCATTGGTTCACGCTGATTGTTCGTTGTCGACCTCCTGGGGTTGTCGCGCGTTTGCCGTCGAGTGTCTCACTCGCTTGTCTAAATTTAACTACCTTCTCCCAGATGAAAGTAGACCAGAGCACGGTTAGTATATCTACATATACCGTCCATCATATCCTACGCCGGATCAATCATGCTAAATGATCAACGATGCAATGCACCGCCATATCACTTCATGAGACAAGCTCGCGGCACAGCGTTGTCGCCCGCATGTGTCGGATGACTGTTTCTAATTGGGCCAGCCTCGCTGCCCTAAAGCTATGCAGAGCACCGCCCTCCGTGTATGTGCAAGACTGCTACGAAGGGCATGTTATTCCGCGTGGCATTTAGTGTGCTGTGGATGTTGGATTCATTGGAGATACCACGCAACTCTAGAGGACGACCTACCTTATAAAGCGACAACGAGTTTGAAATTCTAAAGCAGTATATTGCATCGTGGATTATAGGTTGATCAACTAGGCGCAGGAGATGATGACCAGCAGGTCACATTATTTAGAACTCGCGAACTCGGACCACCTCAGGTACGGTTAGCTCGTATAAGTATGACAGCAGACGACTGGCAATGCCAGTCGAAGTCGATATCGCGCTCCATTGTCTGTTACAGCATAGGTAACTATACCGGCGCCGGTAACCAGCGCATGTGGATATATATTTGGAACAGGGCTGACTTTCAAGCCACGGCGTAGCACATAGGGATTGCTTGACTTGATTGGCACCGTTTGCGACGATCCGCCAGCTGTGGGCCAGCTGAATGAAGGGTTCTAGCAACACATTCGTGACATTGAGGTGTCGTCGGCATCTCTCTGCTCCTTTGACTAACCCCGCCGTGAAAACGATGTCAACCTATCCGACGAGATGAGACTAGACAGGAGTGAAGTGCACACGTCAGTCGATGCAGTGATATCCAGTGGCTGTCATATCCGGTGTGACTGAATGTGACAAACTATCCTTTAATCAGCCTAGAAGAAGCTGATTCAGTCTCATGTTTTGTTGCTCCGTATAGTCCTGGCGATCAAGACTGCGTTGGGGATTTAGACCTGGAAAGTGGAGGTCTCATGGGAATCAGCTCCGATGTATTCCTTATAGCCTAGGTCAAAATCTATATAATATCCTCATAGACCCTCGAAGTTCCGCAACAGAGACTACATCGCTATCGATTTCGATTGTCTTTGTTTTGACTACAAAATGAGACTAAGCATTTTTGCCATCACACTCCAGGCCACCCTGAGCTCGGCCAACATACGTCGTGACCTCGGCGTCAGGAACGTTATAGTTGCTGAGATCAAAGACGGCCACCACATTGACGAAGAGAACCAGCAGATTGTTTTCGTCAAGCCTGAATCGCCATTTCAGGAATCCTTCCGCTGCTCTCCAGAGAGCGGCAAAAAACTCACATACAACTCTGAGAAGACATTCGTTGCCTGCTGTAAGCCTGGGCAGTCTCTGCTTGGCAGTCCACAGGCTGTATTCGAATGCTGTGACTCCGGCTTCATACTTGCCGGAGCTGCGGGTACCGGCTATGCATGTTGTGCTTCGGGACAGATCTACGATGGTTCTACCTGCAAGCCGAAGGTGAAGATCTGCGAAAAGGGAAAGCAACTCGATGTCAACAACGAATGTGTTTGTCCTTCGGGCACAAGTGAGACGCCTGACGGCGGCTGCCGCTCAAAATGCAGCTCGGGTGTTTCAGCAGGTCTGCTCTCGCCAGGTGCGCATATGCTCATTGTTTAGAGACCGGCTAATCTGTCCTCAGGCAAGTGCTATATCTTCATCTCGGAAAACGGTTACCGGTTCGGCTACAACAATCAGGGCTGGTACAGCGCGGCCAAGGACGGCCCCGATCAACGATTCGGCAAGTTTCAACTCTGCAAGGACCAGGAATGCACAGCCAGCGGACAGATCAACCCAAACGATGCATTCCGTGTTAAGGATGTTCACGGTGATGCCAAGGGTGGGCAAAACGCCAACCACTGGCTCACCCATCCAAAGGACGCAGGAAATGTCAAAAAGACGCAGGAGTACTCAGATGCTGGTGTTTATGCCATCACCAAGTGGGCGTGTGGCAGATACTGTCTAGGCGGGCTTGAGACCGGCCTCGTTTCTTCTTATCCAAAGGAGGCGCTCTCAGCCATGTCCACCTCGGTTGACAAGCAAGCTTGTGTCCCCATCGATATCACCGAGATACCATGCGATATTCGCGACGCACGGAACAACTGCATGGCGCACGACCCCTCGAAGCCATGTCTGCTTGGCAAAGCGCCGGATCAACTTGATCAAGGAACCCACACGGACCCAGACGAGACCGCACCTGTCTCAGACGTGTGCAGTCGTAGCAGCGCAAAACCCATCAAAGACCGAGCAACCAGAGTGCACAAATGCGACACCAGCTATGCGGAGGAGAACTTCCCCTGCAGCAAGGGCAAGGAGCCACCCTGCCGCGGAGCTGAAGTCAAGGGCTGGTCGAGTGCTAAACTTCCGTGGGGAGGGGCATACAAACAGCCTGGCCCCCCAAAGCCCTTCGAAATGTGGGTAAACTATGATGACCCGGTGGTCATGAGTATTGTGGATGTTGAGGCACAGTCTGAGCACTTTCTTCTCAAGTTGGATGACGAGTTCTTGGGCGAGACAGGCGGCGAGGATGGCTACGTGAACAAGTACATTGGTGACTGGAACAATCCGGAATGGTGCCTCTTGAACGGATATACTCGCGGCTACTTCCGCATTCCAGCCGGTAAGTTCTCCCACGATCAAGCACCAAGAACAGTCATTAACAAAGAGGGAATGCAGGTCGGCATAAAATCACTATTGAGTGGCCACAGGGCACAGGAATGTACACCAGAAATAACGGTGCGCGTTGGTTGTACGGCATTGCCAAATACCGATTTGACCGGCTCTGCGACCCAACCAAATGCACATAAGTAGCCCTGAAGGCCGAATCCGAAGCAAGGAGATGTCGAGGAGCTGCCCAAGTGCGTAAGGCAAGTGTCGGTGGGAGATAGCAGCCGGTCGTTGTATGGAGTTCTCCGTTGGAGTTTAAGCTCGGCCGACCGTTGGCGGGTTCCTGTCTTTAGCGGTTGTAACTTCTCTGAAGAGTCTGGACGGGGTGATTGCATTTACCTTGACTGCCGGGCTTGCGCTCCAGCAATCTCTTGCCTTTCGTCTCTTTTGTTCTTCGAGGCTCTTCGTCACACGCCCTCCCCCCGGCCCAGCTGGGCAACGCAAAAGCAGCGGGGGATGGGGTGGCCGAGAAGCCTTGGGCGGGTAGGGAAATAATGACTTAATGACCAAAATAATACTCTTTGAAAAGAGTAGAGCAGCCAACATTTTCTCCTTTATGCTATGATTAGAACTTCCATATGATGATGCGAGTCTCAGGGAGCGCCGTTGATTTACTGAGATGTGGTTGGCGCTTAGGGTGTTCTTTTCATTGTTACCAGAGTGGTTGGAGGTGATGGCCACCAACCGCAGCGGAATTAAGTGTACATGCCTGACTCCATCATAGAGGAAGTGAAAGAAAAGGTAATGGCAGGCACGTTATGGAAGGCGCCCGGGGAAGACGGCCTACCCGGCGATGGTCTGGAAACAGTTATGGCTGGTGGACAAAGATCGGCGGCCGATGCATGGGCACCAGGTTGCCCGAATAGAATGGGCATCTGAACCCCAGCCGGACCGCTGCAATTTTAGTGTGTTCGCGCCTGACTTCAGTGCGGGAACTCACCGAAGGACTGTCTTCCGGACGGTAAGCTACATGCTCAATCATTCGTTTCAGCCGACAATCTTGGTCAAGCTAATGTTTGATGGTATTCTATATTTTGACAGAAAATGCATTGCTCTAAGTTGTCACTCGTTGAGTGCAAGACTTCTTTCTCCCGAATGTCCTTTTCTATCCTTCGCCAGATTTCTTCTACGCCGGACGCCCCTTCTATTACTGGCTAAAGGTTTGTCTCCCATCTCCTCAGCGACCTAAGCTTCGATGTCGTCGTTTTCTGCTTTGCTTTAACCTCCCAGTTGGCGACAAGATTATATAGTTTTCTTATATTAGAAGCAGCAATGGCGAAATACATTAGAACGGCTTAAAGCGGCCTAGGGCGAGGCAAGTGCCTATAGATGCAATGAAGCATGAAAGGCTTTCCGGGCTGCTGAATTATTCAATTTGTCATGACGACTGGCCTGTTTCTTCTCTGTCTATAATGTCACAGGGGATAAAACATAGAGATTCTGCTGACAAACGAGAAAGGTAATAGCCCCTTAGCAAGAGAAGAGTATAGATAGATAATGATAGGAATATCAATAGGATATCCACAGCGGGGTTTTGGTGGCTGATTCAGCGGCTGAGCGCCACAACACCGCAGTTTAGCGTCCGTGCCCTCAGCGGCTTCCAATATCCACCCTTGTCCACGGTCGGCCGTCCGGCCGACCGCCGCCCGGAACGCCGCGTCTTGAAGGGCTCTCAAGGCTCGACGAGCTCGTCAAATTACGAGGGGGAGGGGAAACAAAAATAGTGTATTTCTACCTCTTTAGTTGTACAACTTTTGCCTTTCTGTTGGCTCGGAGCTGTTTGCAAAATAAGTCCAGCGAGCAGCCGGTTTGCTGCTGTTGTAAGTTGACAATGTGCATCGCGGCCTCCTCGCTACACCTGTGGGCCTTCGCCACCTTGCGAATCTCCCTTATAACCTCGAGCCGTAACGAATACCACTGCAATTCATTTTGTCGCCCGGCGCGCCACCGGCTTCCGATCTACCGTCGAGGTCGGCAATGGCTGGCCCGCCTCGAAGGCCAACCGTCCACTCGCTCCAGAGCGCCTCGACCATTTTTACTGCTCGGCACATCTGATACCGTGGCGGTGGCTCTGTCTTAACCGTGATCGTATCTGTCGCCGTCGGGCTCGTGGCACGGCTATCAACAATGCTCGACTGAGCCGAGACGAATCGGCTTCCATCTCCTCGTCCTCCCTGCCCAACGACATCAACCACGGCCGGGGCCGTGGTGGCAGTGGTGGTCGTCGCGGCCGTAACTTGGAAGTTGAAACCATTCGAAAAAAGGGACGACTGGGCTACCGCAAGACGTTCTTCGGTGGCTCGAAGCTGCTCGCTTAGCTCTGTTTTAAGCTGGATCGTCCTTGCTTCGTTCCGCGCGTCGATGGATTTAAGATAGTCCGCGAGGACCGGCATCGCCTGGACTAGGACTGCAAGCTGGCTTGGACGCTCCTCTTCAAGGATGAAGTCCGATAGCTGGTGCGCGAACGGGGCGTAGGCCGGATGCCGGAAGACCGGGTGGTTCCAAACGGGGCTGCCGGGGTATTTCTTCATCAGGACAACGGAATCCTGCAAGACAACCTCCCGTAAATAGAAGATGAGGTTCGTCGAACCCATCGCTGCCAGGTCGTTCTCCTGCTCGGTACCGGGACCGAACCGGCCTCGCCAACGGTCCAGCTCGGGCCAGATCATCGAGAGCAGGACCTCCGGCGGCGTCACGCCGGCACGGCGTATCTCGAAGCATCCGGCCTGCGGCGGGTGCCCGGCCATCGTACGCATGAACTTGCGAGGCAACGAGTTCAGGTAACAGCCGACCATCTGCTCCTGGTTCCAACGACCCGCGCGACGGATCTGGTCTTCGCTAATCCCTTTAGTTCAGCCGTCCTCGCCCCGAGCTGCGGCCGACATGCGTCTTCTTCTGCGACGTGACGCCGGCGTAGGCGAAGGCCTTGACAACCCACTCGCGCTGTGAGTTGTACGAGAAAGCCGCCGTCCGGCCGGTGCCGTTACCCTTGATTAGCCGGATGTCGTACCACGAGGACCGCCTGCTGAAATCGGGAAACGGCTCACTACCGAGATCCCAACGATACAAGAGGTAGAACGAGAGGCCACCCAAGATGCAGATTAGCGGGTTCCTATTCCGATACGCGCCGGCGGTCTCGAGGCGGCCGTGCTGGTTCTGCTTGCCGGCTCGTGTCGTAAAGATGAGCGGCATGCACCGGGTCGAGCCCTCCCCGGCAAACTCAAAGGTGAATAGGTCTGAGATCTCTGCAGCCCGACGATCGCCGCCACGGGTGAGAAGATAATGGCCAAAGAGGAGATCCACGAGGGTCCGAAAATGACACTCGGGCGATGTGCCGCTGTGGGCCCACAGCTCGTGGCATACTCGTTCGAACTCGGACTCCGAGTAACCATCGAGCAGAGTATCGCGGCCTTTATCGGCATAGTTCTCCTGTCTCGTTGGGCGTCCCGGCGCTGTAGGGACTTGAGGTACTCTCGTACGTTGTCCTCGCGCGGCGACGGGTGCGTATTCATTCCGAGGGCCTTCTGCGTCCGGTAAAGATCCGTGATTGCGGTGACATAAGTTCGGACCGACCGCCAGGCCAGGCGGGTCTCGTCCTGCGGAGTATCAGTGGCGGCCTTGCGGCTCCTGACCTTCAAGGGCCGACCGGCCACCTCCTCGACGAGGAAGAGGAGGAGCTTCTCCTCTGACCGTAGCGCCGTCACAGTACTGTTTGTGGCGGCAGAATTGCTCGAATTCCTCTTGCTTCGGTGCGTACGCCGAGGTCGTATTCCTTGGCCGAGACTCGTGGATCGCAGAGAGGATCGTCTGCGCATTGGCGCGTAGCTCCGCGTCGTTTATCGCGTTCTGCCGGATGCGTTGGTCCACTCGTACGCTCGACGGCTTTGCGCGACTCCCTGCCCCTGCCCCTGCCCCGGCCGCTGCTCCTGCGAGCTTCGGCTTGGGCCCCTTTTGTCTTCGCCTTCCGTCGATTTGGCGTCCGGGCCATGGGATATATCGTGACGGGAAGACCAAGGCAAGCCTGCGAGTGACCACCAGTCCGGGTTGGAGCGGGGTGGCGCGCGGCGACGAGAGATGCCCTATCTAGCGATCACGATGCGCACCGCCTGGTCGGGTCGCCCGCTAAAATTCCAGTGGACAGGGCGCCGTAGCGAACGTGAATAGCGGCTTCTCCATCGAATCAGCGACGCAATCAGCGGGGGGCACCGATATCTGCGTATATCCACGGCGCGCGCCGTTCGGGTGGGGTGGATATCCGCAGATACGATTGGCCCGCCTGGTCGCTGATTCTCGGATTGCCCCACCCGACCAGATCAGCGGCGCTCAGCAAACCCTCGGATACCAATAGGATATCCACAGCGGGTTTTGGTGGCTGATTCAGCGGCTGAGCGCCACAACACCGCAGTTTAGCGTCCGTGCCTCAGCGGCTTCCAATATCCACCCTTGTCCACGGTCGGCCGTCCGGCCGACCGCCGCGGAACGCCGCGTCTTGAAGGGCTCTCAAGGCTCGACGAGCTCGTCAAATTACGAGGGGAGAAACAAAAATAGTGTATTTCTACCTCTTTAGTTGTACAACTTTTGCCTTTCTGTTGGCTCGGAGCTGTTTGCAAAATAAGTCCAGCGAGCAGCCGGTTTGCTGCTGTTGTAAGTTGACAATGTGCATCGCGGCCTCCTCGCTACACCTGTGGGCCTTCGCCACCTTGCGAATCTCCCTTATAACCTCGAGCCGTAACGAATACCACTGCAATTCATTTTGTCGCCCGGCGCGCCACCGGCTTCCCCATCTACCGTCGAGGTCGGCAATGGCTGGCCCGCCTCGAAGGCCAACCGTCCACTCGCTCCAGAGCGCCTCGACCATTTTTACTGCTCGGCACATCTGATACCGTGGCGGTGGCTCTGTCTTAACCGTGATCGTATCTGTCGCCGTCGGGCTCGTGGCACGGCTATCAACAATGCTCGACTGAGCCGAGACGAATCGGCTTCCATCTCCTCGTCCTCCCTGCCCAACGACATCAACCACGGCCGGGGCCGTGGTGGCAGTGGTGGTCGTCGCGGCCGTAACTTGGAAGTTGAAACCATTCGAAAAAAGGGACGACTGGGCTACCGCAAGACGTTCTTCGGTGGCTCGAAGCTGCTCGCTTAGCTCTGTTTTAAGCTGGATCGTCCTTGCTTCGTTCCGCGCGTCGATGGATTTAAGATAGTCCGCGAGGACCGGCATCGCCTGGACTAGGACTGCAAGCTGGCTTGGACGCTCCTCTTCAAGGATGAAGTCCGATAGCTGGTGCGCGAACGGGGCGTAGGCCGGATGCCGGAAGACCGGGTGGTTCCAAACGGGGCTGCCGGGGTATTTCTTCATCAGGACAACGGAATCCTGCAAGACAACCTCCCGTAAATAGAAGATGAGGTTCGTCGAACCCATCGCTGCCAGGTCGTTCTCCTGCTCGGTACCGGGACCGAACCGGCCTCGCCAACGGTCCAGCTCGGGCCAGATCATCGAGAGCAGGACCTCCGGCGGCGTCACGCCGGCACGGCGTATCTCGAAGCATCCGGCCTGCGGCGGGTGCCCGGCCATCGTACGCATGAACTTGCGAGGCAACGAGTTCAGGTAACAGCCGACCATCTGCTCCTGGTTCCAACGACCCGCGCGACGGATCTGGTCTTCGCTAATCCCTTTAGTTCAGCCGTCCTCGCCCCGAGCTGCGGCCGACATGCGTCTTCTTCTGCGACGTGACGCCGGCGTAGGCGAAGGCCTTGACAACCCACTCGCGCTGTGAGTTGTACGAGAAAGCCGCCGTCCGGCCGGTGCCGTTACCCTTGATTAGCCGGATGTCGTACCACGAGGACCGCCTGCTGAAATCGGGAAACGGCTCACTACCGAGATCCCAACGATACAAGAGGTAGAACGAGAGGCCACCCAAGATGCAGATTAGCGGGTTCCTATTCCGATACGCGCCGGCGGTCTCGAGGCGGCCGTGCTGGTTCTGCTTGCCGGCTCGTGTCGTAAAGATGAGCGGCATGCACCGGGTCGAGCCCTCCCCGGCAAACTCAAAGGTGAATAGGTCTGAGATCTCTGCAGCCCGACGATCGCCGCCACGGGTGAGAAGATAATGGCCAAAGAGGAGATCCACGAGGGTCCGAAAATGACACTCGGGCGATGTGCCGCTGTGGGCCCACAGCTCGTGGCATACTCGTTCGAACTCGGACTCCGAGTAACCATCGAGCAGAGTATCGCGGCCTTTATCGGCATAGTTCTCCTGTCTCGTTGGGCGTCCCGGCGCTGTAGGGACTTGAGGTACTCTCGTACGTTGTCCTCGCGCGGCGACGGGTGCGTATTCATTCCGAGGGCCTTCTGCGTCCGGTAAAGATCCGTGATTGCGGTGACATAAGTTCGGACCGACCGCCAGGCCAGGCGGGTCTCGTCCTGCGGAGTATCAGTGGCGGCCTTGCGGCTCCTGACCTTCAAGGGCCGACCGGCCACCTCCTCGACGAGGAAGAGGAGGAGCTTCTCCTCTGTGACCGTAGCGCCGTCACAGTACTGTTTGTGGCGGCAGAATTGCTCGAATTCCTCTTGCTTCGGTGCGTACGCCGAGGTCGTATTCCTTGGCCGAGACTCGTGGATCGCAGAGAGGATCGTCTGCGCATTGGCGCGTAGCTCCGCGTCGTTTATCGCGTTCTGCCGGATGCGTTGGTCCACTCGTACGCTCGACGGCTTTGCGCGACTCCCTGCCCCTGCCCCTGCCCCGGCCGCTGCTCCTGCGAGCTTCGGCTTGGGCCCCGCTTTTGTCTTCGCCTTCCGTCGATTTGGCGTCCGGGCCATGGGATATATCGTGACGGGGAAGACCAAGGCAAGCCTGCGAGTGACCACCAGTCCGGGTTGGAGCGGGGTGGCGCGCGGCGACGAGAGATGCCCTATCTAGCGATCACGATGCGCACCGCCTGGTCGGGTCGCCCGCTAAAATTCCAGTGGACAGGGCGCCGTAGCGAACGTGAATAGCGGCTTCTCCATCGAATCAGCGACGCAATCAGCGGGGGGCACCGATATCTGCGTATATCCACGGCGCGCGCCGTTCGGGTGGGGTGGATATCCGCAGATACGATTGGCCCGCCTGGTCGCTGATTCTCGGATTGCCCCACCCGACCAGATCAGCGGCGCTCAGCAAACCCTCGGATACCATTGAGCAGTCAAGTAAGTTAGTTTACTGCCAAAGGGGTTAGTGGTGCACCATTGGCACGTGCCTCTCAGTACTTAGGCCAAGACTCCGTCGCATGTCCCAACTAGGGGCTGCGACAAGACCTTTTCCCGGGTTGGGCCAGCACGGTAAGGCTTTCACGCATCAGTTAGCAGCTGCTATCCTTGCAGGGAAAAGCAATGTATACCATTAAGGAAAGCTGTGGAAGAGGGCAAAAAATGTCTCCAGAGCGTGAATCGAACACGCGACCTTCAGGTTTAACTGAACAATTACACTATTTGATGGGTTAATCGGATGCTGCGAGATATAAGGAACGGGAAACGTACGCCCGACGTGATGAACCAACTACACCATCCGGAGGAACAGATGTTGAACCTTCCGACGAAATTGAGCTATATATTGGCTTGCTGGCGATGGAGAGGGTAAGAGTCGGTGCAAACACATGGCCACCACCCCCCAAGATGCTTGCTAGAGTCAATTCTCCCTCAAGGGAATTCACTATTGTTTACCAGATCTAAGAAATGCTCTGACACGGGCGTGTAAGTGGCACAACCTGGCCATATCATAAGATCTAGCGTACGTTGACGGCTGGCTCTGAGTCATATTTGCAAGTCCCAGCGGGTCGGCACGATGATGATTTCTCGACAAACCTGCCTTCGGCTCTCTCTCAACTGGTTGGCTACAAGGCCACGGCGCCGCCGGCCCGGTAGCGTTACCGGGCGTCGCGGCGACCGGAGACGAGGCTGCTGCTTCAGTCGGGCGGGCTCTTCCGGGAACGGCGGTGGAGGTTATCAAGGTGGCGCTGCCCTCGGCGGCCACTGACGGCAGCATCGGCGAGGGCGACGAGGAGAGCGGGCGCGCGGGCCGTTGTAGCGGTCGGTTGCCGGTGTCCGGAGTAAGAGGCGTCACCGAAGGTCGGGGGCAGTTATCCAAGGCAAGGAACGTAAACCTCGAACAAAGAGAACCCGACGCATATATGGGTGACTTGATCGTATGGTGGAGAGCGCGTCTGTCCAGAAAATTGCAATGCCGTCCTGCAACGGAAGCACTGTACCTATGCAGGACTGGTGCCCTTGTCTACCATGGGCGTATGTCCAACGGCATGCCTCATCATTTTTTTTTGGTAGAAGATCAATACGTCCCAAGTTACCAGGAGTCCAACGGCCAGCGGGGATGCGGCGCTGCCGCCCAAGTGATGAAGAGATTCGCATCTCTGCAACAGCGGCGACAACGACGATTGTCATCGCTCGTGGCCCTTGTCAAGCATCCTCTAAACTCGGTGAGCGGCTGTGGGCCTAGGCCGCCACCTCGTCCGCTCGCAGGACACTGCTCTCGTCAACAGCGTGGCCGACACGGCGAGGCACGCGGCCGCTGCCCGTGGCTATAGAGAGGAGTAAATGTGCCAAGACAAGGCCGAAATCCAATGATGAAGTTGAGAAGTAAATGAAGGTGATAGCCTAGAGCCCGGTCAACCAATTGACGCCGAACCTCTGCAGCAACGAGGGTGATTTGTCGTTTAATGACTCGGCGACCTGTCGCTGGCTATCCCCAGGAGAATCAGGAACATCCGAGATTTTACTAAAGGGCCTCGTCTTCTCAGTCCCGTCGTTCAGCGTAGCATTCGCGTCACCTGGTTCAACCAGACGGACGCTGACATCTCACCTACATGAAGAAGCTGCTCGCCGGCGGATGGGCAGCTCCTGAAGTACTTTAGACGGGACAATATCATCGCGACTCCGCTGCTGCAGTCCGTCCTGCGAGCACCGGCAGCTTCTCCGCTATAGAGGCCGTCCTGGGCACTTGTACTTGGGGTGTAAGGCCGGACTCTATCGTAAAGGTCTCCAAGGGGTTCTGAGGAAACGTTACAATGCTTCCTCGTAGACTAGAAATAAACCGGGTTTAAGGAGAGCAATGGCACCACTTGTGCGTGTTGTTCGCTTTCACAAGGGCTCAACGCGGTGTGCAGTTTCCAGCCTTGGATTTTTTGCTTAGTGGTAAAAGTTATCTTGCAACCAGACGATGGTGAAGTAATAAATCGGCCGCGTTAGGTCATACCGATAGGTTGAACGATGACCCGGGTTACCGCAAATGTCGTTGAAGAATTTCCTTTATGGGAGTCTCCAGAAGCAACGGTTGGCGATTACACGGCATGCGAGGGATAGAAAACAGCCAAGTGGAGGTCGGACCGCAATCTGAAGGAGTGGCGATGATGGGATACTAAAGCACAATTGTATAAGGTAAGGCCCTCTTATTTCTGAAGCCGCTAATGGTTCAGCAACACAATGAACTCATACAGCAGCAAATAAAAAAGAGCTGCGAATACCCGTGTCCCAGCTCTTACGCATTCGTCTCGACACCGCCGTACGAAGTTGACTTGGGCAACTTGTCCCACGGCGCAAAGACATTCTTGGTCCCCTTCTTGAGCACCCTACCCAGCTCAGGACAATGCCTCACCAGGACGTCCTTCATCGTCGTGTGCTGCACCCAACGCAGCCCCTCCTTGCTGTACGTCTCCTCGTTCCACTGGTCGGCAAAGAACCTGTCGCTCTTGAGCCTGCCGCTCGCCATGACGATGAATACGCGAAACGCCGTCTCGCTGAAGCCGAAGCCCTTGGGCAGCGGCTCGCTGTGGGACCCAACGAGCGTGTCCACGGCCTCAATGTCGTCATCGTAGGCCTCCCGCAGCTCCTGCGCGAGCTCCTTGTTGCCGCCAGTGAGCTCCTCAAATGTCTTTGGTGTCGACATTCCAAGCAGGCGACGGAACTGGTTGTACCGCGGGACGCCGCGCTCACGATCACGCAGGATGTCGACGGTGCCCATGTCCCGGAACTGGCCGTCGGGCGTGCGAAGGCGGCGGAGGAACTCGGGGTAGTTATTATTGGTAATGGCGCCCGCGTAGTTGATACCAAACGAGTAGCAGGCATCGTCGAGGCCAAGTCCTGCATCAAAGGGCTTTCGAGCCTTGCTAAAAATCATCTCCTCGGTGGGCACGGTAGAGTGGTGGTTGCCAGAGGCGGCTTTGAAGAAGGCAACGTTGTCTGCGGGCGTCAATGTTAGCTCGAGATGCATCATGGAAGGGCTCGACGGTGCAGCTTGCCTGGAATCAGAGAATGCATCCTGTACACGGATACAAACTCCTCAGTCAGGGAATATGGAACGCCAAAGTAGTCGACGCCCGACCCCGGGATGCCGCTGACAGACTCGCTCGTCTTGGATATTCTTCCGACCAGCTTCGTCAGCGTCTCGCCAGCAAGCCCCCACCAGTTCGCCTTCATGCCAATCTTGAGAGCAGGATGGGCCAGCACGGCAGGCGTCCACTCGACGGTGTGTATCTTGGCCATCAATGCACAGTTGACCAGCCGAGCCGTGTCGAAGAGCTTGTCACTGGCCCAAGGTTAGAGGCCGGAAAGCCATGGGACAAGGGGCTACATACCCAGACCAGTTCGGATGCGCCTCCCGGAGCATGTCACAGATGGCATTGTGCTCGAGCACAAACAGTGAGTGCAGCATCTCTAGCCCGAGCCACCAGTTGTCGTAAAAGCCCGTGGTGGGTATGCCAGTTGCGTCGTGGGGAAGCGTGCCCAGCATGCCGTCTTCGGACATGGCCAGCTTGCCATCCGGATGCTGGGCTCGAAGCATATGTGTGGCAGCCTCGCTCGAGCCGTAGACCTGCGACGCGTCCCACCACGACGTGTTTTCGTTTCTGTATCCCGGGGTCTCGAAGTCTGACGGATCGAGAATGTCGTCGGTCTTGGTCTTGGCTAGCTTCATGTGACCCTGAGGCCAGGCGTCGCCAGGGGAAAGGGGGATATCAAACGAATCGTTGCTCTTGGGCAGCAGGCTCGGTCAGCGGCAGCAAACATACTTTCGAAGACGAGTCAATAAATAGACAGACCTTTTGGTGACTGAACCAGTCGTGGGTCTGGAACTGGATCCACGCGGCCGCCAGCAGGTTCAAACCAGTTGCCGGTATGAAGCCTTGCGCCCTCCTGGCCATGAACCTCTCACTAATCATGCGCGGGTTCGGGGTCCAGAGCTCCCTCTCCGTTGGCTTTTTGCAGTGCTCGCGGGGGAATTGGCGGCCAAAGCGCATGCCGGCACATCCCATACGCGGCATGTCGAGCGAGTTGAATTTGCCGTCCGAGTTGCGGGCATGAAGGAAGCGCTCGTCCGTCAGGGGGTCGTCGAGGCTGTTGCCCTGAGTTTCGGTAGAGGCATAGCCATCGTGGAGGTTGTTGGAGCGGAGGGAGACGCGGAGGGCGACGAGGTTGAAAGCGCCAAGGAAGCCGGGCAGCCTGTGCCAGGGGACGACCTTGTTGACGACGTCAAAAACTTTGACGTTGATGCGCTCGATCAGGCTGGGCCGGTAGCTGGGAATGTCCATGTTGATGGCAGTGTGGTTGGGCGTCGAAGCGGTGATGGTGGTCCAGTGTCTGAAAGATCAAGTGCCTGTGGAAGCATCAGACACAGCTGCCACTGATGAGTCGAGGCGGGTTGGCGTCCCCTACAGATTCTATCAACGTCTTTATCTGGTCCTACCCGCAGAATAAGCGAGCCATGGTCTCGGCTGCCAGCCATGACACGGCCATCTTCAGGTATTTACTGGAAGGAGCGAGTGCACCGGGATTTGCTCCGAGGCAAGTACTGTCTGATGTTAAGGGCTCAGCTTCGAGGCGTGGACGATGCTGTGTAACCAAGAAGTCACATTGACTGGCCCATCACTTTGCCAGCGACATGGGAGCTGACACGTTGCTTTCAACTGCCTTTTGCCGCTCGCTTGGAGTGCCTTCTTGCCGACCTTGATGAGGGGAGTGGTCAGCAAAGGCGAAGCATTGTAGACGAGCTTAACGCTGCTGCTACAGGGTTAGCTTTGTGTCTGCCACGTAATGGACTTGTCAAGCTGGTAAAATACCGCTACACCATGCAAAATAGGGGCACCCCCATTGGAGGTGCTACTAACGCGTATCATAAATCCTTTCTCTGCTCTGACACACTCCCTAGGTTGATAGCTGTACTTGTGCGGCCAGCAAGCTACCCTTGGAGCCCGGTAAGGACTTGTCTGGCAATATGTACTGTCCATTCTCCTTCTTCTCCGACTTCTTCCTGGCAGCGATCTCCACTCTATCTGCCGTGGCCGCCTTCTTGGCCGCCCCGGATGTGCCCTCGAGGGGGCTCGAGATGAAGTCTTCGCCCTCCTTGGACTCGGCGTTGTCGGCAGAACCGCTCTCACCCATGCCGCTCTCGTTGTCGGCGGCGTCGTCGACGAAGGAGTTATCGGTTAGCTACCTTGGTATCCCCAAAATCGGCGGAGACGAGGACGTATCACGCCCAAGCGCTTGGTACCAGCAAGGCTCCATCCGGCACATGAGCCTCCATGGACGCCCCAAAGGACTCGCACAGATAGTAGAAGGCCAAGACAAGCCGGCAGCGCTGGTCCTCCCCAAAGATGTAGGCACGCTGGTCCTCGTCGTCTTCCCCCTCGTCCTCCATCACAATGTCACCTCCCTCCATGCGGGCAGACCAAAGACGGTAGATGACCACGCGGAGGGCCATTAGGTCTTCGCGGTCGCCCATCATTCTGGCGGGAGCCCCGTCAACATAGAGAACAAGAACTCGAGCTGCAGGGACCTGAGCTACGCGACCGTGTGCAGGATGCTTGAACCTGACGGCGGCGTTCGAAGACCGCCCGGCAGTTGGCCAATCTCATCCATCTAAAGGAGGGCGAAGCGGCCGGACAGTGGCGGGACCCAACCCAGGGCCTGAGCGACGGCCGCGTCCCGTTTGATATAAACTGCGCTGTTGTGCCGGCCGCGCTCCATGCCAATCCAACCTGGCAGCCATGTCCAGCGTCTATCCAGAGGACGCGCACACGAGAGACTGGGCTTGTCATGCGGCGATAAGTGCCAAGGTAGGGGAAGACCAAACGCTGCAATTCTTCCAATTCAACGTTTCGGTTAGCCAAGCCACGTCTTTGGTGCAGAATGACGTCGGCAACCATACATTCTATCATGGCCCGGCACACACGGACTCGCTCGCCACGTGCTCGATGGACAGTGTAATCGTCGACTATACCTTGGCCATCAAAGGCCCGAAAACACCCGACCTCGTTTCCATGACCCATATCTGCATACACCTTCTCTCGCCACGGCCCGCTGAACTCGATAGACGATGAGCAATTGCTGACCAAATGCCTCGGCCAACGCCATACCGCTGGCCTGACCAAGCCTGTCGGAGTCATAATGGCCAACATAGCACTTCAGTTTCAGGCATCAGCGTCCCCATGATAAACTTTATCAACGCTGCATACCATGGAACCATCATAAGGAGATGGCAACTGGCACCGATGGCCAAGGGCTTCGAGGTACAAGTCGATCGCTGTTTCGGTCCGGGCTCCCGGGACACGGCGCAGTCCAAGTCTCAGACACATGCTTTCCGCAGGAATGTAAATGTGCATGCCTGCCGTCTTACGAAGCGCATACAACAGTCCGAGGGACGTCATCGCGGATAGCAAGGGCCGACTCCAGTTAGAAGACCGGAGTTGGATGTGCTCGGAGGCGACGAGTCAGGGCGAAGGGGGTGACAGTCTTGCCGCTTGGAGTGCTGCTGCCGGCGGTAAGTAGCGGCACGGAGAGCAACACCAGACAGCCGCGGAGTTTGACTTTTTTGAGATTATCGCAGTTGTTCAAGCTCTGCGACCGGAAACCATCAGCATCTTCCCAGACGAAGGTGATATCGAGAGATTAGTCGGTCGGGTAGAGGGCGAGAGTGCCAGCTGTACCTTTTTTGTCCTAAAGGAGACTTGTGAATGGCATCTGGACTGATGTTTTCACAGTCGACGTCGAGTGATCTGCAGAGGGGGCTTTAATCAAGGCCCAAGTGACCCCATAGTTAATAAATGTAAATGAAATCGTCGTTTTCTCGGTCCGTCAAGTCCGGAAGCACCTTTCCCCCCCGACGAGACGCCGTGGCTGGCGGCGAGTCGCTCGAGCCCTCGTTGACGACAGAAGTCTCATCGTCATTGTTGCCGACTTGCTGAAGGCTGTCAAAGCGCTCCTGCATCGATTGATCAACAACCTTGGCACTCTTGCCGTTGCGCACGCGCCTCTTCTCCTGCATCTTGTTGAGAACCATGAGGTTGGCCCACTGCATGAAGACGACGGCGACGAGGGCAACAAAGATGCCCAGGCAGGCGCGCAGGCCGGGCCTGTATTCGGGCGCGTCCTTGTCGTTAAAGAGGAGCGGTCCAATGATGTTGCCGGCGGAGCTGGCGGCATTGTAGATGCTCATAATGGCCGACTTCTTGGTGGTGCCGGCCGTGTTGCCGACGATCCAGGTGACGATGAGCGGGTTGCCGCCAAAGAGAAAGGCGAGGAGATAGTATCCCACCAGCAGAGGCGCCTGCGCGTGGCTGTCGCGAGGGACGGAGAAGAGGACAGCCAGGCCGGCGACGACGGGCAACATAAAGGCGGCGAGGACGGCGCCCTTGAGCCTCGCCTTTTGGGCCAGGTAACTCGCCAGCAGGATGACAATGGTCTGGACGGCGCCAAAGGGCATGTTGAGGAGGCTCGTGTAGCGCTTGTCGGAGATGAGACCGCCGAGGATGAGGGGGCCAAAGGTGTTTGTGACGCTGGCGCCGACGTTGAGCAGTAGCGTCATGGCGATCCAGAGATACGTCTTGGGCTCGAGGGCGGCCTCGGCGACGTGCCTCCACTCAAAGGTGCGGGAGCCGGTTCCTGTCTGGTTGGCCCGCAGGCGCTCGATGGCCTGGGCCTTTTCGTGGTCGGTGAGGAAACGGGCCGAGGGGATGTCGTTGTCGAGTTTCCAGTAGACGAAGGGGGCCGAGACGATGGTGACGAGGCCGACGAAGAGGAAGATGCTGGGAGGGGGGTGTCAGCAGGGATTCTTTTTTTTTCTGGACCGGGATTCCTCACATCTGCCATTGGGCGAGCACAGGCGACTTGATCTGACCGAGGCCGTAGGAGACAGCGGCGCCGAATATGGTGGCGGCGCCATTTGTGCTGTACCAGGCGGCGACGCGGAGCGGCTGCTCGGAGCGGCGGTACCACTGGCTGGTGATGACACTGAATAGCGGCAGGCAGCCGGCTTCAAAGAGGCCGAGGAAGAAACGGGCGGCCATGAGGCCCGCAAAGCTGTGGCAGGCGGCGGTGGCAGCCTGGGCGATGCCCCAGCCGAGGCACAGGGCGGGCATGAGGACGCGATGCCGGACCTTGACGATGAGGACCGACGACAGCGGCTGCCAGGCCAGCTGGGCAATCGGGGCAATGGAGCCGACGAGCGAGTACTGGTTGCCCGTCAGGCGGGTGTCCTCCTTGAGGCCGTAGGCGGCGCCGTAGCCGAGGACCGACTTGTCGAGGATCTGCAGGAAGTAGACCCAGACGAGGATGACGAGGATGGTGCGGTCCGTCTTGCGGCAGATGCGCCGGCTGTCGTCGTCGGTGAGGCGGACCAGGGTCGGGGGAGCGGCCGTTAGCGACGGCACGGCGTCGTCTTTGCCATGGCCGTCCATGTGCTCGTCGTGGGCAATGTCCAGCTTGTCGGCTGCGGCGGCCACCATGGTCGGGGGCCGTGAAGGAGGGAGGATGGAGCAGGGGACCGTTCAGTGGGCGAGGTGAGCTTCGGGGGGGGGGCGCCTGGTTTACGGCGGGCCTGGAGGATCTGTGGTTGCTGTGCTGCCGAAGCCTGTAAGGACCTAGTGGCCCTGCTAGCTGACGGGTGTGCGCCTGTGAAGATATGCAGATATGCACGCGCCGAGAGGCAGGACCCCACGAGGCCATTGCCTGGGAAAAATGGGGGCGGTCGTCCACCTCGTGCAGCCGACTCCATATCGCCTGAAGATGCCGGGAGGTGGGGAGGTGGTGTGTTTATGTACCTGATTTTACCAGAGATGAATGTACGATTTGGCCCATCTATACCGAGATAAAGGAGATGGGGACGAGAAAAACTCAACAAGCCGGTGACGACGAGCCTATCTTATGCTTCCCCTGGCGGCCCATGACGGCGAGGTGCCGCTCCGATTCCACACATACATTAATACAGACTTGACCAAGCATGGATGGGATGGACTCCCCGTCTACAACGCATGTACTGTGACGCTCTCCCCTGGGCCCGTCCTCCACCCGCTGGTGCGAGTGTCCAGTTTGTATCCTTTACAAGCTCTCGTCCACTGCCTCGCCGTAGAGTCCCGTCTTCTTGTACCCAGACGCCTTGCGCCATCACGGAATCGGTGCGAGTCTTTGACCTTCTCCAAAGTCTTGAGCTGCCGTCACAGTCAGACCCGGCCCAGAGACACAGGGTCTGACTGTTTCTGCTGCTAATTAGAGGGCTTCCCCGTTGCACACACTTACCCACTCCTACAGCTTTGTACGTCCACACTCCGTTGATAACAAGAGCAACGGCGATTGGTCCCGTTCACGGACCGCACGTGGGGTGTGCCGTTTCAATAACCGCCCTGTCCATCCAACGAATGTCTTCATCAACGTCTTCATCAACGTCTTCATCAACGTCTTCATCACTCGTTCGCCATGGCCCCGGAGTCCCGGATCGTGGACCGGCCTCGGCCCCGCCCGCCTTCCACGTACATGTACGGATAGTGGTGGGGTGTTGAAGCTGCCTCCCCGCGCGGAGCCCGACCCGAAAGAATCTCGACATCTCCGATCCTTGCGTTGCACGCAAAGTCTAATTCTAATGCCCGACCGATTGGATTTACCAGCCCTTGCGTGAACCCTCCATCCGGTGGAACGTTGACAATGGAACTTGAAATTTGACTTTGGCAAGAAGAAACGAGTGAACGCTGCAAGCCGGGCCTCACAAGACATCGCTCGATGCCCTCGGCCAACCGGCCCATTTGCCGTCAAAGCGGCGATTCACCTCCAAGACTGGCTGCCCGTCGTCTCTCTAATCCATTTCAGTGGCCCGCTGTGAGACTTGGCGCACAAGGTTTCGCTGTACCGATCGGCCAACTGGAACGCCAAGGGAGGTGCCAGCCACCCCCAGATGATACGACCTCGTCATACAGCACCGCCAGCAGACGCTACACCTGGCTGTCAGTTCGAAGTCAGTCCTTGTCTGGGCTCGATGTCTGATCCCAAAGAGGACGTCATCTAATAGCACATTGAACCATTCACGGCTATTGCCTCTAGAGCCAGTACATGAGAACAATCTCAATAGCCATGGCATACCATCTACGCGCTTATTGGCACGGCCAAGAGCCCAAAGCGCCAATCGGATTGTCTTGCTTCCTGGGAGTTGACATCATTCAGCCATGGTGGAGCATATAGTCTCGGCAACGAGACTGGCGCTGGGTTGGAGAGGGCAAAATCAGACCCCTGAAGGATCATTCTCCAATTGCTGCTTGGCTACTTCATTTCACCAGACTTGCCCTGGATAGTCATGCGCAGCTTTGAATAGGTCATGAGGTTTCGACCCCAGAAGTGCGCAGTTCCAAGGATGTGCCCCCAATGATATCGACAGACAGGCATCACTCAACCGATCCGCGCACACCTTCAAAATTTGACGACCGGCAAGTCCGACATGTGCACCTTGGCCGCCCCGTACGGAACCAGCTTAAACGACCTCCTCTCCCCGATACACGTCCTGTTCGACGGAGCCCAGTCCGGCGTGATGCCCAGCCGCAGACCCCAGGAAATCTCGCAGCCGTCCACCGTAATGTGATTCGGCGGCGCGCCGTGCTCAAAGACAGGGTCAGGCAGGCGGGCCCCGCTCAGGCCATGGTACCGGAGGGTTGCAGGGTCGATTGCCACGTTCCAGGGCGTGGTGCTGTTGATGTAGTGGTCTCGGAGCTGGGGGAATGGCAAGTATGATAGCCCAGGGCCTCTGGTGTCGTACCAGGCGTGCGGGAACGACGATGTCTGAGAGAAGCCGACGTCGAGCGCGTAGAGCAGATTGCCGTACAGCACGGCGACGGTGTCGTTGGCTCGGGCCTCGGTTCGGACTTCGGTCGACACGATGCACACAACCTTGGTCTGGTCCGGATTGACAAGGATCTTGTACATGCCCGATGTGGCATCTCGCTTGGGGAGGTTGATGAGGCCTTGGACGGCTTTGAAGGAATGAGACCACCTCGGCACGCGAATGTAAAGGTTAAACTGCCTGTCCGTCGTGATCGTGTACGAAAGCGTGTCATCAAAAGGATATGCCGTGTCGCACGAGATGGCGACGGAGCCGCCATCCACCGTGGCCGTCACAGTCGACGGGCCCAGCAGGACGTGCGCCAGACCTTCCTCTCCGACGGCGGCCCAGCTGTTGGACACAAACTTGGGGTAGCCCTGCGGGTGGTTGACGGTGCAGCACGGATACATCGGCTCCATGCCAAAGGTGGTGGCGAGCCGCTGTTGGCCGTGGTGAAGAGCGGCGGGAGGTGGCCGTCGCTGGCCGTCGTGTTGAGGGCAAACGGCTGGTTGGGCTGGGCCATGTACTGGTGCGCCCACTTGTCGCCCGTCATCATGGCGGGAAAGGCGTTGAAGATGGCCCGCTCCGCGCGGTCGGCATGTTCACTTCTTCCGAGCACCTGGTACATATAGACGAGCGAGTAGGCTGTCTCGACGGCGGTGCACAGCTCGCTTCCCATAGAGGGCCCCAGGTCGCGCTCTATCTCGTCGGCAAGAACCGACCCGGAGGCGGAGCCGTGGTAGCGAAACGTCCAGCTTATGGCGTCGAGGCTCTTCTGGACCATGCTGCTGCTGCCGTTTATGCGATATATGACGGCAGAGGCTTTCAGGCTTATTCAAGGCGGTTAGCAGAGGCGCTCACTCAGGGGAGCAGGGGCAGAGTATACCTTGACCGACGTTGACGCCGTGAATGTATGGGAAAATAGATTCATCGTTCGAAGCGACCACTTTTTCAAAGGTGCCCTCGGTGTACCACTTGTCCCATTTGTACCGATTCTGCGCATAGAACAAGTCCATATTCTCCCACAGAACAGAGTCCTGGTCCGATGAATGGTTCTCGAGCAGCCACTGGATCGTGATGATCAAGTCGTGAATGCGCGCTTGCCCCCACCTGCAGTCAACGTCCTTGGCGCAGTTTGTGAAGCCCCGGCTGTTGTCCTTGAGCATGGCATTGCTCAGAGACATGAAACTTCTCAAGCTCGTCACGACCGGATCCTGCCACGTCTTGTTTGCCTCGGCGAGCTGGACGAGGCCCAGGAGAAAGGGCGTGCGTGCCCAAAAGTTGCGCGCCTCTCCCACCTCGGGCCCGATCCAGCCGTCTGGGGCCTGGTGGCCGAGGACGGTGCTGGCGACCTGGTGAACCTGAGCCTTGAGCCGGGCATGGTCGAGCTCGTAGGCCATGGGCACCAGCGAATTGAACCAGTAGGGGAGCGCCTCGTTGAGGTTGCTGTACTCGGTGCCGCCATGGCCCGGGACGTTGAGCCAGCTAGACTCTTTGACGTAGACGTAAAAGTCGTGCTCGTGGCCGGCGAGCCCGTCGGCCATGGCCCGCATCTCGCCGAGGAGCCATCCGGCCGGCTTGATGGAGCCGACAGGGAGAGGCGAGAATTTCCACGGCCGGACTGCTCTGCCGGTTAGCGACCGAGTGGCTGAGCGGCGTCAGGACATACGAGTTCTGGATGGCCCTGCAGCGAGCGTTGAGCAAACCTGCAGCGGCAAGACCGCCATGCAACGTGAGGGTCTCTTGCTCCCTCAAGGCGGCTCGGGTTTTGTTTTCATTTCAATGCATCGACTGAAGACGGCGTCCAAAGGTCTACATGTAGGTGGACCTTGCCGCATAAGTCCTCCCTTTGCCTGGACCGGCGCAGGCGAGCAGAGTTCAAAGCGAGGCGGAAGACACATCATATCAAGTGACCTCACGTGGACCAAGCATGCATGGAAGAAGAAACCAGGCTGCGGGCCGGAATCGTCGGGGCGGCGAAGGAAGGGAGGCACTGTTACATTGGAGGATCGTCTCGTGAACAATTGGTGGGCGAAGAAGGGTGTGAGACCACTTATGCCTCTTGTCAGCTGACCTGTTGATCTTCCTAGAGACTATTCGCGAATTGAATTATAGCAACGGATGCAACGTCAGTCGAAATGAGGCGGATCCCTGTAGGCGATATGCTACTAGCGGATTGCACTTGGTAGCTGCATGCTCCGGCACTGACACTTGGCCCGTCTCCAGCCGTTCCACGATCGCAGTCCCTATTCCACGCGCATCCAACTCATGAGCTGGTCTCTCTCGGCCCGGGACTTTGTCCTGGGAGTCGTCGTCGGCGCCGTTGTCGCCTTTCTTCTTGGGACGGCTGTGTTTGCTGCCGTGCTCCGCTCAACCAACGGCTACAGCCTGGGTCACTGGAAGCTCAACGTGAGAACCCCCTTGGACTCCATGTGGATGAACCTGGGATACTGGTAGGCCAGCCTGGTCTTGCAGCCAATGACGCAGTTTGTTCATCCGTGTCTGTATAGGAAAGCCGCAGACGGAAAGCCTGTTCACCACTTCGACGAGGCCTGCCTCGGCCTCCTCACGGAAATCCTCAAGACAGCCGGACTTCTGGACCAGAATACGACTTCAGCCTCCCGCACCCTGTCAATTCTCGACCTCGGTTTCGGATGCGGGGACCAGACATGGGCACTGGCTCGCCTCCTCCGGCCCCGATCCAGCGACCACTTCCGCTATGTAGGCCTCACTCTGGACGAGTCGCAGCTTCGGACGGCCATGAGGAAGCTCCACCGCGAGCTCGCATCGCCTGCAAATGTCAACCCCGTCCTTGAAAGGGCCTCCTTTCACCTCTACTGCGCCAATGCTGCCAAGCCCGACTCCTGGACCCCGGCCGCCCGAGGCGCAGTCCAGGGCCTAGCCGACCCCGACCGCACCGACAGATGGCTTCTCGCCCTCGACTGCCTCTACCACTTCTCACCTTCGCGGAAGCCCATCTTTCAGTATGCAGCGTGGAAGCTCGACGCCAACGTCATGGCCTTTGACCTGATTCTCAACGAAAAGGCATCCAGGCGGGACAAGCTGCTCGTGCGCGCTGTCGGGTTGATGATGAGCTGTCCCCTCCACACTTTCTTGACCGAGGACCAGTACAGGGCCCAAATGGTTGAGTGCGGCTACGATGGAGGTGGTGTTGTCATCCGCGACATCTCTGACGACGTATATGCCGGCGTCGCCAATTATCTTCGGCGGCAGGAAGAGGCGCTCAGCCTGTATGGCGTATCGATCGGCGGCTTCAAGCTGGCTGGGCGATTGTTCGATTGGTTCAACAAGTCGAGAGTCGTCAAGGCCTCCATTGTCGTCGGGCGTATAAAAGACAAGCCGGAAACCAACAATCGCTGATCTCTCCACCCCAGCCTCTGCGACTCATGATTCTATCCTCGATGCGTCCCACCTCGGCCGAGCCCAGCAGTTGATCCCATCTCAGCAACTGCTGGTCTTGTTCAACTTTTATCGGAACCCAGCTGGCTTTGCACCGCCAGCCGCATCCTCGTCTCGGTTGCATGGACCAATGTCTAGCATGCGCCGAAGCAGCATTGAAGGGCCGCTCGCCTCTAGAAAATGATCGACAACGCCCTCGCAATTGCCGCTTTTCACTTTTATTCTAGCGATTCTGACAACAATTGAAGCTTTTACTGGATGCAACTCCGCCAAATCTCCCCGCTGTTTGTCCTGGGAGCATGTTCAATATCGGCAGGGGATCGGTGCCCTGGCGCCATATGGGATTGCACCTCCAGGACCTTGATTTAATGACCCTGGGCGCAAACTCATTTGTCCTGCGCGCGGGCCAGATTCCAAGGAACCACCAACTGCTCAAGATCGGGGATTATTCATCTCTTTCGAGCGCCGAGGCAAGCCCGCTGCTGGTAATCCTCGCGGCTGTCGATGGCTTCTACTCCTGAGCTCAAAATACAACTCTCCATCTTCAAATCATCTTGAAACGCACTGTTCCACGAAGCAAGACAAGGCCGCGTGCTTTGAAAATGTCTCAGACTATCGTATTCGCACACAATGGGTCGAGAACATGTCTGGTGAGTCACTGGCCTGGGTTGGCATTCCAGCCCGTGGCTTCGCAATCAAGCACGATCTTCCCAAGATATCTATATGGCCTCCAAGCCTGGCCGTCTTGCTTGCGGATTGGTTGTGTTGGGCCACTTCCCGGGGTTTGCACCATGCGCCAATCGACCTTTCTCCTTGCGCTCCTCGGGGTAGCGTCGGCGTCTCCGTCCTGGGTTCGCCGAGCCAAGATGTCTTTCAGTATAGCTCGTCCAGGGGGAGTCGGGGACGTCGTCGTAAATGAGGAAAACCTACTCCACGGCACCTATCATGATCCCGCCACAAGAGTCGTCCATCATCACGTCCAACGAACATCCTATGTGGACAATGAGTCGCTGCAGCTAGAATTCGTCAACAACCACCGCGGGGGCCAAATCCGCGCCTACATCTCGGGCTTGGACTCCTCCAAGCGAGTCGTCTTCGTCAAGGCCGACGGTTCGCTGGTGTATCCGAGCTCTGGCGGCTCCAACGTTCCCGTACCCGTCAAGGAGAACATCGCCATTCCTATTCGCGCCGGGAGCACCAGTTTCAAAATGACTCTGCCAATACCCATATATTCCGGTCGCGTTTGGTTCGCCGAAGGAGAACTCCGCTTCTTCATGGTCAAGACCTCGGACGGTGACGGCCTGGTGCAGCCCTCGCCGAGCAACCTTCGAGATCCTAGCTCAGGGATCCACTGGGGATTCGCCGAGTTGACTTACACCAAAGCACGCGAGATTTTCGCAAACATCAGCTACGTCGACTTTGTCGGACTCATCCTCAGTGTGAGCTTGAAGGAGAGGGACAAAAGAGGGACCCAGCTTACCCGCGGTTTGGGGCCCGACTCCATCTCCAAGATATGCAGTGGCATGGTCAATCAGTCGGGCAAGGATGGCTTCCCATGGGACCGCATGTGCGTCGCCAATGATTCGGGGACGCCCATCCGAGTACTGTCGCCGAACAACTACGCCATCATCAACGACGCGGACTTTCGGGCATATTGGAACGCCTACGTCGACGATGTGTGGAAACGGTACAGCACCTCTACTTTGACAATCAATACGCAATCTCACGCCGGCAATGTCAAGTGCAAAGTATCGGACGACATGCTCAAGTGCAGTGGCGGCGACAATCGCGGCTATCCCAAGCCAACAGCGGAGGACATTTGGGGCTGCAACAGCGGGCCGTTTGAGAGGCACAAAGACGACAACCCCGTCCACGTAGCCGTCATTCCGCGTCTCTGCGCCGCCTTTGTACGCTCTACTCTGCTGCTCTCGGGCGGCGAGGTCCAGCCGCGTCTGGCGTCTTCGTCATACTACACCATCAATCCCGCCAGTCACTACAGCCGCCTCATCCACGAACTCGAAGTTGACGGCAGAGGCTACGCCTTCCCGTACGACGACGTCAACCCTGACGAAGGGGGCAACGCCTCGGGCCTGGTGTCCTCGGCTGTCCCAGACACGCTCACGATATACGTTGGCGGATCCCCGCCGTGATATGAGCCCACGGTCCATGACCCCTGGGCTTAGTGATTAGCATGGGCAGAGGACCGAGTACATTTTGGACGTGTTATGAGAATGTGGCACTTTTTACTATTTGGCAAGCATGATGGAGCCGGGAAACCCCGCGGTACATACAAGCCCCGGTCATTCGAGGCTGTACTGTATCTGGACTCGTGGCGCATTGGACATGATTCTTTAGAATTTCTCCAATCTCAATCTTCTCTTGCTTTCATTCTCGCTTCAAGTATCTTGCTCAAACGAGGATGGCAAGTGGGTTTCAGAACGACGGCCGTCGGGATGCCCACTAGGTATCAGCACTGGTCCTACTGACTTGTATCCACACAGCTCGGTGCCGCTGCTGGGGTGACTCGACGAGTCATCCATCCTCTTGCCAGTCTTCACTCAGTGCGCCCAATGCCAATTTGAGAAGTGTCCGGTTCTGTTCCATCTCCTCCCCGTTCGCCGCCGGTTGATGGGCGCCTGTGGCGGAGAGAAGGGATCTAGTCATTGTACTACGAACACAGTATCGGGAGGTATCCGCAGTTTTGTCGAGCCCATGTGACTCGTCCGAACGCAAATGGCTCCTTTTGTTCTTCGTTTTGTTTTGTCGTCGCGCACGGCCAAGGTTAAAATGCCCTTGGACTACCTAGGGTCTGAAGTACAGGCAATTCTGGGTCCTATAGGGCTGTATTATCAAGGCAGGTCGCGAGCCATCCCCGGGCGCGCTTTTGGGGGCGACTGAGCGCCGCCGCCCATGTCTTGCTGATAAGGTCGCCATTCCCCGGGCCGGCGTCGCCTCCATTGTCGCCAGTGCTCGGAGCCGGCGGCCGTCAATGCTAGCGTGCTTATGTGCCGGCATTATTTGACCCTGTTTACAGAGTACATTGGAGCTTATCTGGCCACCGGCCTCCCCAATCGCCTGATCGGAGGGCGCTGAGGAGAGAGGTATAAATAGAGGCCGGGCCAGAACAGCCCCTGAATCCTCCCATTCAGCAAACAGTTATCAGGCATAAAACGAGGGCAGGCCGATTTTCAGGCATGGAGACCGGGGCATGGGGTCTGGGGGATCACGTTTCCCTTGCTGTGCCGCGCGTCGGGGCCGTCGCATTGATGATGTGCAAAGGCAAACACCAGACGGTTACGCGTGAATAGGGGGTGTAGGGTGAGCGAGTGAGTACCGTGGAATTGGAGGCTTTGTGATTACCAGTTGATTTCCCAACTTGATCGTATCGTGTCCGAGCGAGCCGCCGGCGCCCTGCATGCCAAGCGGTCATGGCAGGGAGGAATGTGTCCCTGAGAGATGTGCTCCGTACTCGGTACAGGAGACGCAAGCAGAGCCCGCACTGTATTTGCGGGATCCGTAACTTAGATGCCGGCAGAAACGGCCGTCTTGATGCGATGCTCATGCAAGTAAATTGCCCTGCCACCTCCCTTGGACCCCTTCGATGGGCACGGCATATCGCACGGAACCTACGAGACACCTCGAAAAGCCCCTGCTGGTGGGTATCATCTGATAACTCGCCGCCTCTCACCCCTGGTGGCGCAGTCTCTCTGGATCGACTCGTGCGGCTGTCAGTGGGCTCTGTCTTTGCTGCCGCTGGGGCAATCTGGAACGGCCGACCTTTTCCTCGACAGCGATTACTCGCATGAAACGGGGCCGAGGGTGGTTGGATGGGCAGGCATTGGCTGGGACGTGGCGAGACGCGGCGGACCCAACCTGGCGCATGAATGCCGGCCGTCAACAGAGGTCAACGGTCACTAAAAATGGCACCCGCCCACCATCCCACCATCCCACCATCCCACCATCCCCACCACTGCCCTCCTGCCTCTCGCCTCTCTTGGCGCGCGCGTCTTTTGAGTGGTGGTACCCGTAATTATACCCGTACTCCGTACAGCAGGCGGCACGCAGCATTTCGTACAGGTAGGGACATCGTATATCCCATCGTATATCCGCTGGCCCTCGCCGATCCAGGCTGTTACAGGGGCCGTGGAGGTTGATGCAGGCCGCCCCTCTCCAAGCTGCAGCCAGTACCGGACGGTGAGTTGTACTGTAGCAGAGCTCATCTCATGTACTCGCACTCAGGCCTCGGCTGATGGGTTGAACAGCTGAACAGCCCTGGAGCATACACGGACGTTGATTCACGGTCAGATCATGCACGGCTTGATCACGTAGAGGCGTTGGCATGTCTCCTTCGGGGAAACAGCCTGTTTGCTACAACCTTCTAACACAAAGCGCAGCAAAGTTTCGAGGCTTACTGCCTGGTGCTACGGCCCGAGTAATGTCTAAAGCCAGGGTAGGGCCGGGTACACCGTGCCCACACACTGTCTCCAGGAGGTGTGCCGCCCCCCGCGCCCGGGCTTCCTCATTGGTCACCCGCCCCGTCCCCCGTACCTCGCTGCCAATTGTCGTCGGCAAGGTACCTCGTGCATTAGAGCCTACGGCTGTCACCACCACGCCGCCACCTGTCTTGTGTACTTTCCCAACCTCGTCTCCTTGCCTTGTTTCCTTGGTTTATTTTGTCTTTGACGACGTCCTCGTCTCCCTCGTTGTCTGCTCCCATCCATTCATTCCAGCAGAAGCTCCGAAGTCTCTCACGACCCGGCCCCGCGCACCAGACTTTCGTTTTGTCTCCCCATTGTTCAGCCACGTCCCCCCATGACGTTACCCGGCAGCACCTGAAATTGCACGTCCGTCTCTGATTCTTTATCCACCACCCTCTTGCTCTCGCTCTTACTCTTCCCCTACCCTACCTGCTCGCTCCTCTGGCCTCCCAGAGACACTGTCCGACCTATCTTCTTCGAAGGCTGAGCGACGCCGAGCAGCACCCACGCCTTCAAACCCTCACAACCCTCTCCTGCGTACGCGTCATTCGAAATGACCATGGCATTCACCAAAAAGATTGACCGCGCCCGGCAATGGGCCGGCGAAAAGATGGGCGGCGAGGCCCGGACCAGCCAGTCTGACGAGTTCCAGACGCTCGAGGCCGAGATGGGCATGCGCCAAGCCGGTAAGTCGAGAGCCCTGACCATCCGCCCTGCCATCCACGACTGACAGTATCTCTTCTCTCAAACAGGTATGGAGAATCTCCAGAAATCCGCCAGCGTCTACGTCAAATGGGCCTCCCGTCGATGCGATGGCTACGAAGACAAGAACCGCAGCACTCCCCTCGCCCTCGTCGGCCGCTCCATGTCCGCCCACGCCAACGAGTTGGAGGCCAACTCCGAGTTCGGCAGCTGTCTTTCCCACGTCGGCCGCGCCAACGAACGCGTCGCCGATATTCACAGCAGCTACGTCGAAGATGTCTCGACGAGCTGGCTGCAGCATCTTGAGCGGAGCGTCACCATGATGAAGGAGTACCAGGTACGCCGCACAAACCCCCCACTGGACCAGCCATCACTCGCTAACCCTGTGTCCACAGGCTGCCCGCAAGAAACTCGAAAGCCGCCGCCTTGCCTACGACGCCAGTCTGGCCAAGATGCAAAAGTCAAAGCGCGACGATTTCCGCGTCGAGGACGAGATGCGCGTCTGCAAGACAAAATTTGACGATTCAACCGAGGACGTTCTCCGCAGGATGCAGGACATCAAGGATGCCGAGGTAGACAACGTCAGCGCACTCAACTCGCTCCTTGATGCCGAGCTGGACTTCCATGAGCGGGCAGCTGAGGAGCTGCGCCGCACTCGCCAGTCCCTCGCCGAGGTCACCCTCTCCGCCCCGGCTTCCCGGGACGGTCTCCACGTGGCTCGGGCTCGTTCACGCCCAGCCTTGATCGAGCGTATACCGAGCAGCCGTCGTCTCGCTTCCTCGCAAGCCATGCCCCCACCGCCACCACCGCCTCAAACCACCAGACCGTCCATGGCGAGGGCGTCCACGTTCGCAACGCGCAGAGCCTCTTCCAACACGGCGGCGGCAAGGGCTCCCGCGTTCCCAAGACACACGACCGACACGGCCCTGCACGGCGGTAGGCTGGATGATGGTTTCAGCGATGATGAGTCGTCGGCTAGCGAGAGCGGAAGTCCGGGCTGGGGGAACCGCAGCATCAGCTCCACGACGAGCCACGACAGCCTCGCTCGGGTGGCAAGCGCGCCGGCAGCCAAGAAGGGCCGGCCTCCTCCTCCTCCCGTTAACCGGGCCAATAAGCCGCCTCCCCCGCCTGTGCCTGCACGGAGGGCCCATCTGGGGTGCTGAGGGAATCTCGTCGCACTGGATGCTCGGGGTGTGTATTATCATAGCAGGCGGCGTGTGCGCACGCGGCGAAATTGGACGCATATGGGCGCCAATGTACCTATTACTGAGTACTGGATGGATGCGAAGCCCGAAATAGTTTTTACGCAATCTGCTGCATGGGCTGGATGGACGGGGGTTAACCTGAAGGCTTCGCTCGAGCAGCGACGGCACACGAAATTGAGCTTGTATCAATATAGGACGGAACTGTTTGTGTTCTGCTTCCCAGGTGTTGACCCGTGAATTGCAAATGTCGAGTTGATTGAGCCGTGTCCCGTGTTGGGTCGTGGCCTGTGACATGAGTCACGTGCGTCATTAGCCAAGTACTCGGTTCGGAATGAATGCTTGAGCTCTCGCCAATAACGCGCAGATGCAGCACCATCAGTCCGCGCCTTTATCGCCAACGGACTCGGTCCATCCAAGTGCAATACGGTGTCTACATCTCGTGAAAGTCATGTGAAGCACTCCGCCAAATCTTGTGGCGTTCAGACCGCATCCAAGCTCTAACTCCACCGCCAGCCGAGACGAGCCTCGGGGCTCCCTCCAGACAAAATGGCCACCGAAGACGAACGTTACCGACAATCGAGCCAATTCCGCCTCTGGTCCTTCTCCCCCGGCAGCTTGCAGGAGCTGCGGGCCAAGACAAACTCCCTCGCCAAGCAGCAAATAACAGCCCGCATGGGCTCTGCCCTCGACTTCCTCACCCCCGATGAAGAGTCGCGGCTCGTCAAATTCTTCACCGTCGAGCTCATCCGCGCAGCCCAGTTTTGCGAGCTGCCCACCGAGATTCGCTCGACCGCGGCCGTATTCCTGAGACGATTCTACGTCACCAATTCGGTCATGACGTACCCGCCGACCGAGCTGCTCAAGACTTGTCTGTTCTTTGGGTGCAAGGCAGAAGGCTTCTACATTCGACTGGCCAAGCTGGCGGAGAAGTTCCCCAACACTACGAGCGAGCAAATACTGGCGGGCGAGTTCTTGCTGTGCCAGGGCATCCGATTTGCCTTTGATGTGCGGCATCCATTCAGGGCCTTGGAGGGCGCCATCCTGGAGCTGAGGCGACGGCGGCCGGACGAGGAATCTCGGATTATCAAGGCGCACGCGCGGGCGAGAGAGGTGCTCAAGTTCAGCGCCTTGCTGACGGACGTCTACTTTCACTTTGCGCCCAGCCAGGTCATGATGGCTGCTCTCCTCCTGGCAGACCCGGGGCTGGTAGATGTTTTACTACCCAAACCAGACCAGAATGGGGCCGGCGACGGCGGCAGTGATGCTGTTGGGGCATCCACCGACATGTACGAGAAGATTATGACGACGGTTGAAAGCTGCCGCGCAATGCTCGAGGAGGAACCCCCCGAGAGGATGACTGATCACTGGGGCACGGTGCGTTGACTCTTCCCATGCATCTTACTTGAAAGCACATGTGACTGACTCTTGACAGGCCGAGGTTGTCAAATCGATGAAACCGCTTAGGAAGAAACTCCAAAAGTGTCGAGATCCGGACCGAGCTGACCTGGTAGGCCTGCAGCGAGCTAGACGAGAGCAGGCTGCGGGCAAGGTCACAAAGCCTGGCGCAAGCACGGCGAGCGATGCGGCGGTCTTTGGCGACGGTGACCCCAGAGACGTCAAGCGGAGAAAGGTCGAGGGCGGACCTGATGCGTTTGGGCCGCCGTTATGACGGGCGCAGTACTTGAATGAATGGTGTCTGCTCCAGAATCATCCGCCATCGAACGACTTGAGTCTCAAATTGGTACATCTTGTCTGTTGATCAGGGCAGACGAGCTGGTGTGTCTTTGGGAACGGTGACACACTCGCAAAATCGCGAGCTCGTTATTTTGCGGTCCTCGTCAGGACGATATCGGGGGTTCTCACGAGACTGGTCTGGTTTGCGTTGCCATTGGCGAGCAGACGCACACGCTCGCCGGGCACGCTGTGCGCACAGTTGGCTTAGCCCGGTGACAAGCCTTTGCAGACTTGGCCTTGGCCAGTTGCTGTGGGGACAGGCAGGGTCGATGGCATGGCCGTCGATAGTCAAACATGACTCTCTACGGGTTCAATATCCCACGACAGAGCCCTGGAAGGCTCATGAGATGTGCGAGCTGGTTCCCGAACGAGAAGCACCGTGTCCAACCCACGACGATGGATGATGCGGCTGGGTCATCACGTTTCAAAATCTGGGATCTCGGCCAAGATGCGAATTGTTCTCACAAAGCTGGGCGCCGTCTAAAAGCTACTCCTTCTGCTTGCACTTCTTGGCGCGGGCGTGACCATGGCGTTATTGGAAAGCAGCTAGCATCAATCGGAGCAAGTTTGCCTGATGTCATGCGATTGGTTGGTGATGTCAATGCACTACAGCATGCGGGGGCGTTTACACAAGCGGCTCTCTCGCCTAGGCCACCTTTTTGCCCCTACCGACCTCGTCTTTACGCAAGACGCGCCGCGTTGCCCAACTATGAAACCCAACGTCCTCTTGGCGAATGGGGTATCTTGAAACACTAGCAAGTAGAAAGCCCTAAACTCCTAGCTAACCAGACTGCCAAGCGCAGTAACAGGCTCTGGTACCATGCTCCTCGCGTTTATGAGCCCCGAGTAAAGATATTCAAGAAATTTATTCAGTGTCGTGTCCAGGCCAGAAATGTCGTCGATTTGTCGCCCTGCCATCCCGGAATCCTCGGAATGCGCTGGCTCAGTCGGATCTGACGTATTTCGTCTCTCATTGGCCTTGAAAGTTTCATTGGGGATCTTTTTCGTCTCTCTTAACAAGGCGAGCCCTTCTTTGAGAGCGCTGAGTGCCTCTTCATCAGGCTGACATGGGTCTTTCCAGTCTCCCAAGTCGGGTTCCCTTTTCGCCGCCAGAGGTTGAACCTCGTCAGCCGCAGTATCATTTGCGCCTTTACGCGAATATCTGCCCGGTAGTCCCGCGGGAGGTACTTCCTGGTTCCACTGAGTTTGGCCGGCTTTATGAGCTCGACGATACGGGGTAGAATTTTTTTTTTCAGGGGGCATTGTTGAGTATGCGCGTCGAGCGGCTTTGCAGGTTCAATGGGGTGCTGATGCGCTCATCATCCGTGGTGCCCGGTGCGGGATCGAGCCTGACGGGGGTTTCTCGGCCTGGCTGGCTGGGAACTGGTGCCGCATCGTTGGCATTCAAGGTCAGCTCGTGGTTTCCTGTCTCCGGCGGGCTTCCGAGAATGGTGCTTCAGTCGACGGATATGCGCCTAGCCGCCACGGCAGTGCTGAGAACTACCGCGAGGAACATGACAGTGAAGCCAGCCATTCTTCTCATCGTGGTTAACGGGGCATAGCTTTCAACTCGGCTCCAATGCTTTTTGATTGTGTGTGTGCAGAGAGCAGAGGTAAGCAGAAGCGTGATGTTGCAAGGGCGTGGGCCTTAGGACGTTGAGGTTATCAATGAAGACGGCTTCATCTTATACACTTATAAAGAGCGTGCCACGGTGAGCTTGCCGCCATTGCCTCGTAGCGGCATGTCACGCATCGCGCTGTCGCATTTGCACGATTGGCGCTGGCGCTTGGGCTGTATCGATGCAACTCTTGCCAACCCCGTGGCCAGCGGACCTCGCAACTGATTGCACATGTAGGAAGCACCAGAGCTTCAGTCAACTCTAGTAGACCAGACCCTCCATCTCGAGCGCTGATCTTGCAAAGCAGACCCTCAGCAGTTTTTGTCGCTGCCAATGACTGGAACCACGTGCTTGACTAGCAAGATTCAATCATCGAATCCTTCCCACTCTGGCCGCAGTGTATCGGCAGCAAAGGATCAACAGTAGGAATAAAGGGCACATCTCGTCGAAGATGGCCACTATTTACAGGCAGTCATGGCTGGAAGAACTAGTAGCAAAAGGGCTGATAGGTCAGTCCCAATGAGCCGCCCCTGGATAAGTTTTTATGGCTGCAACCAGATTCTCGTTTGGTCCCTACTTGACTATCGAGTATCATGGCCTCAACAATCAACTAGATAGCCCATACCGCCCGCTCCAACACCCCGGGTCTGCCTGGCCGCTGGCTGTCCGGAAACTACCCACGTGGACGATGCCCTGTGTTCAGACGCGCTAGACTCCCGAGTTATCTAGTCCAGGGCCCGCTGCCGGACTGGAGGATCAGCCTGCTGTAAATAGCAGACCACTTTCACTTTATGTACAGCAATGCGAGCCAATGATGTGCTGCTATTTCTACACGTGACTTCGAACCTGTTACAGGGTCTCGTGGAGTATATAAACGGCAAATAAAACGCTCAAGTCCCAATTTTTCCTGCTCTGCTGAGAAGCATACATGTATGTGTTGCCGGTGCCGGTGCCACTTGGGCCGACGGTGGCTCCACGCGTATATGCAAGGACGAAGACGAGAAAAGACAATACTGTACATCTTGCATACATAGTAAGTGGGCAAGGAAGGTGTCGTGCTCGGTTCTTGGCTATATCGGAGCCCATTACACCGTCACGGTTCAATTTAGAGTTGAAAACGGAGTTGGGAAGGATCGACGAGCACATAAGTACTGCAGCGTCTAGAATGCTCTGCGGCGTACGCTGATGGGAAAACACCCCAAATCTTGTACAGCATTATCCCAGGGGCTCATTTTTGTCAATATACCGCCGGAAGACATTAAATTAACGCCATAGCTGTGGTCAGTTGCTTGTCCCTCGTTGAATTCGCGACATATATCCCAAGTTCGCGACGGGGCCAGTAAAAGGACGGTGGTTATGCAGCACAAGCAGGTGATTCTAAGCAAAGATTCCATGCAATTAATCTAGACCCGACATCCACTTGACCGTCCAGCCATTTCATTGCTCGCGCACACGCTCGACTGCTTCACCATGCGCCGGCCCACGACATGTGCTTATGTCCACTGGAGCAATTGGTGTCGCGGTTTTGCTTGCCTAGGGATCACGAGATAGCTCTAGTCACGCAGAAGAGTTGTCCGAGCCTATCTGACACGAGATTGAACCGGACCCCGGCCAGCTGCACGCACCCTCGATCAACCTCTTCGTGGATATTCAGCCGGTTGGTCTTGATGCCAGGCCTTAACACCTGCTTGGGCCTTCTGCTTTTCAGGGCCGGACCCCTTCGACGGTGCTGTTAGTGGCCCCCAATCACTTTGCGACGCACACTCTATCAAACCAGACTTGAACTTTCGGTTCTCGTCGTTTCCTCGGCTACCAAGTCCCGCGAAATGCGGATTATACCCAACACGTTTTCATCTTTTCTTCGAATAGTCATCGCAGCCCAGGCCCTTCCAACTTCCGGGACACCGTACTTGAACTCAACGAAACTGACTCAAAGCGGACAGAGCGGACAGAACTGTAGAACGGGGGTAGTGGAGTCCTTGAAATGAGAGCGGCAGAAGCTTGATGAACGACTCTGAGACCGACGCCGCACAGCCATTTGTCCTAAGCCCAAGCAAGAGGAGCGCCCCCAAAACAGACATCGGAGAGGCAAGAGATGGCTCTGAGATGACATAAAAGGAGCCATCAAATCCTGGAGCAAACCGGCCATGATCATTGAGAAGAAACAGCTTACATGGGCTCACCCGGATCAGGCGGAAAGCTTTTCAGCTGCCTCTGAGCTTCAGGATAGCGAGGTTCCTGAGAGGATCTCCCTCTTGGAAAGTGCCATCTGCCTGAAATCGTTCGGCTCTACAGACGGCGAGGTTGGCTTTATGAACATATTTTGCGTCGATTGCCGGGCTTTTGGCAAAGCAATATTCGCCGGCGGAGCCAATTGGAATCATTTCGACGGCATTATCAAGGGTAAAGTCAAGCTCCATGCGGACATTATGGTATGCCTCAAGATTGGCGTTGAAGCCCAGGTGAGCCACGAAGCCGAGCTTTCTACAGACCTGTTTAGGCTCGGTCTGCCAGGTCTCAGCTACTGTATCGTCACCATTGGCCCGCAACTGTCCGTCAGCTTCCGGGCTTAAATCCAGGCGGCAGCTGAGGGGAGATTGATTATCGGAGCTGAGATGGCGCTCCTCGACGCCCGCATCGTCTTGGACCTTGTTGATTCCGCGACCGTGGAAAGCGAAATCAACAGCTTGGAGCCCTACTTTAAGCCCACGCTCGAGGCCGAGGGAGATATCACGTTGTCTGCGATACTAGCATTACTGGTAGGGCTGGAACTGGGCCTCTAGGTTGACTCATGGCACAAGTCCGTGCCGGGATAGACAAGCCTTCCAAGTCGCCGGGACCACCACCTTGACGGACGATTCCGGTCTCAACGAGACAGACGGTTGCAAGAGCCTAAGTACCTAACTCAGCTTGCGCAATAAACTGCTCATCTATGTCATGGACCTCGCAGTGTGTTATCTACATGGCACCGGCGACCATGAAATATCTCATGAGTGCATCCAGTAAGCCTTGCTCGCTGCTCTCGTGGGCTTAAGAAACCCCGATAGCAAGCCACCCCTTAAATTCACATCAGTTTCGCTAACCTGGCCACTCGAAAGACTACCCCAAGACCGAGAATACGACCAAGGACAGCTCCAGCCTGCGTCCAACTCTGCCGGCCTAAAAGGCAGCCTTTTGTCACCGTTGTCGTTTTGCGAGCAGCTTGTTGGAAGAAAACTGTTTGATGTAAAACTTGCTGCTCTGCATGCCTCAGGGCAACCTGTACGCCTATTGCATTGGTCACTAGAGCCTGGGAGCAAGATGAGGTACAACGACTGAGCTCTGATATGAGGAAAGGACACTGACCGTAAGCAAACCCCACTGTTCTTCCAACACGGATTCATGGTGTCCAAACCTCACGCAGGATGTCGACGAGGCTTGGTGCATACTGCCGGGATACCAGGATACTGAAGTGGGTGACAGGTTTGGAACAAGGCGTGGGCGTTCCATGGTGTGATGCTGCGTTGGAAGCGGCAGTCCGTTCCTTCATCATCATTACGTTCAAACTCCAAAGTCCCCATGAAATGACCGGTGCGAAGGAATGAATAGCGATGAGCATTACGGTATTTCAATACGCAACGGCCGACATGGTCGAGAGCTCGACAGCTCAGACATGCAAGCCGCCGCTAGCTCGTCTAAGCCACGACCGGCAGCGTGCTTTTGGCCTTTGGCGCTGAGCATGTTGCTGACGAATTCGCAGCTTGCTTACGCGTCGGCTGGCAGCGCGATTTCCATGGCTTGATAAAGGTGCCCGGGGCCACCAAGCACGCCCTCCATCCGCAGTCACCTCCACGTTGGAGCTTGTCCTCGGCCTTGACGCTCCAAAGCAGTAAACCTCGACCCAAGACAGTTCCCTACGCGTCTGAGTACATCATGGCGGCAGGGAAGAAGATTGCGCTGGTCACCTGCAGCACCCGCGGCCGTCGTCTCAATCCCTTCATCACGAGCTATGTCCAACAAGTGGTGGCTCCCTTGTGGCCCAGCATCACCATCGAAACACTTGACCTGGCAAGCCCTCGTCTGCCCCTCTTTGACGAGCCGACCACACCGGCCCAGCACCCGCACGACGACCCAACACCGCACTATGCAAGGGAGCACACGAGGGCATGGTCTGCAGCCGTTCGTCAGTACGACGGCTTCATATTCGTGACGCCGCAGTACAACTGGAGCGTTCCTGCCAGCCTCAAGAACGCCCTCGACTACCTGTTTCACGAATGGAAAGGCAAACCGGCGGGCATCGTGTCGTATGGAAGCAGAGGGGGCGGCAAATCGGCGAGCCATTTGCGAGATATTCTTCATGGCTTGCGGATGAAGCCGGCTCCTTCGGCCCCCGGCCTGACCACTACTCTGGACATGGTTGGCCTTTGCGAAGAGCTGGGCAGCGTCAGGCAAGAGGATAAGGTGCGGTGGAAGGAGGCGGGTGTTGAAGAGCAGCTGGCAAGCATGATGGAGGAGATGAGGCTGGAACTGTCTGCAGCATAAGCCGCCAATGTCAGACTGTCACAGTGTTATAGCCGATAGCATGAAAGAGGACAACATGCACTCGGAAATCGTATCATACTTAGTAGTATCGGCATATCCGGCATCGCACGGGAACAGCAGCCAGCCACCCAGGCCTTAATGGCCTGCTCATATTGCAAGAAGGTCAACTCCGGCAGTTATTCGTGAGCAATGCATACCAAACTTAACGTCAAGGATCTCAAGCGCAGACACGGCGACAAGCACCATGATGGTCGACCACAGCATCGGGTCTTTCGGTTTATGTGGTCGCCCTATGAACGTGAAGAAAAACTGCGGTACTTCGATCACAGGACATGAACCGAGCACAAAATTGGCTGAAATTGGAGCGTCGGGCGCTCCATTCCATCTCATGTCCTTTTGTGACGTGCCCAAGGGTCGTTCGTGGTAGCAACACAGGGAGCCTCAACCAGCATCTCAGTCACTGATACTAGGGTCGGTCGAATCCTTTCCGCGCAGTCCAAAGTCGGGCTTGAAGCAATGCCTGACCCCCCATCATCGGCCCATGCGTTCATTCATCGATCGCACTTCCGCAAGCCCCGTCATTCGCTGCTCCTACTTCGCTGACGCCGCTGCGAGATGGATTTCCATTGGATGCAAAGATTGGTTGGGGGTCGACTTCGACGGTCTGACTGGCTCGTGGCATTCACAGGTATTCATTCATTGCGGGTTGGTGCTTCATGAGTGAGGTTTTTTGTTCCACAGGTCCCCTTTGGAAACCTCCCCCCGCCCCCAATGCTTTGCAAACTCACGTCTTCGTGCCTTGGACATCGTTGGCTCATGCGAAAGCGCTAAATCGCCATCAAGATATGTAATTGCGATATCCCTGACGATGAGATAAGACGTGAGCTGGGTACGACGTCCACCTATGGTCTGCAAGCCTCAAGGCGCTGCATCCTGGGCACGGCGCTTGAGGGCCACAGAATAGTGTCGCCCCGGGGAGATATGTACCCTGCCCACGTGGTCAAACCTCGAGAGAACCACTATGGCTTTTCGGGAAGCACATTGCGCAACAAGGGAGCATTCTCTTACGTGGATCTCCCCCTTTTCAAAGCATGAGGGAGGCCACTTCGAGTTGAAACACTTCTTCGGCGGGTGACTTAGTGTACGGACCCTGGCTGGAAAAAACTTAGCAAAAGTTGACTCGTCGGTGTTTCAGCCCGACTGCATCAGCCCGCCTGCATCAGCCCGACTGCATCAGCCTGCAAAACCATCTTGATATACCGATCCACTCTAGAACCGGTCCAGTTCCCGGAGCTGCTTGATGTGGGATGTTTCGGGGGAATTCACCCCTTGATTTAATACAGCTTGTGGATTTAGAAGGAGTATTGCCAGTCCTCTTCCCCCCTCCCGCGTTGTCGTCTCTGGATAGCTCAACAGAGTCAGTTATGCCCATTAAACCATACATTGCAGATGGAAGAAAGTTATTTATGTGCCACAAGAAGCTTACGTTAAATTCGGAGCTCGGAATAGCCGCAGCGGAATAGTAAACAGTCACTATCGCTTGAGGTCTGTGAAAAGGAGCATGTATATCTCACATGTTCACTTTTGGCATATTCCAAGTTTTAGGAGCTCTAGCCTCTAGATCGGTGGAAGTTATTTTATTATCAGTGTGGATTAATGTCGAACCTACTCCGTATCCCCGCTGACATCGTTTGTTTCTCCCTCAGACTGGAGTCAACTGACAGGGCTATCGCGCTAAGCAATGGTTTGAAAAGCTATCACGCCTTACGCAGTAGTGACCTAATTCAGAACAATGCCCACTTCCATCCGACCCCAATTGACTCGCCTGTTACTTACGCGATCGGTCGGGCCTCTCGGCGCGAACGACCCCTCGGGCCCGGTCAAGCCCGCCCACAGGGAGCCTGCCCAACCGGCCTTTCCACCGCCCGCGTGCCCAAGGCTAGAAACATCAGGCCTGGTAGGGCAGCCCTCGGAACTGCTATCGGAATTCAATAATGATAATAATAATGCCGACTTCCAGGGCCGCATAACTGGAACGAGACCACTACATAGAGCCGGCGGCCTGCGGAGACGAATCCTTCTTTGGAGACATGATTTTACGATTAATAGATGGCTGAACGATCTCCCGTGACGCCTTCGAGGGTCTCCTAGGCCGCTGGCTTAGCTAACAGACCCAGAGCCCTAGAGTGGCATTTTGGGTCTGTCGGTCTGGGTTTACCGTGGCTATCGGGCTGTCAGTCTAGATCTGTTTACTGTTGGCGTGCAGTCGGTCTAGGTCTGGCAGGTTGATGCCCAGGGGCACCAGCAAGGGGGGCTATTCAATGACCAAGGTGTCCTTCCTCTAATTTCACAGACACTGCTACACTTTCAACCCTCTAATTAGTTAGCCATTGTTTCTAAAGCTGATCAACATCGACTATCTCAGGCGACAGCTGATTTCGCTCGTCTGTGATTATCTTCTTTGCCCGGCTAAATTTCAGTGTCCAACAAGGCTCTGAAGAGTTCTAGATACTACAGCTAAGAGCCACGGCGTCCTCAGCTGAGGGTGGAATTGGGGTTTTCCGTTGCTCTGTAAGATGAACGCTCAATATTGAACACTTCTCATGATGCAATAAGATCATCTCGTGCCACGCCATTGGAGCTGATGTATTAAATCCCTTTTTTCGGTTTATTGTTCGCAAAGCGACTTGGAGGAATTTCATCTAGGGACTCCAATTGAAATTCCCATGATGCCAATACCAGCCGAGTCGTCCTTTCAGCGATACTCAGCGTCATTTCTAAGACCTCATTACTATGATAAGAAATAGCGTACTTTTCAGCTTGCGCGCTTAAGCTACCCCCGTCATCAAGACAAACGAACAGATAGGTGATATTTCGACGGCCCTAGGCGAAAACAACATGTATGACGCCTGAAGTGCCGAGTAGCTTTTGTAGAGCGCGTGACCACGTTCGAGCCTCGACGCACTTTGGATATATGTAATTATGTACGTTATTTTAGTATTGGCCATGTTCAGGAAGCAAATAACAGGAAACCTCCAAAAGAACTCCCATCCACGGTCTCAGTGCCGCCGCCGTTTTATTCAAGGCAGAACATGCTTAGACGGTGCTTCCGGTTTTATAATTGAAGAGTCTGCCATCGGGAATTCGAAGCACAAACGAACCTGACTTTGATGCCTTGTCTGCTGCTACTGATGTATTGCCCCGGAGTGGTGCACGTGTCCCAGTGCTGAACCATGGCAATGACGAGCACGCTCACCAAGGCCAGAACAGCCAAAATGCGCGTCATGATGGCGCTATATGAATCGAATCCTCAAGAGGCAAGAAGTCCTTTGAATTGGATTGAAGGCGATCCCGAGTAGAGATATAGTTTCGGTTATTTATATCCATGTAATAGTGCTTCTGTATGTGCCGTGGGTTCGTGGAAAATGAGTAGACGAAGCCCATCTATAAGGAAGGGCCTGATCCACGACAGCTGAAGGGTTTTAAGTGACTGCATTGACCCCTGTCTTAATGTATCGCGCTAGCAGGGGTCGCTCTGCGGCCTACATTAACCAAGGTTGCCAAGCGATATTTATTTCTGCTGCTTTTCCCCTTATTGACGTCCAGGCGCGACGACAGCTTTTTGCGATTCAGGCGCGAGCACATGAGAATGTCCCCACTGCAGCAAGCCACTCATCACGCCTCGCCGCCAGTTCCTGTTTAGCTGTCGTAGATTAGGCCCTAAATATTATAGTTGCTTCCTCCGTAAGAACGGGGAACCGGCTAGGCCTTAATAGGGGGATAAGCGTCATTTATAAAACCTAGATGGGCAGAATCGCTCTATAGACCTAATACAGCTCGTCCGGACGAGTGTTCTATTTTTTGTTTATTCTGGCAAGGAGGCTACTTGCGTCCTTTGGTGTTACGCAGTCCGAGGATCAGGAGGAGTCTTCGTCGGCTGACTCGAGGAGGACGTGCTTTCTAGTCGCCAGCTAGTCATTTTCGTGAGTGTGCGAATTGTCTGCACGAAGATTTTCGTGTACATGTTCAACTTGACCGTCAGTTCCAAGTTCTAGCGGGATCAGCGCTGGAATGGGAGAAAGGAAGCTTTGCCTCTTTTTCAAGCCCTCCAGCGGAGCTGCGTAAACGTATAACTTTGATCTTTTATATGGACGAGAGCCGCAGCGTAATTAGAGAATCATTTCGCCTCCTCTCGGGATTTAAGATACCGTATGTCAAACTTCATCCCCTTCCAGTTGGAGGCACTTTGAAGAGGCTGTCACGGGCGGGCGGTCTTCCGTGTTGTAGGGCACAGCCTGAGCTGCAGCTCTTACCAAGGCAATTGCAACGAGCTATACTATTCCTTACCAGGTAGCTTTGACGGCATGATCCTATTGGCTTAGCCGTTTGGGGCTACATTAATGAATCCTACCGCTCAGAGCAATCCCACTTGCTCTAGAGAACATGTCTGAATCGATGGGCGCTTTCAAGACATCTTTACCACCTAGAGAGTGCATCTAAGACCATCTCATGTTCCTGTCAATTAGTTTGGCGGGATATGAACTCGATAATTCGATTGTTTGGTTGATTCCTACTCGGCTGCGCCGGCGAGAACATCCACCAATGCGTCCCACCTAATCCCCCACTCCACCCTCTTGTTAACATGAGGGCCGTCTCGTTATAAGGTACTTAGGGGGTACTTATCTCTTAAATGGCGCCTGGGCGCCAGCGTATCAGTCGGTCCCAGCATCAGGAGCTGGAAATTCCTATTTTGATCCATAAAACTGGAGTCAGCCTGGGTGGGCAGAGCATTTCTTCCGGGTCCATGTCATGCAAGAAGGTGACACAGAGTGGGAAGCTTCCCATTCAGATGGTATTGTATCAATCACCGGATCAAGGGTCAACGTTGAAACAAGAGAGAAGCCCACTGCCCTTCCACCACGTGCGGTTGGAATGATGGCTCCCCCGAGGGATTAGTATCGGAACAAGGTAAGGATAGCCCGCACAGTTCCATATGTCTGATTGCTAATTATTTACTCATGCAGCAAGTTTCGGATATGTGTGCGGTCATCAGACCCAAGAAAACATTGGTACCTGCCCCTTTGTACCTATAATCATCGCATGTTGCTCAAGCGGTGGTCCGCCCATGATGTGTCTGCGGACTTATTGGTTCGGCAGTCCTTGATTCAAAGCACGCCCTTGATCTGGGCATTGACTCGGCGGCAATGGTCCTGTCATTTGCTTCTAATGCCCAACCGTGTGTGTCCCAGTCTGAGTGGCTGGCATTTATTAGACCCTCTATAGGAAAACTGCTTCAAGACTCATGCCTCTTGTCGTGCAGAATGCATAACACGCCGTCACACTTGGCGTGCATGAAGCCCAAGGATTCCTCCCACAAAACGATGTAGCCTTGTTCCTGCGCTGAGCTGGGGGCGGCTGGTACATTGGATGAAACGCGATGTTAAGCAGGAACGTAGATTCGGGGTTTTAGCCTAAGTAACAGTACGTCGATGGATGCTCCTAGCATATCGAACTAAGTAAAATGATAACCATCTATAAATGTAGTTACTCTACAAGAACCGAGACTTGGGTAGGCATTTCTGTAAGGGGATAAGCGATGGTCCTAGAGTCCGGAAAGTAAGCAGGCAGACTTGCCAGGTGGTCCCATAAAGTAGCCCGTTGGGAGGAGTACTCTATTTTCCTGCCTACTCATGATAAAGAGACTACTGGCGTCCGTCTTTATCATGTGGTCCTTTGGAATGATTACCGTACCAGGGGTGTTTTAAAGGAGTATTGCTATTTACACAATAGCATTTTGCTGTTTGCACACTCGAACCCATTTTTAAGATACGTACCAAAGCCAGCCCGCCCCGCCTATTTGTACCGCGCGCGCCTGGCAAGTACCCGTACCGCCTAAATGCCCGCACCCGCGCCTGCGCCCGCCCGCACACACACACAACCCGCACACACAACCTACACACACACAACCCACACACATATACCAAATTTAAAGCTATCACCAGCGCTGCGATGGACCCCCTTCTCTCCCTCCTCAATACGTTAGATAATGCCCACGATGCCCGCGATGCGTACCAAGAACGCGAAGTATCGCAACTTCGGGCAGCGGGTGAACAGCCTAGTTAAAGACCGCCTATAAGGATATGAAGTCTTATTTAGTCATAGGCACCTCTGACCTCTTGCATCTTCACGATGCCCTTATATAGATGATCAAGAATAAAGAGATGACATATACACAAACGGCTGCCCGGCAAGAGATGCGACAAAGGCGTCAGTTCCTTGGGCAGACTTGGCTCGGGGATCTTAGTGTGAAAATCACCTACGAAGCAGTTAACCTACTTACTATACAACATAGGCTTGCCCTCGCCGCGATGCCTTTACTAACGCGGGAGCTATAGCCATTGCGGCCTTATAGCGGGCGATTTACACACCAACTTGGGCTGCCTTATGCATACACGATCCTTTAACGCCTTTAAGCTAGGTTGACGCTTAAAAAGCATAATGTTCTCTCGCGATGGTGGCTTGAGAAGCCGTTGGTAAAGACCCCCCCCCCTTTTTAGGTAAATTTAATACTAATTACTACTATTAGGACCTCGAGGAGCTATTACTACGAATCCGCGACCCCGACGTTGTTACTATTATACGCGGCCGGCCCCGTAATAATAAGCTACCTATACTAAGCTCCCTTACAGCGAGGGTATCATAGACAGCATCACAGACGGCATCATAGACGGCATCACAGTCATAGCCGGCTATAAGGGCATCCCAGCTACCTAATTCGAGTCAGGCTAGCTTAAGGCGGCTCAACGCAAGCGTTCGAAGGCGCCGGGGGCGCGACGAGGTTGATGAACTTAGCTATAGCCCGCGGTCTCTCGCAGCGTCACAACAAGGATCATCAGCTCGAGGAAATACAAGGGGAAGGGGATCAAGAGGAGGACGCGGCAGGAGGGGCGCGCCGCCGGCTTCGTCAGGGCAGCCGGCTTCGTCAGGCGTTGGAGGGATCGTTGAGTGGGATGCAATTGAGGCGCCGACGCCGCCGCCCACACAGCCGTAAGGGCCAAGGAGGAGCCGGGTCAATTGACGGGCCGATTGTTGCAACTTCGAGCTCAAGGCCAGGAAATGCGTTATTTGAGCGAATTGAGAGGCATGCGTTATATGGCCTTTATTGCCTCTTATGTATATGCGGGTTGTGTGTATGTGCGGGCGGGCGTAGGCGCGGGTGCGGGCATTTAGGCGGTACGGGTACTTGCCAGGCGCGCGCGGTATAAATAGGCGGGGCGGGCTGGCTTTGGTACGTATCTTAAAAATAGGTCGAGTGTGCAAACAGCAATATGCTATTGTGTAAATAGCAATACTCGTTTTAAAGTCCATGATCCCTAAGCATGAGGCGGACTGGGGTGCGAATACGGAGACCTCCACTCAACCGTTTGTCTGACTCGCCAAGGAGGACTTTCTTCCAGCTCAGCTAAGCTGATTTAGGTATTTACCATGTATAAATCCGGGCCCCTTGAACTTTATTACTATAGGTGGGCGGCCCGCGTATGCGACTTACAAGACTAATACAGGGCACTGACCGCCTAAGAGGGAGCTCAAGTCGGTTAGACGAAGAAAGCCATGCATGAAAAGCTTCATACAACATGCGCTCGCCCCGACTGCCCGTTCAGGCTACCGCTGCGGCAACTCGAAGACACCCACCGTGGCGTTAACTGCGGAAAACCAGGTGCGCGCCCTGAAGGCTTGCCCAAAACTCCACGAAGATTAAGCCTAAATATACGTTGACTCCTGAAAGTCGCGACCCCGCTTCCCCCCGTAGCGATGTTATTTTATCCCTTTGACGGCGTAAGGCTGACGTTGCGACGCCAATACTCGTTGAAAAGCCCCGGTGACTGCAAGAGCCCGCGGAGCCATAGGTATCTGATCAACCTATGGCGAGGCTGACTGGCAATATCCAGTCCCGCTTATTGCGCGGCGTTTTGATTCGTTATAATATAATATCTGCCCGTGACCTGCGTGCAGTCTTACCGCAGTCAAAGGGATAGCGCTCCAGTGCCCCTTAGTAACCTCACACTTGGGCTCAGCTTTCGCAGACGGCGACAAACCCCTTGCTGCAAAGTTGTGCGGTGCTTCTAGTCATGTGGCTTGTATGTATTTGACTCCATGTCCACCGACTGAACAGCCACAAACTCTAAACATCAGGCTGCCTGGCCTCGTTCGTCTTTTCCTCACGACTCATGTATATAGCGGTAAGACGTGCCGAATGGTAAAACACATCAGATACCTAGGACATGTACCTAATAAGTGATAGCGGGACATGACCTGGTGGGTATGTACAGTATGTAAATTACCATCCGCCGATACCGTTAATGCCCTGCCCATCCCATCTATGTGCCGGTTATGCTGCACGCCACACTCTTGTCACTTATTTAAATATTTCTTAACCTTCTGGATCTTGTCTCTCATCGCACACGGAGAATCGCTCATCTCCAGATCATCATGGTCGCCGTGCCGTCGCCGTCGCCGTGCCGTCGCCGTCAGCCTCGTCCGGTCCGCCCTCTTCGAAGTACGATGAAGAGAATGGTTTGCGGGAGGAGGACACGCCAGCTGGCAAGGGACTGCATCCTGCTTTTTATATCATGTCCGTTCACCCTTCGACGACGTGGCCCATTGCGCACGCACATACGTCTACAGACCGACAAATATTAATAACGGCGGTAGAAATTGGATGTTCTTCTCCAACCTGACAATCTTGTTCAATAAATGGATCATCGATTCAGCTGGCTTCAGTAAGTCCCAGGCGCTTGCAGTCGAGGCAGATAAACTTTAAGGCTAACCGTTGTACCCAAGGATACCGTACGTAAAGACATCCCCGAGATCTATCACCACAGTCTAAGCCTAAACATTTGCCCCATGCTTAGCTATCCTCCTCACCTGCTGGCATCTCGTATTCGCGACGCTCGCGACGCAGCTACTTGCCCGCACTACTTCCGTCCTCGATTCGCGCTTCGCGCTTCGCTTCCCCGATAAACGGCCGTCGCTATCTACGGATAATCTGCCCTATTGGCATCCTTTATACGGCGTCGCTCGTCTGCTCTAACCTCGTTTACCTTCACCTCTCCGTCGCCTTTATCCAGATGTTAAAGTCGTCTGGCCCTATTGCCGTGCTCTTTGTCTCTTGGGTTTTCGGAGTTGCACAACCTTCGCTTGCCTCCCTTGTCCAGGTCCTCGTCATCGTCGCTGGCGTCGCTATTGCCTCCGCTGGCGAGATTGAATTTTCCCTCACTGGCTTCATCTACCAAGTTGGCGGTATCATCTTCGAGGCTATACGCATCGTTCTAATAGAGGTCATGCTTAGCGATAAGAGTCATAGACCAAAGATAGACCCCCTCGTTAGCCTCTACTATTACGCCCCTATCTGCGCCGTTATGAATTTCCTCGTCGCTATCCCCACTGAGCTCCCTACATTTCAATGGCAAGATGTCACCCAGGTGGGATTTTCTGTATTTTTTCTCAACGCCTTGGCTGCTTTTATGCTAAACGTAGCGAGTGTCTTTCTGGTACGTCCCCTAGATAATCTCGCTCTTCCTATTTAGTTGCTAATTTGGCATAGATTGGAAAGACGTCCGGCCTCATCATGACCCTCGCCAGCATCATGAAAAATATGCTCCTCGTCTTGATCTCTATTATAATCTGGAATACCAAAATCACCCTTACGCAGTTTTTCGGCTACAGCATTTCCCTCGCCGGTCTTGTCTACTACTCAGTCGGCTTCGACCAGCTTTTCTGGAGTTATCAGACCGCTGTCAAGTGGGCTGCTGCGACACTCGACTCTTCGCCCATCAACGCGGACAGAAGGGTTGTCCTCGCATCCGGCATTGCCCTATGCGTCATCGTTATCTACGTAATTGCCACGCAGTTCTAGGACTTGGAGTGCATTTCTTCTTCCGAGAAGCGTATGCTTTACTTTACATAGACAAATGTTAACATGATAAGACACCTTGGAGAGGATTTGGAGTAATACCAAAAACAGCGCATAGCTTTATTGGTTTGGATTCAACGGGCATTAAGCCGCGATGAACAGTATCAGAAAACTCCGTCTAGAGTACCATTTATAAGCCTCAAGTAGAGACTAGCTCGTCCAAATTAATCACCGTTACGTGTGTCCTGTCCTTCAATAATTCTTCCTAGCGGCATGTCTTGGTAGTTCTGTTGGACACAAGTTCTAAGACTGTTTCGTCTACGCCGACTTGGCCGCTTCCGACTTTCTCCCCCTCCTCCCCTTTCTCTACCACATATCCTAGGTGGCAGCAGCAGACATGCTTGACTTGCTTCACGATCGACGGTTATCTCAGAGTATACGACATGGATATCCTGACGGTTGAAAACTTTATAATAGACAAGTTTAAGTACAGCTTGATGTAAGTATTTTACTTTACTATGTCGTTACTTTTCATCTAATGAAATGACGCCCTGGTTGTACATATCCCTCACGACAGGGTACAAGACTCGGCCGATGTCGCTTCGTCTTTCTAGTATACTGCGTGGTGAAACCTCAATACCTGTCTCCTCGATTCGGAACGCGTGTACACTATATGATTTATTAAAATTCATGGCCCCTGACCCCTGTGGCTCGTCGTAATGGTTCAAGAAAGGTAAGGTTTCCCCGTCTTTGTGATCTTGTAGGGCAGACGGTACGTTTTGGTGAGATTCAAGGAAGCTTTCCACGCCTCCTGGTGAATAGGTGACTGGTGTAAAGGCATCCTGCTCTAAGACCAGTATTTGCCGCGGGTCTGGAATAAGCTGTTCGCCGATTCGAGTCATCAAGCCATTCGAATGAGTTATCCAACCCTGGTCAAAGACTTGATGCATCTGCTCAGCCCACATATTCATAATCTTACTTTGTTTTTGAGCGAGGAAGGCTCCGGCCGTCATTAGGCCACCTGGTTCCCGTCCACTTATAGACTCAAAGCCACTTGTTAGAAGTTGTCTTAGGTCCCGTATAGCGAAAACATCAAAATCCATATAAAGTCCTCCGAACTCGCGGATCGCTTCGACTCTAATAAAATCCGATTTATGCGCCATATGCTGTATCTTAACGCCATTCCGCGCAACGGTCGGACTTTTAACGTGATTAATGGTAAGACCTGGTATCTCGAAGATAAGCTTTGACCATTTTCCAGCTAAACCTTCCCGTGCGCGCTTGATCTGCTGCTCGCGTGCGTCGGTGTGTAGGTATATTTTATCAGGGCGTAGATAGTACCATGCAGCGTACATGGAAAGATACTGGAAGAAGACGAAGGGGAAGTCGGATTCAGGCTTTTCGAGAAGAAACACGAAATGGGCGTAGTTGGGGATGTCGGGTTGCAACCGAGCAGGAGCTGCTGTCGAGGCTGCCGTCGAGACTGCCGTCGAGACTACCGTAGAGTCCGCCGTCGAGACTGCCGTAGAGACTGTATCTGAGCTAAATCGGGCTTGCGGGGAAGATATCCATATCAAGAGAATGACAAAGAGGACAGCAAACAAAAGGCTTTGGATGAAAATATGCCGCGACATCTTGCTAGAAGGGGCAAGCATTTTCCAAGAACTTAGTGCTATACCAAGCCACAGAGAGCGACTACACAACAGAGGGCCGGAGGAGATCGGTTATGTATTAGGCTGGACTTGTAAAAAGGCCCTTGTTCCCTGTCGTCCCTATATGACTTGGCGGCATATTAGAACGTGGGTTGCCGAGGCGATATTTTTAAGTTCACAGGGCCGCTGACCAACGCTGAAGATTAGGGGCCTGTTTAACATGAAAAAGTCGGATGAGCCAGCTCCGAGCCCACTGGTTAGCAAGCTCAGTTTTTATTAGCGTCGCCAAGGCAAGGCGCGCTGTCTATGAAGTTGAATCAGAGTCCAGCGTGTTCCAATCTGGACCGGGGGCCGGGGTCGATAATGCAGCTGAGTCGCTTCCAGCCACGAGTAGCAGGTGCGCGGGACGGCATGTCATTGTAAGTAGCTACGATAAGGGCGTGTCCCCAACAATTCTCATGCAATTAATACGAGACCCCTTGCACTTGCTCCTTTTTCCGGCTCTCAAAGACTGGTGCATGAGAACCATGATACGTACATGGTAGGTGTGGGAGCCGGTGGAGGGGAAGGTGGGTAATTAGTGTGCAGGGCGGGAAAACATGAGACATGCTTGACAAAGCTTATTATTCGTACTTTGGAAGCAGAGTGCGCAAAAGCTATCACATGAAACAATCAACAGTTAATTAAGAATCATTGTCTCGGTGACGCTAGCTCGGTGACGCTAGCACGGCTTCTATCTATAAAGAGATCTCGTGGCTTCTAAAAGACATTACACTCAGAAAAGCGTTGATAATGTAACAAATCCTGTTTCCTTAGGGGAGACGGAAAACAGGGGCATGCCTCGCGAAATTTTCGCCGCCTGGTGACTTAGTCGGAAAACGCGCCCAAGCGCCGGTGTATCAGTCGTTTGGGGCGCTGCTGTCTAGACTACGCTTCTGGGGAATGGGAGGGTGCATCGTATGTTTGACTGGATGGAGGGTGATACTAATTACAAGCTGAAACGCGAGACCAGCCAGGAAACGTATCTCCATGTTCGACCTAAAAGTAATCCTCGAAGACTTTACTCTAGAAATATCTTCTGTTCGCTACTAAGATTAAATATGTACAGTACTTAGTTAATTTAATCGTTACCCATTCAGGCTATTTAGCGCCTTTTCATCTACTCCCTTTCTTTTAACTAGCTGATATACCCGCTTCAGTTACCTGCACTTACATCAAGTACTGAAAAGTCGCTTCTTTGCAGCCCGGACGAGCCGTAGGAGAGAGCAATAGACAGAGAAGTAAGGCAGCTTTCCGTGCAGACGGCAGGCAAAGGTACTAACTAGTAAATATAACAGGCAGTAGAGGCAGTAGGCAGTAGAGGTATATTATATCTAGACGGCAGAGGCGTAGACTATCGCGGTCAATAGAGGGCAGCACAGTAGACTATTGCTGTTAGGGAAGCTGGCTGACAGTAAGACTTACCGTGGCTAGCGATGAAAATGTAGTAATGCTCGCTATGTCTGGCGAGGTCTTCCCGCGACTCTGGACAGTCGCAAGATATGCTGTCCGAGTAGTGGGAGGTAACAAGCTTGTCTCTTTTCGCTATCTGGACGTCAGGTCAGACTTATATACAGACGGGTGTGATGTCTCTAGCTAGTGTGCAAGAGAGAGCCAGATATCCCTAGGCCCTGATGGGTCTGGCCTCTATCCCGTAACAATTGTTGTAGACGTGCCAACAGATTTAATTTAAGGGTACCTAAGAATTTGGTGGGAGTTCAACACTTGAGAGACGGTGTCCTTTTGACATAATGGCATCCTCCGTTTCTGACGGCTTCGCTCCGAGAAATCTCGGAGGTCTGCCTTGAGCTGGCGTGTGACATTTTATTCGGATAATCAGCTGCCCGGCACATGCACCAGGAAAAGGGCACTTACTGAAAGAGTAGTAGGCTTCTTGCCTGTATAAAAGAGGTGTAAGAGAATACCTCAACAGATCGGGCGACTCTAACAAGGTGATAACTTAGTGGTCTATGGAAGCGAATTAAGACAGTGAACTAATCATGATAGTATCATTAGTATCCCACTCCCCCGCTCTATTTTTCGATATATTCCTCCAATGGCTATACTACGGTCTGGAAGGCATCTCTCAAGCACTCGCTGTTGCTTAGGCTTGCAGGTGTCGAGAACTTAGTTCCGATGCACCGTCTTATGGGCTCCTCTAGACCTTCCTCTAGGGCTGGGTCGCTTGCGAGCTTCTCATACCAGTCATGAGCAGCAGCTTTGGCGGTGACTTCATCTGGCCGACCCCCTGGGCAATGAAGGTCCCAGTATAGAGAGTGTTCCAAAGGTTCCCGATAGTAGAGCTCCAGCAGGAATACACCGAGTGCGAATGGGACTGTCTCTGCGTGGGATTCGGCAGTCGTTGGGTCTTCTTGGAGCGTGATTGATAGGGAGCCGTATTTCAAATAGGGACCGAAGGTCAAGCCCCGGCCGTCACAATCATTGTCGAACCGCATCAAGAAGGCGTTCTCCCGGCTCCAATTACGTGGGATCCAGGCTGAGGTGGCAAGACATAGGAGAGTAACGGCCATGGATAGACCAACTTGCAAGCGTGTGCAAGGATCTTTCGTTGAGGTCCAGAATGTCTCCATTGTCTCGTTCTGAGCCCTCAAAAGCCGCTTCTGTGACCGCGGCTCGAGATAAAATCCAATATCATGGTGATCAACCTTTATCGTCCCCAAAAATTTGTAGTTCTGTGGCGCGATCTAAACCAAACAGCATATATTGGTGACCTGTGAGTTTTCTCTTGGCGCCGAGGGCGCGGCGATCTGGACACGTTTTTCGACAGGTCGGACAGCTTGAGTAATTTGTAGCTGCGTCGCTTGCGTCTTGGATGGTCTGTACCTGGCTGGAGGAAACCACTGCCGAGTCTTTGAGTGCTGATTTACAAGCCTTGACAGGTTTCTTCAGCTTTCTGCGGCTATATGTCCAAACATTTTCTGTCTTTATGTTCGAGGGGCTAATCACCGCCGCAAAAGTTGAGACTGCTAGCACTCCTGGTTTGCCGTCTGGTGCCGCCTTGACGAAACCCTTCTTCTGTTCCTGAAGCTCAACTTTCCGGTTCAGCTCATATCTGATCTACGCCAAGTTGCTTGTCCCTGGTTATCGAGGACGCTGATCGATCAGCCGCTTCCGCTTCCATCTGACCTGTTTACGTCCCTGGGGGTCGACCAGGAGGTTTAAATTTGGGCCTTTGCTAAGTTTCTTGGTCTTTTCCCACTGGGTCGAGAGGCCGCATCTGTGTTGGTCGTTGCAGCCGCAGCAAAATCCGGACTTCAGTGCCCAGTAGAGTGCTTGTGACCGTTTCTGAAGTTTGACAAAGAGGCTCGCGTCCACCAATCTTGAGGACGTCGACCTGGCACGCGTCATAAACCCGAAGTCGTTAGAAATCCTGAGAGTCCGCTCAAGTTGTTTGTTCGTTGTCTTGATGCTGTCAAGAGCAGCCTTCTTGTTTTGGCTAAAGCTGATACACGACTTAAGGATTTCGGGTGCGGCTGTGTGCGGCAGTGGTGAACAACCCTCATGTCTAGTTAGCAAAGATGAGTAAGAAGTGTATCGAGAACGTATTTACCCTGCCGCATTTGGTAGGTAGAATTTCATAAGAATTGTTGAGCGAGCCGTCCAACTCTCTCAGCACCTGTGTGTAGAGCGGTAGTGCTTCCTTGAGATGCTGTCTGATCTTATCCACAATATCGGGGTGATGCCAGAGGATCGAAGCAGGCGAATCTTTGAGAGACCGACGCTCCGTGTCGGATATCTCAAGGGGCGCGAATAACAGATCGAGATTCTGACAGCAAATTCCTCAAATGTGATTGCGTGAACGAACCCATAATACTTTTTATGCCTTTGATGTAGGATTCGGTGGACTTCGCCGCTTCAATGACGAGAGGCAGGCCGCCGAGAATGACGCCAACGATTTTGACCCCCGACATTAGGAAATATTATATGTCTGGCGTACCAGGCGGAAGGTATTAAGTGAGGTTTCGACTCAGCTGCACTAACTTAGCACCTTGATGTAGTAGACTTTTGTTTCGGAGTCTACGCCCGATGGAAGCATCCGCAACGGATCAGATGAGGGATTGATTTTTTCGTAAGTCAGCTCGGGGGCTGCAGTAACAGAGGACATGGTCGTGTGTCAATGCAGGCTGAACGCAGCTTGACAGCGCCATTGGACAATTTGGACCCAGCCTTCTTCTGACTAGCCTTCATATGAAGAGTCGTCTATTCTCTCGACTCCTTGGTCTTGAGAGACTAAGGAGATGAGCTTCTCGATGAGCTCAACTGGAAGTCTTTTTGGCGTCGAAGCTCGACGCAATAACCACGAAGACCCCATGACTATCAGCGAGCTTAGCCAGAAATGCGAACAGGCATTCGAGGTCATCTGCGAGGATCCGGATGCGAGGGCTGAAGCTCCTGATGGCAAGGTGGCTGGCCGAGAGAAGCTACTAGAGGTCCTGGGGCGCGAGCAAGGACGAGTCAGAATATGGGCAAGGAACATCGATGCCCTTCGAGATCCGACATCTACAAGCTCCTTGGGTTCGCGGCTTCACGATGCGCCCAAAGTTCGGAACACCATAGCATCTGTTTTGGAGGGACTATTGGAATCTCTTGAGATAGTCTTTGGGATCCTGAAAGGAGATCTTCCCAATAGAGCCGCCGCTATCGCGGTGATGGATGCAGGGGCCTCTCAGAGTAATACGACGGAGCTGAAGGAGTTGGCTCTCGACATTCGATCTTCGATAACGGACCTTTTCCGTTACTCCATGTTTCTTCGACGACAACGGTCGCGCGGCCGAGAAGTACCGACTGAGGCCGAGCGGCGAGAACCTGATGCGTCACTGGATGTCAGACATACAGTGGTAAGCTCGGTGTTTCGGACTTGCCCTGATATTTGATATACTTCCTTTTTTTTGCTCTTCGTATCGGGTCAGACCTCGGTGACTCTGGGTTCAGTCAACCAGGCTTCGATCAGACAGTTTTAATCCAGGACCCATTGCGGGAGGGCAGCGTGACCAGCTGCATCTTTCCTTGCATCCACATGACTGATCGCAGTCGTAAGAACAACTTCATTTTAAGAGCCCCAACTAGAAGCCTTCAATCCGAGATGCGGCACTTTCCTGTGCAGCTCTTCGAAGAGCTCCCACCGGAAATCAAGGCTACTGGTATTGCGCCTCCGGATCAATTGCAGACAGCAGCTCCTGGTCATGGCTTGTTCCAGCATGCCGAAGCTCACTGGCAGTGTTGGAGAGCCGAGTCTTATCTCCCCACCACATCCGACCACTCTCGTCTGTCTTCCAGTCGTCGACAAGATCTGCAATGGTCTGCAAATGCCCAAGCGTGGCAGGCTGACAGCCCCGAGGTCGCCTAAGAGCCAGATATGTGGTGAAAATGGCCAAAAGAAGGGCCAGTGCTGCATATAATAAGAGACGCGGGTATATAAAAACGATGATGACGCCTAGTTCTCCTTCATGGTTGGATTCGTTTCGGTCAGTAGAAGGGAGCACACCCTGGGCAACGGCCCAATGCAGGACTGACTTGGCAATGAACAGAACTATGTTTTCCCAGCTTGACACAGCTGCTCGGAAGGGATTCGTCGACAGCTGGAGTCCCGGGGCCTCTGATTTTGTCTCACTATACGCCCGTCTCCAGGCGGCTTCGTCTCTTGACATGTTGACCAGTAGTTCCACACAATGCAGTCCAAAAGTCTGCATGCCCTGAACCGCACAGAAGAAGAAGACGCAAAACATGGTCTACAACCTATATAAAAAGCCGGTGTTCCAATCCGGGGTATCACGTTCTGGCCATTTTTGGGTCTAGGTGCAGCATTATCGAGTCTATGGTGCACGGTTCGATGTCGCTCTTCCATTAAATTCCAAATTTCCAGCACGAGGGCCTAACGGTAATGCTCGAGATGACGGCAACGATTAGTGGCCATGCAGTGGCGAGAAGAGCGAGTCCCCATAAGAGGGCGAGGATGTATTTCACGGTGCGCTGTGCTCGAACCATGCTTCCTTGCCGGTTTGCCGAATACACCCCTTGGCTTGGCCAATAGTGTTTTTGGTGGACTGACAACATGCATCTTTGCGGGCGGCGAGTAAGATTGCCCTTCTGCAGCGCGGCCAGCGCCGTGCTGAGCGGATTAGAACCCCATGTCGGTATCGAATCGCCCCCAGACACTACACTATGCCGCGATAGCAGCTTGGCCGGCGAGTGCCACGCCCAGGCCTACCAGAGCTGTTGCATTGATCAGAAACTGATAGCCCGGGTAGATTCCGTTGTATGGGGTTGATTCCCCAGTGGCTATCCAGGTTGGGATCAGCACCAGAGCAGACGAAGAGCCATATGACAGGATCAGGAAGAAGAGCGACGCCGCATTGCTGTACCAGCGGTTGGGGCGGCTCCTCCATGAGCTGGTGAGGAGGTGGAGATTGGTGTTATGCTCGAGCCGCTTCTCATGATATATAGCGCCCGACGCAGCGAGACGGAATGCATGAACATTATGCCATCGATGCAGATCGCAACGATGATACTGACGCTGACGGTCAGTAGTTCTAACCCCAGAGAGAATATGTTTAATCGAGCTCCCAAGATTGCCGGTTGCGTGGCGATCATGTAAACCCCCGACGCCAAGCAAAAGAGGGCAAGCGCCGAACCGATGAATATGGCCATGATACAATTCATTCGTATACTGACCGCCTCGTCATAGTCGGGCTCATCATTTCCATTCTCGCCGCCTGATGGCGGCTTTTCGATGAATAGTCGGGTTTCCTCTTGGCTCAGGGAAATGTCCTGCCCCAGTTTGTGTCTTGAATTTTGACTGGGGAAACTCCTGGCCGTTGAAGCCGGGGAATTCATGTTGTGACGGGTGCAGGTGGAGGAATCGGTATCTGTCCGGGCCATGACCTGTTAACGTAGTCGTATAGACTCGGTTTTGGGTCAAGTCTCTGTCTGCCGGAAGACTTCTTTGTCTGCTCTCTCTCACTGTTGGCAGGAGGGTAAAGCATGATGCGGGCACCCGGCACCTATATAAACCTCGAATTACAAAAGAGGGCGAACAGGGCGGCGAATTCCAAGGCGTGGGTATTATATAAACTCTGCAGTGCCCTGACCAGCCACACCCGACCCGCTTTTGGTCTGCGCAGCAGGCAGAGTGGTCGGCTCCCTAGTCAAGGCCTAGAGGAACATGCAGCTTTGTGTCTTGGGACGTGGCCTCCGGAACAGCCGTAACCTCTCGAAACTCTGATGAAGCCCGGAAGCGCTGCGAGGCTGCTTCCTTTGATCCTGCGTAGATATCGAGGTACTGAGCTATATCCTCCTGAAGGTCCAATATATTATATAAATAACGAGCACGGGGGCCGGCATTTGAAAGCCATACAAGTGCAAACTTGGCTTTATTCGCAAAACATAGATAGCCCGAATTCATGTTTCTCCGGGCAGAGCTAAATGCGTCCGACCATAAGAAAAAGACATTCTCCTGCCTGTTCGTTTATGACTCAACCTCCCGCCCTCGTTCAACCTGAGCATTGGGTGATTCTATCCCCACCATTTGTTCTCTTGCAAGGCTTTGTAATTCCTTGCAATTGCGTTCGCCGTAAAGTCGGTCGTTGCAAATTCCCCGCCGCCCCCCACCGCCTTCCGCTTTGGGCAAGCCCCTTCCCCTTTTGGCCCGTCGCTGCATACGGGATTTGTTGAGGAGAGTGGGCATAAGAGGCCACAGTCATGCCCAGTAAGTCAGCCCACCTAAAGTCCGGCACACCCCAACACCGGCACTCTCCACAACACTATCGCGTCGTTAAATACATTACATTGCAACCGCGTTTTCTCGTGCATCTCTTGCCCTATAATTATAAAATAAATACTATTTATATTAGCGATGCCTCGGCTTTCTAAGTATACCGAAAACCAGCTCTAAGAAGCACTCGAAGCTATTAAAAACGGGATACCTTAGCTTTATACTAGTCGAAAGTAGGGTATTCTAAGAGGGACCCTCTATATACGTCTTAAAGGGGCTCTGCCTATTAAGGAGGCAAAAGAGGCATATTAGAGGCTTAGCCGAGAGCAGGAAAAATACCTTGCCGACTAGGTTCTTACCTAGGCCGCCTTTAGGCTGCCTCTAAAGTATTATTAGGTTAAGGAATTTACCGGCCGTATCGTTAAGGCCGGCGGCGATACCCGTCTACTTAGGAAGTAGTAGATTTCGGGCTTTTTAGCCCGGAACCTAGAGATTAGTACTATTAAAGGTAGATCTCTCGATTCTACTCGCGTTAACGGCGCCTCTATAGCCCGTATCGAGGAATAGTTCTAATTACTTAAGCTACCGGCTATATAGGCAATCCTACCGGAGTCCCGCTTTAATATAGACGAAACGGGCATCCTCGAGGGCCTTAGCTCTAATAGTCTAGTACTAGGGAGCTTAGAGAAGCGAGAGACTCTTAAAAAGCAGCTAGGATCGCGTTATTAGACTATAATAGTTAAATGCGTCTCTGCTATAGGCTAGACCTTAACTCCCCTTATAATTTTTAAGGGTTAAGACCTTTAATATTAATAGTTCCTTAACGAACTTAATTTTCTACGAGATTAGGACTTTATTGCCTCCCTAAAGGGCTAGATAAGTAATGCTATCGCTATTTAGTAGCTAAAGTAGGTTTTTATCCCTTAAATAAGGCACTATAAGTAGGGCAATACTCTTTTTATTATTAACGGCTACGGGAGTTATTAGACTAAAGATTTTATATACGAATACTTCTAGAATAGTATATATCTCCTTTTCCTACTATTATACTCCTTATATATCCTCTAACTACTCGATATCTTAGTTTTCTCGCCTATTAAGGCCGTATACCGACGTTAACTCGAGAAAATCATATCTTTTAACGATATAGCGCTAATTAGTAAGGCTACCTTCCTTTATATCTACTATAAAGCCCGGTAGGCTAGCTTAACCGAAAAGAATATTAAGGGAGGTTAGCGCGGGTCTAGTTTATAGCTAATTAATATAGTAAAGCCCTTATTAAGCCGCTTTGTCTTACTATAGCCGTTAACGCCGTTAACGCTATTAAAAAGGAAGAATATTAGCTCCTTAGCTAATAACGATACCCTTAAAACGCCTAAACGATTATAAGAAGTTCGCCGCCTTATTATAGGGCTAGAAAATCGCGGTTAAGTTAACTATATAATCCGACTACTCTTTAATAAAGTTAGCCGCGCCCTTAACAATTAAAAATTAGCAGCTTATAGCTGCCTAGCTTCGAATATAATAGCTTAAGCATTAATTATATCGTCTATAGCCTCGAAAATAGAAAAAGGTTCTATAAGATCCTAATAGCTGGTTTATACGGATTAATTAAGTTATTAAGACGAGGCAGCGGCTCGAGCGTATCCTTAAGCCGGCTGCTATTACCGCAGCTAATTAAGATATAGATTTTAAAGCTCTATATAGTAGCTAGTAGCTTAAATAGCTAGAAAACACTATAATTAACTATCGTAACGTTAAAATACGGCTTTAATTACTATTAGAATATACCTACCTTAGTATTATAGAAAGTACCGGTATTAGGTATGCCGGACTTTAGGTAGGCTAACTTAGACCTAATAGTTATATATAAGGAAGCCTGCCTAACTAATATAACTCCCCTAGCCTAAGGATGTTATATAGGCCTAACTTAGGTATAGGAATATCCTAATACCCTCTTTTAGCTAGCTATATATAGTTACTATACCTATATAAGCCCCTCCCTTATCCTAATAGATAGACTAAGATATATATTACTAAATTTACCTTTCTATGCCCCTATTTCTTTTACTATGCTCTTAAGCCCCTGCTTAAGAGTTATAAGCCCGGCCTATATAGCTAGATTATCTTTTGCCCGCCGATATTACCTTTAAAGCTATTTACGAGCTATTAACGCTATTATAACGCTTAAATCGTAGTATTAAGGCAAGGAACCTAGCTATACTAAGGGGCACTACTAGAAACATATAAATTATATAAATTATAATTATATATCCCTTAAAGAAGGATATTACTTATTAAGCTAGAACCCCTTATTTTCCTAAGACAACGTTAAAGGAAGTAAGAGGGGATAATTATATCGTAAGACTAAAGGAAAGCCTCGATTAGACCTTATAGATTAAGGGGATTAAATCGTAGGCCTAGACTTATAAGATTTAGGAATATACTAACCTAGACGGTATAAAGGAGCTTAAATAACCCTAATAGCCGGACTAAGAGTAATTTATTATTAACCTTAGAGGGAGACCTTCCTAACGAGAAGATAAAACCGAGGCTACGTTCCTAGCAAGGCGAATAGGCTATAACGAACAATACTAAGATATAAAGGACTCCTTTCGTAACCTTAAGAAAAGGTTCTAGCTATAATTCGATCGCTATAAGGTCTAGTAGAAAGCCCTAATTATACTTAAAGAATTAATTAAGAAAACGATTAGTAAAGGGCTTTAGGGGATAACCCTAATATATAATAGCCTAAGAGAGAAAATTAGGGAATTAAAGAAGTAAGCCCTACCTTTAGGGGTAGAGGAGAAAAAGCTAATTTACGAGAGATATACGACCTCTATTAATAAAAAAAGCACGCGAGACTAGAAAGTATAGGTAGAATAGCTCGACTAAATTATTATAGATTTATAAGACCTTAAGGTCGATATACTTAACGATATAAGAATTAGATAGGATTTTCTTATAGCGGTAGATAAGTAGGACCTATATTAGTCTATAATAATAAGGGCTCTCGACCTCTATAACGAAAGATATAGTAAAGATTAACTTCCCTTAAGGAACTTAATCGCTAACTTTAAATAAGAATATATTTATAGGAAGAAGTTATAACTACCTATAAAAAGAGGAAGCGCTAATTAAATCTCTAGGAAATTAGATACCTAAGCTAAATACGCTAGCTATAAGTAGCACGTTAATAGCTTAATAAGCTAGTAGGAAAATTGCTACTTACTATAGGTAATATATAATAAGAAGCCCTTATTAGGCTAGAAATATAGTAATCTAGCTAAATAGAATATCGAAAAACGGCTAAAGGACTATTTAAATAAGAAAGTAAAATATATAGCCTAGACCCCTAATTCCTACCTTAAAGGAAGAGAACTAGTAGATACTATTATTAGTAATAACGGGCTAGGAAAGACTATTAATATAGTTACTCTATCTAGGGTAAATATAGCTATTAAGGGAACGCTATTGCTTACTAATAAATTAATATACGACTTAAGGGCCGATATTAACCTCTTTAATAACCTAGGTTAGTTCTAGGAAGGAACCTTTAAGTAGGGTTCTAACGATAAAGTCTAGGTTAAAGACTAAGCTTTTAGGGTATAAGGAATAAGAATAGCAGTTATCCCTATAATTAACGGTAGAAAGATAACCTTACTAGATACCTACTTTATCCTAGAAATACTAATAAGTATCTTCTTAGCTAGGCTAGGGATAATAGTAGGGATATTCTAGAACTAGCTCCTAGGATACCTTTATTTAAAACCTACGAAGGAGGTTTATATTAAACTAACTAACTTCGAAGGTTAATTTATAATAGGAATACTCCTATAGTATAAGCGGGTATTCGTAGTTATATAAGCGCCTAAGCCGCTAACTAGGGGGGTAGGTAACCTATAGTATCGCCGCCTTAGGCATCCTAGTCTAAGATTACTAGAGAAGCTATTAAAAGCCTGCCTAGGCACTAAGCTTTAAGGCCCTATAATATATAGCTATTAGATATACGTAATAAGGAAAGCTAAGAAGGAAGTCTTAAGAAAAATACTATCCCTAAGGCCTAAAGGTCTAAGGGTATAAGTTAGCTTCGACCTTTACCCTAGCCCTATAATAGTATATAATAAGGAAAAGAACTTCGCTTTATTTACTTATATAGATATATTTA